TAAAAACAGAAATAAAAGAAAAAAACTCATATATTAAGCTTTTACTCTAACAATATCATTTATTAGATATTTTAATGGATATAACCATTAGATAAAAAAACATAAGATCATATTAAACTGTTATATATGATATGCACGAATATTAAAATACTTATTTAGCATAACTTAAAGAAATCATGAAAGAAAAAAATATCTCCACAATTTCTACTATTCAAAATGAAGAAGAATGGTTCATACTGATCACTATTTCTCTAAAGATTTGCCCCTTAATTCTAATAACTTATTTCTGTTCTTGAAACTTTGCTTATAAAGGACTATTTCAAAAACTCTTTTCCAATTCTTATTCATAGTTTCTAATAAATAAATGAATCCATCAAGAAAATTTCAATCTAATTTACCATTACTTTAACATAACTAGAAATTCAACCCTCTGAATTATATTTTTAGTATTAGGGATATATAATAAATATTTAATCACTCTCTTTCAAGCTTAAATAAATAGTTCCTTCAACAAAATTTTACTTTTTAAATATCAGGTTTTTTTCTATTTGTTTTTCTTTATAAATTTAATCTTTCATTTTTGTTTATCTTATAATAAAACTTATATTACGACAAAAAAGATATTTTACTAAATTCTTGAAAGAGCAAAAGAAAACAAATTTAGTATTCAATTTATATTTTGGATTATCTTAAGAGAAATTTTGATATTACTTTTTATAAAAATATTTTACATTTAATTTATTCTAATCTATAGAATATAATCAATATTATTTTTATTTTGTAGTAATAAATTTAGAAAAATTTTGAGATTTACTATTTTTATTGTATTATAATTTTGAATCCCTTATATTAAAAAGCCTCAAAGCATCCACTAATGTAAAACTGTAAAATTTTCATTTTTTTTAACATTATTAAGAAATATATTGCATGAATCTTTTATAAAATATAGTAAGATGAACTTAAATATAATAATTTTTGCGGCCAAAATGAATAAGAGTGAATTGAGAAAGAAAATAGATTTGGATTTTATTTTAAATATTTAAATTGAATTGATGAAAAAACAATTGAAATGTAGTTAAGTTTGAAAATACAATTCATAATACCCATAGAAATATATTATTTTAATCTATTGCCAACATTTTTTAAAACATATTAATAGAAATTAAATATTTATATGATTAATAAGGGGTATTATATTATTAAATTTAGTTAAAATATATTAATTATCAATTCTTGGCTATTGAATTTCAGTACAAACTTAATGCAATTACGTTGAGAATTTCACAAATTTAATAGAGCATGTATAAAAATCATAAGCGAATGTGTATATAAGATATTAAAAATAATACAAATCAATTAATATCTGGAAAGAATTGTTACGATTTAAATTTAAGGAGTAGATTGTTATTACTAAATAAATTTTTTAAGGATTTAGTGCTTCTACTAAATTTTTTGCTTGAAAGAAGCTGTTAATTTTTTTTTTCATAATATTCTCTAATATCAATTACATATTGATGAAAATTCGTAGTATTTATCCGTTTTACTTCTTATGGTTTCATTGATTCAAAGAATCTCTATCTAGTAACTAACATTTGGTGTTAAAGTTCTTTCTTTTTCTTAAAATCCCAATCACTAGAACTCCAATATCTAAGATGAAGATGATTATTTTATTAAGCCATTTAATATATATTAATAATAATATTAAAATGAATATGTAATTTTCAGTCTTTTTATAACACAACTACCCAATTAGCATGATCATAATAATTATTTACTATCTTAAATCCTTCCATTTCTGATAATAGTTCTTCAATTTCACCTTATTTAAACACATGATAATATCGCTTATACACAACTGTTTTTTTTTAATCATCAATTTTAAATTATTATTATACTTTTAATAAGAAATGAATGAAATACCTTCTTAATTGATTACTTTTTCATCTTCATATTTAAACTGCAAATTCCAAGGTACAAAAACATCCTGTTCATTAAATGTCTTCTCTTCTTGTTCCATAGCCCAAACATATATTAATACTAAGCCTTTAGATTTTGAAATCCTTAATAATTCTTTTATTGCTTATTATCTGAGAATTCTTACAGTTTAAATAATAGAAATTACTTATTTGAGAAATGATGAATGACTGCAATTGAAATGACTGCATCAAACATTTCAGATTTTAATGGTAATTTTAAAGAATCTGCACTAAATACTTAATAAGTATCACATTTCTCTTTGCATATTTTCAATAAATTTTCACTTCTATCTGTACCTATTATTTCAATGTCTGGATTTGAACCTAAATATTTTCCATTGCCACATCCTACATCAGCCACAAGAGATCCTGGTTCTAAAGATTTTAAAAATTATTCTATTTTTGGCCATGGTTTGTAACGAGTTGAACTAAAATGAGGTGCAATTTTTTCATAAATTTCATATACATATTTTTTTTCAACTTCAGTAGCTTTCGGTTATTATTATAATAATAATAATTATTATTATTATTATTATTCTAGTAATAGAATTTCTTCTTAAGTTTTATTAGGAACAACTTTATTGTCTTAAACAATTCCAATCTAATTTAATTTAGCAAGATATTCTTAAAGTAATGGATTTTTATTTTTCATAGTTAATGGATTATAACCTTGAGATTCACAAAAGAATTAATATTCACAATCACATTTTAAATCATTTCTAATAGTTCTAAATGTCAAACTTAATCTTCTAGATCTAAAATGTGTTTCACCTTCAACTTTATCAATTTTTCTTGATGCAATAGAATGAAACCAAGCATATCTGACTTCTCCTGTAAATAATGCACAAGATCTAGGTGGTAAATATAAATGTTATTCTTCTCCTTTGAAAGATTTAAATGACATTACTAAACCACTTAGTAAACTAATAGAAACAAATTTTTCGTGAAATGGAGGATGAACATCAAAATGAGGTGGAATACCCATACCTGGTAAATACTCATTTATTGTAAGTTAATTAATTTCAGCTTGAGGTTTGATTAAATCAGATACTTTTGCTCTAACATCTTCAAGAAATTCAGGAATGTTTTTTTCAGCTGGTTAATTAACATTAACAGTATTTTCACCATATATGAATTCATAACCGTAATGTTAAACTCTTCTTTATTTCAATTTAGACCATTCTTGCTTATCAATTAAATCCAAAATATATTTTTCATATTCTGGAGTTATGAAATCATGTATTAGATACAATCCTGGAATATTTACTTATCTCATAGCATTTGGTATATCACACATTCCTCCTCCACTTAATTCTTATTGTTTTGTGTAAAAAAACATTGTTGCTCTTTCCTTATTTTGGTACTTTAGATTTGCATACTTAATATTCTCAAAAATTTATAAAGACTTTCGATATCATTAAGTAATACTTGGATTAATTGTAAACACTATTATGATGTTTAAAATTCGATAAATGCATAATTTTTTATAGGGTATATCATTACTTTGTTTTACCCAAACTATTTTACGTAATTACAAATTGTATTATAATCATCTTAATCTCCAACACCAAAATGAACTGCTATTAATTTATTTGTTGGTTCCTATGTAATTAATTCTTCAAATGGTTTCTTCTCTGATTTAGTAAGTGCCTTTTATAATTTATTTTAGTACTGCAATAGCAATTGCTAATTTCTTATTCAATTTGATTGTCGGATTGCGTACTTTTTCTCTTGCCTCTATAGCTATATCTAAGTCCATTAATATATTTTACAAAATTGAAATAATTTATATACTAATTCTTTCATTAGTCAAGAATTAAAAGAATTTATTTTCTTTTTTTTAGTAGCCAGATACTATTTTATCCATTCATAATCTCACTAATAATGTTAAAGATTTAAAAATAGTAATTAAAAATGATATTTGATTTATATTTTAAATTCTTCTATTACTATTATGAGTTCAAACTAATTCTTAAATAATAATATCATCAAAAATAGGACAAATATTATTAATAAACTTTGCATAATAGAAATATGAATTATTAATAATAAATGAAATCTGTATCAATTACTAAAGCAGGATTATCTTGGTTAGTCTCTTTAATTGACTACAGATCTTGGAACATGACCTGCATATCCAGGGATTTTCGTATGACTATAAATAAATTGAATAATTATACTAATTCTCTTTTAAATTAGTTTTCATAAAATCTGTTCTAGGTTCTGTTCCATTTCCATGTTCAATAGCTTTTGAATTAGTAATAATTGTTGGTATAAATCCTGTATATCCAGGTATATGTTATGCTTCTTATGAAGTTCCCAATCTCAATTCATCAAATGCTCTAGGATGAGTTTCATCTAATTAATTTAATCTATCCCTTGGATTTTCTCCAATTTATCCATATTATTTCTTATATTCAGAAGGTCCAACTTTCCTATAATTATTTTGAATAGATAATACGTTTCAACTACATAAGGAGGTCTATTTAAACTCCATTCAGGAGGTTTTGCTCTATTTTTAGCAAATGGATCAACAATTGATGCTTAATAAGTGCTTTTCCAATGTTCACAGCCAGTCTTTAGAAGAGGATTTTCTGGAGTAATAGCTGAATTTCCTGTTTTTTAAAAAAAATCACTAGAAGTTGCACTCTCTAAATGTGCCTATAAATAATTTAGAATAACATTCTCTTACTTTGTTTGCCTTATAAACATTCTTAAAATGTGGAGGTTGTACTGTTGAATCTAGAGATACTTATTTATTTGAATAATGATAGTTAGAATTCTTATAAAAGCTTTCTTTATCTTCATTTCTAACAGCTAAGTTAATGTAGGTAATTGAACTTACTTTATTCCCAAATTTCATTTGAGTCTAATGTACGTTTGCCTGCTTTTAGAGATGGATATGGTAAATCTCCATAAGATTAAAATGCTGCATAACCAACAACTTTAGGAATCATAAATTTTTAATAATATATAAATCATCTCTCTATAATTAATCATAATAACTCTGAATATTTTACTTGATGTTTTTACAACACATTTTCTTTATTTCTGATTCGGCTTTTATATTTGCTTATTTTACTATTGTTAAACAATCTTAAAGTTTATGTCTTTCCCATTCCAATTTCAGCATAAACACTTACCAATTACGAAAAAGTGATTCAGAACATTTCTCATATTGTTATTAAGCTTCTGAATCTATCAAACTTTCATTTATGCACATATGTTATCTTTCCTATTCCTATTTCTTATACTTTCTTGCATTCTCCAAGGTTTCATTTGTTATTTCAGACCAATATTCCATTTACCAATTATAAATTTTAATTATTCTAATTGTTTCACACTAAAAGAAATCTCATAACAAAATACTTTTCTCTTTTAAATCAGAAAAACCTTTTTAGTAACTAATTATATCATAGAGGTCTTTAATAAAATAATCATTTTCGATAATGAAGTTTACCATTCCTTTAGAATCAAAAATTATTATTAAAAGAAAACTAAAATACCTTCTAATCCACCTTCGATTAATTTCAATTCCCAGATTATCTATATGTAAATATATTTCACTAATAAAAAGTTAAACTATTGCTCTTTTTAATTAGTACTATTTATAGTCTATTTAAAATGAAACTTAGCTATTTATTTCAAAATACACAATCAGGACACTTCATGTACTTAAATTAAAGATATGGCACTTTTTTCTACTTTTTTTACTTCTTAAATTACAATCAAACTCACTATTATTCTAAGGATCTCTAAATATTATTATAAAGCACTCTGATAATCAATGTTGATATCATTAAACTTAGATTTCTACCTATTGACACTAAAAATAATACTAAATTTTTGTCACATTTACAAAAAAATTTTAATGGATAAAATTAACTCATTTAATTTCTAGATAACTGTTAGTATATGTAAATTCTTAAAATAAACATACTTTAAATTTAAATAATCTAAATAAACATTATATGATTCTATTAAGACTACCTGAATAGAATAAAATAAATATATATATCAAGAGAAATAATATTCAATTATATATAGCTAAAATAAAAGTTTTCTAAAGCCTGAATATCATTCGCAAAAATCAATAATTATTTTTAATTTTTTTTTCAAAAATTTTAAAATTTAATTCAATTGATTCATGAATAAGTTTTCAACAAGAAAATAATTAGTAATAATGTTTAAGATTAATCTAAAGGTTATATCTGGTAGTAAAAATTGAATACTTATTGAAGGCTTTCAGCTAAATAATAATATATAAGAATTAAAAAGAATTTTATTTAACACAAAATAAAATTAAATAGCATGAAATGATTTATAAATATAAATTAATTAATTGAAATCTATTACATTTATTGTGAAAACAAGAAATTGTAAAAATAATAGAGAAATTCCTAATTAGACTTATAATAAACTCTGAAATGAAAGTAAATAAATTATCTCTAATGATAATCAAAACCACTATTTTAATAATCTTAATTTGAACAGTAATATTGTATTCTCATTCTCTTTAACTTGCCATCTTTTTTTTTCCATTAAAATAGTTTTATCAATGTTTAATTTTTTTCCATACATGATTTATTAACAAACTATAATAGTTGTTAATTGAGATACTCATATTTAAATTTTAGAGGTCTTTTTGTGAATGACGAATAAAAAGAGCTTTTGAGTAATTGATGCATAGAGAGTATATCTTAATAATGATAATGGCTCATAAATGAATGAAAAATCGATTGACATAAAACATATATCATTTAAAATTGTATCAATCAAGTTATCCTAAAATGTCTTCTTCAACTGAATTTATTACTTCAAAATGAACTCCATTTATCATCACATTAAACTGTCTATGCGGATCTAAAGTTAATAAACATAGATACTTGTTGGATCATAGTCACTATATTCCACATTAGGAGGCTTTTGAATAACGAGATTTGGTTTTGGTTTTGTGTCGATGCAGTTCTGTGAATATGAAATTATTTTATTAGAAAACTGACTCACTGGAGTTGTAGCAGTATTTTAACTAGTTAATTTTCTTTTTGTTATTTAGCAAGTGCCCATCTCAAACAATAATTTATTTATTTATCTCAAATGATTTTAATTTAATTAAGATTATATAACAATAATAAATCATCATTAAATCAATTGTGATATTTGTTTTCTCTATCATCGTATTGATTCATAATATGTTCTTTATTATAAGTTTGTCGATGAGTTTCTATAAATTAAAAAAATATCTGAAATCCTGACTTATTCTGAATTTCTGAAAATTTTTTATTAATGTTCCTCAAGCCAAATCTGAATTGATTTCAGATATTCCAAAAGTAATAACTTAAAAGCAAATAATAAACTTTATGCATATTTTAAGTTAGTTGAAAGAACAGTCGAAACAAACATAAAGAAATTTTAAAGAATATTCTAAGTTTCCTTAATGTATTTAGGTTTGATTAATACTAGCAAAATTTGGCAACCATTGAAAATTAATAGAAATCATGAAAATCTTTTAGTCATTAAATTTTCTATCAATAGTTATAATAACACATATAATTAATAAGAAAACACTCAGGATTCTTCATTGGTTTAGCATAAAATCATAAATTTTAAGTGGATTATATAATTAAGGTTTAAAGGTACATTCTTGCATAATCTTTTATTCTTATTCTTGTTTCACTAAATCAAATTTCTAAAATTAAATTATGGTAGATTACATTTTATTGTAATTTTGGAGCAGATTTAACTATTTTCATAGAATGTTTGCATAATTTAGGCTAATTTTATAATAGAGTTTTACTTAGAATGTACATTAATCGAGATCTATTATTTTTTTTTGTTTTAAGCCATTGAATAATTTATTTTTATCAGATACATTTAAAGATGATATTAATCTATTAGCTGCTTCAATAAATGATTCAAGATCTAATTAGGCTTAAATTGATTCCATTTCACACAAAAGAGGTGTCAAAATTTGTAAAATGTCTGATTGAATTCCAGAAATTTCTATAGAGGAAGCAGAAATATAACCATCTCCATCAGAATCAAGTAATGAAAATATTTCTTATAAGATTTTCTGTTTTTTATCTTCATAAATTTAACTAGATTTATTTGAAGATTTGGCCATAGAATTAATAATGGATTATCTTTATTATTCAATTAAATAATTATGATGATCTTCCTGCACAGTTCTTAATTGAAAAAGATAATCTCCTATTGGAAGATTGGAATTATTTCTCTATGATATATTTTTTAGTAAATGAATACTTCATTATTAGGAGGTCTTCCAATAATTGGACGATATAATTTTTATCCATTTATTAAATCATGTGATGGTTCTTCAGTCATAACTGTTTCTTCTAATTTTTTTTATCTTTTCTATATCGATATTTGCATTCTTTCTAAGAAAGGAATATCAGAAGTAGATGGTTTTTATTTTAAAGGAGAAATCATGCCAGATTAATTAATAATTTGACTAGCTTCTTTTTTCTTTTTTAATGAATTTAATCCTTATTAATATAATCGGTCATGTATTTAACTCTTTTAAGCACTTTAATAATTTCTCTCTTTTTCTTAAGAAATCTTTTAACTTCTAAAAATAATTTGTTAAATTAATTATACATAGGATTTATTACAGGTTGAAATGAACATTATTAATTCTATGCAGCCATTCTACTATTTCTTAATTATTCTTTTCTTTAAGCCATCTGTTTACCTTACATAATTAAATAATCTTATGTTGGCATATTTGGTCTTTTAACCAAAGCCAAGCTTTTCTCACTTATATATGGTTTAAAAGAGTATATAATTTCTTATTTAGATTCTAAAACTCGACTTTGTTTTGATTTTAAATATAACTATTCTCCTGAGTTGTATGGTAATGTTCTTTAAGGACTGAATGTTTAAGATAAACTGTTTGTTATGAATTATTATTGTCTTTTCTAGGTCTTAACGGCAGCTTCATTATGTAATCGATCAAAAATGCTTTATTTAGAACAATGACTATCTTAAAGATTACTTAAGATTGTTTATTCTATTAAAATAGTAGCTTCTTCTCTTAATTAATGTTTATTAACAAATTCTTTTGCAATCATTGTTATATCAGAATCATCGTAAACATGTAATGTTTCCTTCAATCTATTATTTGTTAATATACTTGTTGCTTTTCTCCAAGATCAAAAACTATTTAAAGAACTTCTTATTTTGGTTTTCCAGGAGGAGTTGACAGACCTCTTGATTACATTTATTTATAATATAAATTAATCAGTTATGCTAAAACCTAATATTTTATCATTTACTAGAGACGATACTCCAAAACCATCTATTAATAGATAAAGACATGTTCATCAATAAATGGCCATTAGTATTGATTCACCAAAAGAGTTTTAATTTAAACATGCCAATGTTGAAGATATTCTCTTTTAAAAACAAACTAATGTTGCCAATCTATAAGGTATACTTTCTTCAAATAAACTCATAAGAGTTGGAATATAAAAGGATTAAATGGTATGGTAAAGCTTTGAATCTTTAACATGATATTTAACTTACTTTAAGACCTAATCTAAGTTTAATATAAGATAAAAAAGTTAATGAATCTATTCAAGAATCTGAAGATAGAGTCATTAGATAAAAATCAACTAAATGTAGATTCAATGATAAAATCTCGAATAGATCCTTTGAATTTAATCTAAATGGTAGATATTTAGATTAAAAATGTGCTTTCCAAGATAATTATACAAACTATTCTAAATAATCATTTAAAATTAAAACAGGCATGTTTGAATAATTCAAAAATGCTTAACTTCTATAAAAAAGAGGCAATTAATATGATAATTTACTTTAAAAACCTAATTATAATCATTGTAGTAAACAAAAAAGTCTTCACACATCTAAACATAATCCAAATATACTTAATTAAACAGATAACTCTCTTATACTTATTGATACTCCTATTAAATATTAGAATGAATTGAATTTTAAAATTGCTCGTAATTAAATTCTTTAATCAATTGAATCTCAAAAAAGAAAAAGGGCCATTTCAGAATATTGATTTAATTTCATATTCGAAAATAAAATAAAATAATAATATCATTATTAGAGTGAACATTAAAATGGGTAGTTTGGCTCTTCATTTAATAATATTAAAATTATTGTTTGATTTCCAGTTTTCAACTTCTGCTTCTTCTTTACCAAAGTTCTTACTACTGTTAAAATAGCAGTATCTGTAAATTCATTTATATCTTTTCCAAAATATCTTATATATGGTTAATTAATATGCTCAAAATTGATTACTATTGTTGAATTTTCCTTACTTTGACTGAAAATATCAAAAACTAATCTCATAAAATAAGTTCGAACCATTAATACCTTCCCTTCTGATTAGGGGATTATTTAATAATTTACTTATTTAAATTAGAATAACTCTTTCAATTTTATAAAAATTGGATAAATTTCAAAATATTATTATTTGAACTAATTATTTAAGATTTTATAATTTAAAATTTATTTGAAGCAACAAATTCTTAACAAATGTAATTGATTTAAATTAGTTGATTTTAACGAAATAGACAAATTATTTACAATACATTTAAAAATCTTGAATTGTATTTGTCTCTCTTTTTCAATTGTCTTATTTAAAAAAATTTTTAATTTCTCTTAAGCCTAAGAATAATTCTCAAATTTTATTAAAAATGTAGGCTATTAATAACTAAAAAAGCAAATTGTTATCATTTGTGTCTATTTTGGCCCTTTTTTAATTTCAATTTATTTGCTATAAGATTTAATTTCTTAAGATTGCTTTCTTTTAATTTCTAAAAAACAAAATTATTCAAGATTCTACTATTTATAATTCCATTCTCTTAAAAACTATTTTAAATTTTCTGAATTCTCACAATTAAATCCTAATTAGCGAGATGATATTAATGAAAATCTTAAATGATTACTTTCAAATTGAAATAAAATATATGATTTATTTACAATAATTGGTAAAATTTATTCCATCAAATTATCTTTTAAACTCAATAAGAAAAAACTTCTACTCTCGTAGTTTATTTTTCGAATATAAAAACTTAAAAAACATATAAGTAAAATTGTAGCAAAATAAACATTATATTATGGTGTTGTAGCATCAAATATTGCAAAACTCAATCTTAATAACATTGTTGTGGTTACAAGGAATATTCCTTGACACTAATCTACTGCCAAAATGATAACAAAGTTACAAGCAACAAAATTATTAGCAAATAATTGATGAGCTTCCTACGATATTGTGCTAGTTAACATATATTAATATGCAACTAGTAAATAGTTTAAAATCATTAAACAACATTATACTAATGAAGGTTTCCACTTTATAATGAAAATAGATAATATGAGATAAATTTAAGTAACAATTATTATGCTTAAATGATTCAAGTTGTTTTCTAAAATTTCTGTAATCATTTTTATCATGCTGATAAAAAACAATCCAACAGCACTAAAGGTATAGATTGGTTTTCTTAGCTAATTAATTTTCTTTTCTTAATATTCTTTCTCAGATCCTTAATCTAGAAAAATTAAACTAAATTTGTTCATATAATCTAATATTATTAATTTAAATTCTAAGACTTAGATTTTAAAAATCAAAGATTATATTTGAGTAGTTTCAAAGATGTTAGAAATTAAACTATTTTTAGAAATTAATATAAAATATTAAGATATATTTTACTAAATCAAATATGAGAAAATAAATCTTTCTTTAGCCAAACCTGATTAAATCTAATTAAATACCATTCTAATATATTAATTTTAATGTACTTTATTTTTTAAATTTAAGTCATTGTCGGATGTATACATAATATGATTCTTTAAGAGAATTTAGTCTTTTTTATTTCAAAAATATTTCTTTTTGTAATTTTAAATTATTTAGATTTCATATTATAAACTACTTTTTCAACTCTATACCTATAAAATTGTCTTGCTTGACAGCAGAAGTATTACAAAAAATATGAAGATGAATATTATATAATTATATGATTATACTAAACAAAAATGTTTAATTTAAAAATTATCATCTAATAGCTAAAAATCAAAAATGTGGAGCAGAATTGAATTTAAAAAATAGATAAATAGCTTTGTCTATGCAAAAAAATTCAAAATATATCTAGAAAACAAGTTGTTTAATCTTAATAAATTTAGTTAATATGAATCCTGAAGTTATGAAAATTCTAAAATATTTCCATCTTTTTTTAATACCATTAATCATTTCTAAATATTGTATACAATTGAAAAATAGCAAAAACAATCCATTAAAGTTCCAAGGCGAAGGGGTTATATATGCTCTTTTACCATAGTATCATATAATTTGAAATCATATTTTCTATTAGGAATTACTTCAAATAACATTGCTGCTCTCGATATTCCTCTTTTGCTCTCATCTTCTTTTCTTTTTTAAAAATGTTACTATTTCATTTGTGATAACTTCTTCACTCAATTTTGCAACATAACCTTTTTTTTTGTTGAGATGTTCTATTTTCTAGATCTGCTTATTATTTTTTATTTGACTTCTCTATTTCTAAATTAGAAATTCCGTTTTTTCAATAACTTATAAAAAGAAAGGATTTACAATTTGAAAAAGTTAAACAATTAGATCAATTTTATCATAATTATATTAATAATTTAAAGTATGAAATTTAAGTAAAATTCACTACTTCTCCATTTACTAAAATCTTTAATATAATTGATTTTTTTCCTCAAATAGCTTAGATAATTTTAAACAACTTTAAATTAAATTATCAATTTGTTCTTAATTCCAACTATAGTATAAACACTATTCTAAATGAAACTTTAATGAATGTTAATATCCTTCCTAAATGGCAATTTCTATTGCCTTTAAATGAAACTAAAAATATAAAATAAAATTTACTATTTTTTCAATTTGTTCATCATCAATTTCATTATTCAAATCTATTATTATTTCATAGAGTTAGCAATTTGGTTTGATTATATACAAACATTTTGCTAATTTAGAAAAATTGCTGTTAAAAATTCTCTATTTCAACATTTCATTAAAAGTTTATTATAATGCAAACCAAAACTCTTCATGAAGATACAATTTACAAATTAAATCAATATATTAATTGCTTAATTATCCTTTAACTAATCCTAATATCTATTGTTAATTTTATTTTACTTCTAATTATTGCATCTTATATTCAATGAATACAATATTTGATTTAGTTTGAACTTCCTCTAAAGCATAATATAATTCCATCAAAAGTTCAGATCTTCTGTTATTAAAATTAATTTTATCTCTTAATTCTCCCTATAAAACCTCTAATATGAATTAAAATATCTACAAGTTGCCAAAAGTTAGACTTAATGTTACAATATCGAAAAATTGCTTAACTAATCAAATTAATCACTTTTATTATGATTCATTTTGAATTTGTATATTGATTGATAAAATTATTATTCCTGTTAAATTAACAACTTTCTTACTTCTTCTTACTCCTATTAATATATGTATTAACTAATATAGTCCAAAATTACATTCATACGTAAATTTTATATTGGATTTCCATTATTTGAGATTACACGTTGTTCTTTTCCAATTTATAAAGAACTCAAGTAACTTTTATTCAAATGAATGTTAGAGTCTCTTTATTTTAAACATATAATTTAAATTTATAAAAGTTGTTAATCTGAAAAACAACACTAAAATATTTTAGAATAATAACAAATTTCTATTTTTTATCAAATATAAATGACGTAAAACAGCTTATCTTTGATTTGATATTTTTATAAGACAGACAAATTAAATCTTAATATTTTGAATGAATCTCTCTTTTCTAAATTGTATTATTATAAAATTAACAACATTAATTAACAGAAAAATATTGATTATGAATTCTAAGAGACCAAGCTAAGAAAGAGTTTCGAATTAATACAATTAATCTTTATACCCTTTAAATCCAATAGTCAATTCAAATATAGATTATAGTAAAATATCAGGATTAAATTCAAAAAATACAACTTAAAATGAAGAATTGAAAATGACCAATAGATACCTATAAACTTAATTAACATTATATTAAGGTTTAGATTTAATCTAGCATTAGAGAAAGTAGTTGCTCTTGAGAAAAAAATATCAGAATTAACTAATCAAACAGAATATTTACAAAATGAATTAAACAATTATCAATTTGAACTTGAATAAGTTTATGTGAATACTCAGAAGTAATTTAGTTAATAAGAAATCTCAAAAGAGGAAATTGAAGGAAAGGAAGAGAATATAAATTCCCTTTAAGTATAAGTGCAAATTCTTTAAGAGAAAATTACAACTATGCATAATACTTATTAATAAGAAAGATTATAAATGAAATAATTATTATTAAATAAAGAACTAGATAATAAGTATATTCTTTATATGATTATTAGATTATTATATTCAGAGTTAAATAAATTGTAGATAAAAAATGGATAAAAAAATTTGGCTGAAGATGGGAATTAGTTAAAAGCTATAATTGCTGAATACAATGAATTTAAAATTAAAAAATTGAAAGAAATAGAACAATTATAAGATTAAATAAATAATTACTAAGATAAATTGAAATAATTAGATTAAATGTAAATATTTTTAAATAATTTGAATAGTAAAATCGAAGAAATTCAATCTAAATATCATTAATTGGTTTAGGATTATGAATAGTAATAAAAATTAGAGAGCTAATTAAATTAATAAATTTTATAACTGTAAAGTTAATTGTCAATATTGAGTCATTAATGTTAGACAGTTAAAGAGGAGAAAAATTAATGGAATAAAGAGAAATAAGCAATAGAAACTTATTATTTAGATTAACTACAAAAGTAAGATAATCAAATAAATTTAATGATAAGAACAAATTAAATATCAGATAGTAAAGTGATTATTTAAAAGTTACAATCATAAATAGAGTAAGGTATTTTATTAATTTAGATAAAAAGATAAATTAATAAAGGAAATAAGTTAATAAAAATGTAATTGTTCTTAAAGTGTATAATATCATAAAGAATTAGAATAAAAAAATACAACTTTAATATTGGAAGTTGAAAGATTGAATTCTATTTTGAAATCTAAGTTATTAGAGTTGGAGAATATTGAGAAAGAAAAGAAATTCTAGATGGATAAACAAGTACAATAGTAAGTTTATCACAATCTAGTTTAAATATAAAAGGTTTAAAAATGAATATAATTTATTATTATTTCCAGATTCTATATATAAATGTTATTAATAATTGAAAAATCGAAAAAATTTAGAAATGTTGTAAAGTGAATGGGAATTGAGTATAGCAATAATAGGTGATTCAGGAGTAGGAAAATCAACATTTTTATAAATGTTTTTAACTGGTTAGTTTGTACTAAGACATAATGATAAAATAACAATTAATCATAAGGAGATTATGTTAGGACAAAAGACAGTTTAATTAAAACTTATTGATATTGTAAGTATATATTTAGAATAGAAGTCTGGTAAAGAACCATTTCGTTCTATGGCTTGGGTTCATTATAGAACTTGTATAGGAATAATCTTAATTTTCGATCTTTCTAGTAGAGATAGTTATGAGAATCTAAAGAAGTGGTACGAAGAGATTCAATAATATGTTGACTAAGAAAAAATTATAATTAGATTGGTCGGTAATAAATGTGATAAATTATTTTATAATGATGTTGATTAAGGAAAAGAGGGGGCAAATGATAGGTAATGAGAATTCATATTAATTTTTAAGACATTACATATAATTTGAGGAGGGTGAATAGTTTGCAGCTACTCATTAAATGTAATATTCTCAAACTTCAAGCAGTGTGATTTCTTTAGCTTAAGATGAAAATTACTAGAGTATTCCTTAAATTTTTGCAAAATTTAGTGAAGAAATATTGGAATTTATTAAAAAAAATCAAGAAAATGGTAAAATAGAAGAATTGATGGGAATCAGAAGTTTAAAAAAATAAGTTGTAGTACATGAAGTTAAGAAAAAAATAAATCGAAGTTCTTGTTGTTGAATAGAATTTATAAGACACTAAATAACAATCTATATATTTTTTATAGTTTTCTACAAATTCAGCATTTAAAATGGAGTAGTAATAATTAATAATATTTTAATATTTATATAAATAATTTATTTTTCTGATGAGTTCTTATGCATACCTATTTAAATTTATTATTATTGGAGATTCAAGTAATAATATTCCATAAAGAAAATAGGTGTTGGAAAATCATGTTTACTTTTACAATTTTTGGATAGGAAGTTTAAATTAGATCATGATACAACAATAGGAGTAGAGTTTGGAAGCAAAACTTTAAACATTAGATAAAAGAATATAAAACTATAAATTTGGGATACTGTATAAACAAATATGATTGATTTAGGCTGGATAAGAAAGTTTTAAATCAATTACTAGATCATATTATAGAGGATCAATCTGTGCATTAATTGTATATGATGTAACAAGCAGAGACAGTTTTGAGAATATCAGTAGATGGATGGAAGAAACTAAAAGTTACGCAAATGATAAAATAACACTAGTCTTGGTTGCTAATAAAACAGATTTATCAGACAAGTAAATTTATATAGAAAATCTATTAGGAGAGTAATATCAATTGAGGAAGGTTAAACATTTGCAAAGAAACATGATTTGATATTTGTAGAGGCATCTGCAAAAACAGGATTTTAAGTAGATAAAGTAATTTCTATTACATTATGCTTTTAGATTTTTTAAGAAGCAGCAGAAGCAGTTCTCAAAAAAATAGAATAGAGAGATATTGATGCAACAAATGAAGTATAGAATATTTAAATTTAAAGTCTATTGGTGTGAGAATAGGTTCATAAATGACAGAAGAAATGATTGAAAAGTAAAAAGAGCAGAAATCATCTAAATGCTGCTGAAATTATTATAATTTAACTTTAAAATATAAGTTTTTTTAGTTTTCATTTAATTCTATCGAAAATTACTGAGTTTATGTTTTTGAGGATTGAAATGTATTCAAAATCTAAATAGTTATTTTAATGTATGAAATATTTGTGTAATAATTGTATGTTATTAAATGATTCTCGATTAAAGTAATAAGATTTACTAAAAGATGATTAGAGTTTTCTTGCATTTTGTCTTAAAAATAAATAAAATACGGGAAATAGTTGGAAATAGGATTGTTACAAATTCTCAATAAAAAGAGATATTGACTATGTTCTGTAAGTGCAATGTATAAAAGTGTAGTATTATTTTGAGTATAAAATGAATAGAAGATAAGAGATAAAGAAATGCTGATATTGAGAAGTGGAATATAGAGTAGAAATGTGTAAATTGAAGTCAATTAAAATTTTATCGAAATATAATGTTACAAATATGGATTTATTGAGTGATGCATCTTAAGTTCATAATTTCAATCTATGTTTTAACGTGTGATGAAATGTATTTGATTTAGATATTATTTTTCATAATAAATTTTTGATAGCAATTATTTATTTAACAGGTTCTATCACACCCTATTTATCAGCTTATAAACTAAAGTTTCAATGACAGGTTTTAGATAGAACAGTTATGGGGTAGATTGCACATTTAAGCAATTTGAGGAGAAAAACCATGAACTCTATTTGAGATACTTCAGAAACTGCTCTTATTAAAATCTTTTAAACTTATAGAGGATATTGAATTAACTAGACAGAGATGATAATTTGCAGAATTACCTGATAAATCATTAGCTAAAATACAATTGAATTCAACCAACAAAGTTATCACTATTTATTGTTAATTTGGAAACTTATGATTCATATCAATTATCTTATATTAAAGGTGCCCTGAAAAATTATGGAATTTCTGTAGTTATCTCTTAGAAGAAGGGGAAAATCAAACTATTGATGAATAAGTTACTTAAAAGTTCAAATTAGTTAATTTAAAATTTGGAAAAGTTGGATAAAGAGTCCAAGGATTTGCTAAATCAAATTTACCAGGAGCTGAATATCATAAAGGATATTAATTTAATTTTAATTCAGTAGAAACACTTAAATTTAGATTCACTTTCTTAGAATTGTTATCTTTAGTGAATCCTCTAAAATTCGCTGAACTTTTAGCCATTACAAAATGTTAATCAACTAGTATAAAGGCTATTATGGTTACTAAAGATCAATAACCTATTGCAAGTAGTATTTCTTTATTAATTGGTACTAAAAAAATATCAAACTTAAAGATTGAATCTTGTATCTGATTAATGGGACAATCAATATTTTGATTATTTTATGTAGATATTTTGATAGATCTGATTCACTTTTTATCCAAATAATCTTGTTTCAAAACTGCAGCACTAAAATATGCTTTCACCTCTTATTTTTTTGCTTTTGTCTTAGTATAATGGTCTAATGTTTTCAGTTGCAAATGTAAAAATTTTCATTTATTTATAGAACATAAAATTTCAATGATTTATTTCCCTATTAATAGAGTGATTTTTTAAGGAGTGATTCTTGAAACCATCATTTTCTTTGTATTTTCTAAATTCCAAGAGTCAATACTTAGTTTGGTGCTAGACCTGTAGATATACTTAATAGACGTAAATATTTCAATAAAACCTTCTAAAAAACCTAACAAATTGCAAATTCACTTTGATGATTAAATTGAAGTTATGTTNTTTCAATGACAGGTTTTAGATAGAACAGTTATGGGGTAGATTGCACATTTAAGCAATTTGAGGAGAAAAACCATGAACTCTATTTGAGATACTTCAGAAACTGCTCTTATTAAAATCTTTTAAACTTATAGAGGATATTGAATTAACTAGACAGAGATGATAATTTGCAGAATTACCTGATAAATCATTAGCTAAAATACAATTGAATTCAACCAACAAAGTTATCACTATTTATTGTTAATTTGGAAACTTATGATTCATATCAATTATCTTATATTAAAGGTGCCCTGAAAAATTATGGAATTTCTGTAGTTATCTCTTAGAAGAAGGGGAAAATCAAACTATTGATGAATAAGTTACTTAAAAGTTCAAATTAGTTAATTTAAAATTTGGAAAAGTTGGATAAAGAGTCCAAGGATTTGCTAAATCAAATTTACCAGGAGCTGAATATCATAAAGGATATTAATTTAATTTTAATTCAGTAGAAACACTTAAATTTAGATTCACTTTCTTAGAATTGTTATCTTTAGTGAATCCTCTAAAATTCGCTGAACTTTTAGCCATTACAAAATGTTAATCAACTAGTATAAAGGCTATTATGGTTACTAAAGATCAATAACCTATTGCAAGTAGTATTTCTTTATTAATTGGTACTAAAAAAATATCAAACTTAAAGATTGAATCTTGTATCTGATTAATGGGACAATCAATATTTTGATTATTTTATGTAGATATTTTGATAGATCTGATTCACTTTTTATCCAAATAATCTTGTTTCAAAACTGCAGCACTAAAATATGCTTTCACCTCTTATTTTTTTGCTTTTGTCTTAGTATAATGGTCTAATGTTTTCAGTTGCAAATGTAAAAATTTTCATTTATTTATAGAACATAAAATTTCAATGATTTATTTCCCTATTAATAGAGTGATTTTTTAAGGAGTGATTCTTGAAACCATCATTTTCTTTGTATTTTCTAAATTCCAAGAGTCAATACTTAGTTTGGTGCTAGACCTGTAGATATACTTAATAGACGTAAATATTTCAATAAAACCTTCTAAAAAACCTAACAAATTGCAAATTCACTTTGATGATTAAATTGAAGTTATGTTAATATAAATAATAATTTTATCGAAATTGATAAATTAAATCATTTTTAAAAGAAGTGCTTGAATTTCAATGATCACTAGATAATAAGTCATCGTATTCATAAGTGTAGATGTCAATATTAGATGAACAAAGAGGCTCAGAGAATAATATAAATTAAACCACTATATTATATCTAAATTTATTACATTTCGAAGATATAAATAAACTAGAGACCAAAAGTCTAACATGATATTTGGTACACTGATATATCTTCAATATTTTAGAAGCTTAAAAGTTACCATTAAACTCAATCATCACTTCCATTTCCTCTTTCAAATTCACCAAATTACATTTAATCAAACCTTTTTCACTATTCTCAAATACACTTAGTAATAACATTAAAAGTGCATTTGGTATTGTAAATAATGTTTCCATTTTATTTGCATTTTAGAATATAATATTTTTATCAGGATAAAGATTCTCTATTTAAGATATTACAAATTATATATTGACTGTATTAAAATGATATTTATGATCATGTAATTCTTCTATTAATTAAACAAGAATTAATCTCCTTCTTATTTCTTTTATCATCAAATTATATTTCAATTAGGTTTCTAATTTAGTTAATATGTTTATGAATATATTATTATATAAAATAAATCTCTTCTTATATTTTTTTAGTTACTTTAATGAATGCTTATTTATCGAATTTATTCGCAATAAAATCATTGGATTTTTCAATTAAAATATTGACATTTCTACCTATAATAGCTACTTTTAAAATCGAATTCTTAATATTTAATTAAAATGATCATAACAATCCATTTAGAATTTTTTTATACTACCATATATATGTTCTGAAAGTGATGTTTTACCTAAAGTTGAATTCTATAGAAAATGTCTTATTGTTCTGTCATCCTGATCGCATTACTAAAGGTCTTCCTCAAAATCTAAACAATCTTTAAAAGGAAATCTATTTTACTTTTAGACAGTGAAACTCAAATTTGTATAAGAAAATTTCAATAAGATATAAGGATCTTTAACCAATTCAAAAAATATTTTATCCCAACCGTTCTCCACTAGTCCTAATAAATATTAAGATCTTTTGGCTTTATGATATGTATACACATAAAATATAAATGATAAATTAGCTATTATTGTGCTTGTGAGTACCATATAATTTTAACTATTTGTTATAATAAATGGCAATGATATTCTTAAAGTTGTTATTACCACTAATTAAATGACTGAATCAAAAAATTCTCCCGATAATACCAGCATTAGATTAACAGCCATTAAGTTTGCTCCTTTCATATTTTGGATTTCTGGAGAATTCTCTTACTCCAGCACAAACCCCATCACACAAATATTCGTTATAAAAAATGCAATTCTTGTCCATTATGGTTACCACTAAACAACTACATATTAAATGATGAGATAAAGTAACATTGTAAGTTTGTAATAAAATAGAAAATCAATATTCTCAATTAAAGAATACATGACTCTAATAAATAAAGTAACTATTAATCCAAAAGACACTAATTTGAAAATAGCTGATCTCGAATTTGATAATTGAAACTGCTAGTATTAGTTCTCTATTTTAGGATCTATGAACCCTAAATGAAATTAATTCATTAATATGAATATATTATATTGAATATTTTGCTTAGAATAATAGGATTAATTTGATATAATTATGTGTTTTAAAAATGAAAATGATTAATTAAGGAATAATTTAGAGCAAAATTATATTGTACTTGCTCTAAAAAAAATTTAAGATTAATTAAGTTTCAAAGATTATTTTCTCAAGAAAAGCTAAAATTTATATTTATATAAATAATAAAATAAATATATCTGCTGAAGATAAATTTATCTTATTTTTGAGGTTTTTCTAAATAAAAATAATTAAATGAAAATTGATGCAAATGTGAGCTATATAAATTTTCATGAACCTAAAAGTGAGATATATAACTTAAATTCTTATTTTATATTATTTAAATCCAATAAAATTAAAAAGACTGATTGCTTTAGGTAAATGAAATAAAAATAAATAAGATGATAAAATAATTTTTTAATCATTAAATGCTGTCATAAGAAAAAAAAGTATAATAATTGTTAATTTAAATAATGATAAAAATATTGATATTTATTTTTTAATAAAAATAAAATAAGAATAAAAATTTCTTATTAAATGGCCTCTTAAAAAAAATAAAAGAAACAAATAAAAAATTAATTAAGTAGAAAAAAGAGTATAAGGACAAATATTCGAAAAACAAAGAGTGATTAATTGGTTTAATATGTGAAGAAGTTTTAGAATCAATTTAAGTTAAATTAATTAGATTAAGATAACAAAGAGATTATACCTTCATATTAGAGTATTCCAACAAGTTATTAGTTGAAGGGGAAAAAGAAATTTCAGAAGAAAGAAGCAGTGAAAGGACTAGTAGGATTAAAAAACTTGGGAAACAAATGTTATATGAATGCGTCGATCTAATTACTTAGTAATTTGTAGCCATTGTCGGATTATTTTATTGAAGTAAATTTTGGATGAGCAAAAAAAGGATTTCCAATTAACAGAGATTAATCGAAAGAATCCAATCTCCACGTAAGGTTTAGCAACAGTGGCATTTGCAAATTTGATAAAGAGTATTTGGCAAATGGATATTCAGAAACTAACAGTGAAAGGAACACCAATAATAATTCCGGAAGAATTTAATAAAATAATAGGGTATTGCAACAAATCATTTTCAGATAATAGTTAATAAGATGCTTAAGTATAGATATGCATTAATATATGAGGAGTTTCTGATGTATTTACTTGATATGATTCACGAAGATTTAAATAGAGTGACATTTCCAATAAAGAGTGTATAATTGAGAGAATATTTGGGAGATTGTAATTAGAGAGAGTTAGAGAGATAAGCAGCAGAAACATGGGGTGATTATTTATAAAGAAGCAAATCAATAATAGTAGATTTAATGTAAGGATAATTTAAGAATTCATTAAAATGTTTGAGTTGTGATAAGTACACTTATAAATTTGAGCCATTAATGTATTTAAGTGTTCCAATTCCAGAATAAGAGGAATGTTAATTAATTGAATGTATAAAGGAATATGTAAAAGAAGAGCAATTGACAAATGGGAATTAATGGTTTTGTGAGAATTGTAATAAGTTGGTAGATGCAATAAAAAAGATAGATCTATGGAAACTTCCAACAATTCTAATAATCCACTTAAAGAGGTTCAAATTTGTTGAGAATGGTATTAAAAAGATTGAATAAGCAATTAATTTTCCTTTAGAGAGTTTGAATTTAAGTTAATGTTTACCAAAACTATAAAAAGAAAAGCCTATATATGAATTATTAGGAGTTGTTTGTCATACAGGAACAAGTGATAGAGGACACTATTACACTTATGCAAGAAGTAAAGAGAATTTTAATTGGTATTTGTTTAATGATAGGTAAGTAAAGCAAATAAATGTAACTGAAATACCTTAAGAAGATGCTTATCTTTTAATGTATGGCAAAAGCACTATTCCATTAATCAAACGTTAAACTATATCATTTCCTGAAAATTGGCCTCATGTAATAAAATGAATCAATTCAATATTTTAATTATAATCAATAACTCATGAGTTCTACATCAAAAATATCTACATCTGTTCTAGTTTCATGATTTACTATCCCAATCATAATGTTAAATCTACCATTCTATGGATTCTCAGTCACTCTTAATATATTCACTTTTGGTCCAACATCAAAATATTTTAATGTAGTATACTCTTAACTCTCTGCAATCATTTTCCCTTTTATAATACTATGATTAATTGGTTTTAAAAAATCTTCTAAGTCTTTTTCCCATAATTTTATATTCTTATCATAAATCAAATAAATCTTACTTAACTCATTGCCCTTCTCACTTCCCATAATTATAATTTATTATTTTCACCAACTGCTAATACCCAAATTTTACTCATTTTCTTTCTGGGTTCCAAAATTATTAAATCTTTAACTGAATTTTAAACTCCCAAATCTCTAAAATTTGATATACTACCTTCTTCTACCAAAGACAATTTAGAATCATCTTTCATCATCCTTAAAAATCTTAATCCTTATTCTTTCTAATCTCCTCCATGGTATTCTTTTCTTAATATAATTCAATTTTATACTGTTCTCCACAAACAAAATGAATTAATTTTAATGTACTTTTATCATCATTTAATGCATCTGTACTTATAATCTAAAATGTATTATTAGCTAACATTTTGACTTATGATACATTATGCACCACTCTTTCAGAATTTATACTATTAATCATATGTAATCTGCTTTTATCTTATGAAAATGTCATAAACAATTTCCCTGCTTCTACAACACTAATACCTTACACTGGCTTTTCATATAGAAAATTCAAAACTATTAAATTTATTCTAAATACCATGCAAAGCCTAAGGATTCTATACATGATATATTGCCACACTACCAGTAGAATATCCGGCTACAAAAAACTCCCCTGAATATAATTCTGCAAAACAAGTAGCCGCAGATGATCCATCAGGCTTATGAAATTAACCTGCTGGCTAAGAATTTATTGTATATCGACCTTCATTTCTAAAAATCTGCAATTAATATGACAATAACTATCCAGAATCATAATATTGACCTACTACCAAAGTTATCTCACTTTCAGCTGATGTATTTGTATATAAAAGGGGCTTACTCATTGCTAATAAGCATTTCACTCCCTATTAACTTTTTGTATCGATCTTTTAAATTATTTTCTTATCCTATATCCTATAAATCTCAATATATGGATTAAATCGAGCTCTATACTAATTTATATAAAATACGCTATTGCTATTAATTCTGAATTTAATGGAACAAAACAACTAACTTCAGATTATGTAGATTTTACACTTCCTAATTTTAGTATTGAACAATTACTCAAAGTCTCAAATAGCATACCCAATATACATTTCTATCTAGAAGGATCTATTATTGTATTTTGAGATTCTTTATGGAAATAATCATTTAAAGTTGGAATAGCAGAAGTGTTTAATTTTACAATTTACTCTTATTCTTTTTTTTAAGGAATTGGAGGAGGAATTCCCTTGAAAATACTAAAAGCTCCATCTACTTTAAATTGCTTTTTAAATTTTTCATCAAACTCCTATAATTATGCTAATTCAAATTTAGGTATTCTCGGTGATAATTTATTCAAATCAACCTCTAATGCTAAATAATCTTGAGATTTCTTTAAAACTGCTTATAATTTTTAAGCCACATTCTACATTATATCTATATAATCCTAAGTCATTTCAAATGCTTTTTCTTGCTCATTTATGATGATATTTCCATATTCTTATTTGAGTTTCTCCTCTAATCTAGTTGGTTTACTTTAATTTAAAATATAATAATCATTAGAAACTGTTTTCTTTGGTTCTTAGTTTTAAAAAGAGACTCCTTTAATTCCTTCTCTCACAAATTTTTCAAATTTATCTTTAGGTATATGTTTCTTGTAAATTAATGAGTGAGCAATTATATGACTTTTTATTATAGTGGTTTCGAATGAATTTTCAAAACTTGTAAAATATTTATGCAAAGAAGCTACTATTATTGACATGTGTTCTATGATGCTATTTAAATAATCTCTCAATATTGATATAACAACATCTCTATATAGGTTACACTTTTTTCTTTACTCTTCTAATATAATTTTTCGACTAGAAAGTTGATTTATCAATTATGAAACAAATGTATGTAAAGGATACACTGAGTTTGGATGAAATCTATGTTTTTGATATTGGCATCTAACACAACAAAGTCCTTTATACTTACATTCAGAATCTAAACAAACCTAATCCAAAGCATTTCCCTAATGACCAGGTTCTTCACAATCAAAAAAAGGCAACATCGATTGAATTTCATGATCTGATATTTTTTTTCCCAAAAAAGCAAAGTAATCTGCAGCATAAAGTAAATTTTCTTCAGTCATCTGTTTATAATTAAAAAAATAATATAAGAATATAATATACAATTTAAAATATAATTCATAAAATTTTTGATCTCATCTTAATAATTGAAAAGTATAACTGTTGTATGTATGCATGCTATTCTTTTTTATAGATTTAGATCCATAATATTTGTAAAATATTTAAATATTGTAGAAAATTAAGATCTTAAATGTGAACTTACCAATTAATCTAATATATAATGTATTATAAAAAATTGATTTTCTTTAAAATATTTCAAATATCTGATTATCAATTAATTGGTTTGCTTAATCAAATTCTTAAAGTAAAATTCAATAAATCTAATATACTTAAATTAGTATTACTTAATATAAATAATGGCTTCTATAAAATGATAATAATTATATATTTAATGAGTATTTCAAACGAGAATGGTCAGAACTCATTTAGTTTGTAAGATGAGTTCTTCTAAGGTCCAAACGCAGAAATGATTTCAGGTAGAGTAATACTTGGGAGTGGGGAATCCAATAGAAATGCCCCTGAAAGTTGGAATTCGTTATCAGTTCCTGAATAGCATAAATTAGCAGATATCAGTTAATAATCAATTAATGTGATGCCTATAGATATGCATAAATCAATGAAGAATATGAGAAAATCTGAATATTAATCTGCTTATGCAATAGAAGATGAAGTAGAAGTAGGAGGAAAACCATAATTTCTTAAGTTAATTATTGCAAAAAGCTTTTAAAATAATTTTATTAACAATCTTTGGAATAGATCTTATTTAAGGAAGCTTCATTAACTTTCTTTTTATCAAATATAAGCACTTGATGATTTGTAATTAGAAAATGAAGCATATTTACATAATGAAAAGAGAACTTTAACAAAATGGGAAGCTTTCAAGAGATTTTTTTCATACATTGAGGTATTTACTCCATACAGTTAATTAATATTTATTTGGGGACTATTTTAAATTTTAACATATTTGTTAATATTTTTTTGGCTACCATATAAAATTTCATTCAAATTGGAATCAATAGGGGATTTTTTGGGAGTAAATTCATACAAGTAATCGTTGGAAATAGTTTTTCTAACAATTTTGAGTTTAGATGTTTTTGTTGGTCTGAACTTAGCATTTATACATAAGGGTATAATAATTCGAAATAGAAAACGAATATTGATAAATTATTTTAGATAGTATGCATTTGTTGATTTGGTATAAAGTGTTTAATATATAAGGATTTAAGGTTTCGCTGAGTACTGTGACTGTATAATTCTTTATTCTCACAAACGATGACGAATCTAACTAAATGCTGATAATATAAATAGTTTTATGTGCAATATTTTATGTACTTCGATTAACAAAAATCAATAAGATTTTGGCTTAAATATAAGAGTAAATGATGTTGTTATAAATAGATTTTTCAATTTGTATGGGTCTTTAAATGATTTGGTTGGTTTGTTAAAGTTAACAATGATGATTGTATTTATAGCCCATATATGTGCTTGTGTGTGGCATGGTCTTGCATTTTATAATGAAGGTTATTCTTGGTTGGATGAATATGATCTAAGAGATAAGGGGAATGCATCTAAATACAATAAAGCATTTTATTGGGCTACAATGACAATGACTACAGTAGGTTATGGTGATATAACTGCTAAAAATAATATAGAATTATTGATGAATAATCTGACAATGTTGATAGCATCAATAGTGTTTGCATATTCAGTAAATAGTATAGGAATATTTGTATCAAATATGTATAAAGGTGCAATGGAATATAGTAGGAGTGTGACACTAATAAATACATTTATGTCGAAAAATAAGATTTAGTTTGAATTATAAACAAGAATTAGAAGTTATTTAGAATATATTTGGTAAGAGGAGTAAAACATGAATGATGAAGAAGTGTCGTCATTAATTTGTAAATTGAGTAGTAATTTGTAAGAGGAATTATAATATTAATTAAGGGGAAATATTTTAAGTAGTTGCAAAGTGATGGTAAAGACTTTCTCTGAAAAAATGATAAAAACTTTATTGGGATAAATGGAAGAATAAAGTTTTTCACCAGAAGAGCGAATTATTACTCTAAATTAATTAGATGATTCTTCATTGTACATTATTACAAAAGGAGAGGTAGAAATAATATTCGAAGGATTTAATAATTTAAATGAAAGAATTTAGAGGAATAGTTTAAAATTTCTTTATTAAGGTGATTATTTTGGAGAATTCTCTTTTTTTACTGGTTAATTAAGAAAAGCAACAGCTATTTCAAGAGCATTTACTAAAGTTTTTAAAATAAAGAGAGAGAACTTTATTAAGATATTATAATCATATCCAAATGATTATGAAAAATACTGTTAACTAAATCATACACTTTTGCATTAAGATTATAGTGCTCTTTAAGTAACTTGTTATAGTTGTTAGAGTAATTAACATTTAATTGATAAGTGCAATTATTTACATTATTGTCCTGATAGAGAAGGTATACTAAAAAAAGAATTGTATCCTTATGATTAGGCAAGGAATAAAAAGATAGGAAGATAGAATAGGGATAAAGAAATTAGTCCTTGGTTGATGACTAAAAGTTTGGTTATGAAAGCTAAGGAAATTTAATAGGAATAATAATATTTAGCAAGTAGGGGAACTGATTTTGAAGAGTATGAATAACACTCAAATTTAATGAATGATGTTTATGAAGATGAAAGTAATGTTATAATAATATTGATAAGTTGAAATTGATGTGCCATCATCTTTGAATTAAAGAAGTAACTCTAGATCGTTTAGTAAGATTAGTTAGAAACTGCATTAATAAACTACAATAACAGATAATGATGAAGATGATTCTAAAAATTACTCTAGAAAACCAGTAAATCCTAGGGCCACTCTATAAACAGCTGGATTTGGTGGAGGGATGAGAGAAAGTATTAGAGTTGATTAAATGAGAGATGATGAATATTAAGATATTTCAGAAGAAGAATCAGAAGAAGAGAAGGATTAAGTATTAATGCAATTACCATTACCTGTAAAACAAAATTAAGAAGTTCACAGAATTCAATAATAAAAAATTACTTTTACAAGAAAAGATTCTTCAGAAGAAATCATTCCTCGTTAATCATCACTTAGATCTCATACTTATACTTAAAAAGGAAGATAATCTTAAACAATCAAAAGAACTTTGACTCCAGAAAAAATATTTCCACCTACAGCATCAGATTTAGATGTTAGAAATCAATAAAAAAGAGCTACTTAAAAAAGATAATCTAATACAAATAGAACTTTTACAAGGAATCAAGGAAGGGAAATGACAAATGATGTTAATCATACTTCCATTGTTGATAATCAGACATACAATCCACATATTACCAATTCCATTTTTTATGACTTTGATAAAATGCAAATCTACGTGTATTATTTTCCTCTCAACAATTATGATATTATTATTAAAAGGTAAAATCTTATCATTTTATTTTTCTTAGATATGCTAGATTACAAAAGTTTTTTGGAAAGAAACGACTTTACCCTGAATTCTCAAAATATTCATTTTTCTTTTTAACAATTAAAAAAGGATGGAAACTTAGAAAATTAGGAGATAAAATTACTGGATTTAAATATGCTGAATCTTTAAAAAAGCCCTTCACCAAGACATTTCAGAGTATTAAAACAGTCAAAAAAATGGTTCATAACACCACTGGAAATGGAGGAGGAGGGACCTCTCCTTTAAGATTATAGTCTTTTAAATGAAATTATAATTTTATCCTTTTTATTCATATAATTATTTATCAAATCCCTATTATCATTCTCATCAATTCATATTCCTCAATTAATTCTCTATGGCTTATTTGATAACCACATAATATATTATACAACAGACAACTTATAGTTGTAATAAGATCAGGAAATTGAAAAGTAAAATCATTAATAAGACTATACAATTGTTTATTGCCTTTAATTTATATTAATGCTTAATCCATATTGTATCTAGATTCTTCTCTCAAGGCCAATTAAAATGGAATAGTATGAATATTTGTAATTTGCATCTCAATTCTTTACAATACTATAAACAAGTAGTAAACAAATATCACTGATAAATGATGTGGCAGATCACTAGTTTCTGACTTATTTTTGAACCAATCCTAAAGATTTGATTTTGAGTATTGATTTTAAATGTCATAATCTAATTATTTAGTTATTATTGCAAATCCTCTAGTCATATTATTGTCCTTGTCTATTGGAGCAATCGAATTATATAGTAAATCAAAATCACACCATTAAGGAGGGTACTTGAATCTTATATTGGTATTTCACATACCTTGCAACATCAAAGAGCATTACTTTTCTTTCTTTTAAATGGACTCCTCCAATAGGAGAAAAATGGCCTTCACCTGTTTGTCCCATAATTTTTCTGCTATTATTTACTACCATAAAGAGTCTGTCCATTCTAGATGTTGCTTCCAAACATATATTAAATGTTGAAACAGATGCTATTTTATATTAATTTTGAATTCGTGTACATTATTCTTAACAATCATAAAAACTTGACTTAAACAATACACTCTTACTTTTTTTATTCATACTATTGTTAATATAAATTTGGATGATAGAATGTTTGAATAGCAACCTTATTGTGCTTAGAAATATGTGAAAATGCATCTAAGTCTATACCATTTTCTAAATGTTCTTTTTTTAAACCATGTAAATTCTCTTCTGTGTACCATTTCCAAATTCTATTATTACATTATTTTAATACCCCTTCCATTAAACTCCTGGATCAATTTTAAGTGCATTTAAAACCATGACAAGTGTTGTTGATCCACATGTAGTTGGATGCAATTAAGTTATAAATTACTCAGCTAGGGGAAAATAGCATTCCATTGTATTCTACTCTAAAGCTTCTTTGAAAAGTCTTTTCCCTTCTTTTGAAGAAAATGCTATCAAATTTGAAGGCATTTATCTCATATATACTAATTGTTTGAGATTTTGCATTTATAATATAATTTTCAATTATCTTAATTTAGTTTTTCTAAGAATTAAGTGGGCCCTCCATATTTTTCAATTAGTTTTTCAAAATACACGGCTCGTTCAGCTGACATAGATCTAATTTTTGATTTTTTAAAGTTAGATTTAATTGAGTGATATTGACTTCTAATACTTCGTTCTTGAGCTTATTATTATAAATTGAGAATATTTTCTACTCTTTCATTGTAATTTTTCATAATTTCATCTATGTTGAATTGAGTAAAAAACGCAGTCATGATATACATTCTTTCAAATTCATCTTAATGTTGGTTTTTAACTTCTTTTTGATTCTCTATTACTTCAAAACCTTCTTAAGTAGGTTCTTCTTCGTTTCGCCTAAATTAATATATTAAATTACTATTAAAGTTTAATTAATCGATCATCATCCCCCTCTTCCTGTGCAGAATAAACTTATTTAATTTCATTAGCAACTTCATTGGTAAGAGCAAAACAACCTCTTGAATTGTATCTGATTTTTTCATGCCTTTTGAATTCCTTAGTAAATTTATATTATTTTTGCTATAATTCAATAATTAATTCTTATTTTCTATCATACTTAGTTACAAAATGTAATTTTGGACAAGTAGAAGAAAAATGATTCATTTATTAACAACCAAAACATGGTAAACCAAGAGGAGAATAGTCTTCATTTAATTCAATAATATGTTTGTTCATTTGAAAAAATTGATTTTACGTTTAGTATTTTTTCAAAATTTCAGTGAATTTTTTTTTTTTCAATTTTTAAACATAAACAAAATCAAGTGTGTATGCTGATGCACTTCTTGATTTATTACTAAAGAATCCTAGTTCTCCAAATGTAGCACCTTTATCTAAGGTTTTGAGCCAAGTAAATGTTTTTTAAATGCAAAGCATAACCTACCCTTAATTAAGAAAATATAAACATCTCTCTTCTATATTCTATCCATTTTCTTATTCGATTGGATCATCCCCTTCTAAGAATATACATTCTTCAGGACCAAAGATTTATTCTTCTAATTCGAAAGGTAATTGTAACAGCAGTTCTCTTTCAAATTTATTTTATTTGAAAACCTTTGAATTATTGATCAAATCTGTATTGACAGCAGCTAGTACTTCAACTCTTAAAGAGTATGATAATACATCCAAAGCCTCTTTTTCATTTACTTAAGTGGATTCTTTTTCATATTTATATTCAAGATATTTTCTTACTCTGGCTTATAAATCTTTAGGAATATCATTAGATTTTAAAAATTGATTAGCTTAACCCATTTTTTATCTAATCAACTTTTCATTGTAATCCATAGAAACAAATATTCCACCAATACTGTTCATAATATAAGCAAAAATACAGCAAGCTAATAACATAACAACTATTCCAAATATCTTTTCTACTGATGTTACTGGAGTGATATCTCCATAACCTACTGTAGTCATAGTAGCTGTTGCCCAATAAACTGATGCTATATACTTAACATACCATTCACTATCTTACAAACCTTAAGCTGTCAACCAACTGTCACTGTCAGAGGAGTTTTCCTAATCAGCTATGAAATGCCATATACAAGCTAACCAATGTGCTACAAAAAGCATTATAAATGTTAATTTTAACACCTTATAAAGTGATACCATAGAATTTAAAAAATCAACATAATCTTCAAATTTAGAGAATATTTTTTTTAATTTTAATACCCTAAGTAATCTTACAACTTTTATAAATCTAAAAAATTTTAAAATTCTGAATAATTTAAATGAATTAGCAAATTATTGTTAATTTGGTTAATTCTAACCATTTAATTATTATGTTTCGTCAATTTCATCAGATTATATTATTTCTGCTGTTGAGGCATTAATGATAATATCAAAAGGAAAAGTCGAAACTAAGATTAATTAATTTAATACTCAAATCTATCCAAAACCAAGCCATTAAATAATTTTTGGCGATAAGTTTGCGATCAATTATGTACTAACCCTTAAGCTAATATGAAGTATTAAAATTAATGAGAATATCTAAACTAAATATAGCTATAGAGGCATAATTAAAGTAATCAAAAAATTCTGATTCAATTGTAAAACTAATATCTAATGGTAAAATTAAAATAGCAAAAAAAATAAGCAACATAGTGAACATATCCCACGTTATTCTAAATCTGTCTTCTGGTTTTAATACTTATATATTAAATTTTATTTTTTTTTCTTTTGGTTTTTTCACTATATAAATTGTATGTCTTTTTAAACCATGTTCCATTACGGTTTACAATTTTTTATTTACTTCTGACCTTAATGAAGTAATTTAATTCTATTCTTCATAATGACCATTGTCATTAGCAAGATCATTCAAAATGTTTAACTACCTTTCATCAAATAGCTAATTTATATCTTCTAACTCTTCCTCTCTTTCATTTTGTTGAAACTTTCTATAAATTAATGCTTTCTTTAAATCACATGCTTTTGCTGTTAACATCCGCTCTTCTTCTTCTTATTAAGCTGAATGATCTTTATTATCTTCCAAAATAATAGAAGATTGATTCATTCTTTTATAAAAATTATTAATTCATTTTTTATAAAAATAATAATAATAATGTCTCAATCTTCCTTATTATATTTATTCTTCATTTTCATCTTTTTATCTTATTACTTCTATCCTAAATTTTGTGGAACAATATTGTCTCTTCTATCTCCCTAGTATTATTAAGGTGCTGCATTTATATTTTTTACAAATTTTTCATTAGATTTCTTAGCTGTAATAGGGTTTCTTTTATCATAACTTGAAGCATTTTTTTTATAAAGTGCTTTAATTGAAACATCTTCAGATTTCCATAAAATTTCAAATAAAGTATCGAAAGAAATTTCATATAGATATTGAAAATTGTACCAAATATTGTTTGATTTTAATCTTTATTCCAAAATTAGAAAGCCAATCTATTCTTATTAATTTTTATGCTGCATATAACAAATGTCTGAATTCTCCAAAAAGGTCTATCATCTCTTCTGCCATATCACTTACTATTGGAGTTATAAAACTGACTCAAACCAATAAATAGTTACTAATAAACCTTCTAATTCAGCAAATTTTCTGATAATAATAGTCAAAATATTATTAATAATTGAAATTAATACAAAAGTAATAACCTTTATAAGATAAACCAAATAATATTCCAAAACAAATTTCTAATAACAAAATTGTTGCCAAATTTGTTACAAATTTTCTTTTGTATTATTCTAACAAAGTAATTTCCAAGTATATTCTTAGATGTAGTCTAATAGCTTTAAAAAATCGGCAAACAGCATTAGCTTCATCTTCAGTATTATACGATATGATAGCGACTCCACTAGTTTGAAAATTCTCAATTGAACTAATTTGCCAACTAATCTAAAATTTGACTAAAATTAACTTTGTTAGGTAATCTAGGAGGTAAAGGTATATGGATCATTATTGTCTTGATTTGATTTTGCAAATTTGCTATCAAAATTTTCAACAATTTCCTCTTCTACTATCTCCCAAAGAATATGCTATCAAAATCATATATTTCACAAATTATTCTAATAAAATAAAAATTTATTAGATAAATGTGGAAATAAATATTGAACTGAACATTAAAAAATCAAAATAAAATGTAATCCCAGGTCCATCAAAACTGAAATCTAAACAGGTTATACACAAAAGGACATAAATTTTTTTATTTAAATCAACTTTATCATTGGCTATATCAATTTATGTAGCACACTATATTACTAATGATTTAGGCATATTTCCAATATAGGAGGTTTTCGAAATTCATCATATTCATCAATCGTAATTTCATTTGGCTTTTTGGCTATCTAGAAGAATTAAGTTAATATGGCTATTAATCAAATGAAATAACTGAAATAGAGTTAATTTTTATATTATAATAAACTGGAAGTTTTATTAATATAAATAATTCATTTTTATTATTATTAAAATTTAATATATTCAATTAATATCTTAAAAAATTTTAATAAGGCTTCCAAATAACTATTAATTTGAAAGTCATATTGAGAAGAAAAATTATTTTAAATATAAATTTAATTATTCAAGTAAATAGGATAAAATCATTTTATTTTTGCTTATTGTTTTTATAAGAAGTTCTTCATTTACCTCATAAAGTTTTCATCATTTTAGTTAAGTTAAAAGGAAATATTTGAAGACTTAGATTTTGATCTTCTAAAGTCCTTTAACTCTTTTTTCTATTCTTCAATACTCTCAAAAATCTGTTTCCATTCAGTTCTATCTACATTATCCATAAAAATAGTTGAAGTAAATTTCATTTCAGAAAATTTCTATTCAAGGAATGGATAAATAGGCTATTCATCCAAATAGCCATCAACCAAACTAGGTTTCCTTGATTAATGTCGAATAAATTCATTTTTTTCTTTTAAAGGAATTTAATCTAATTCTTGCTGTTACTCGAATTAGAAGGATTCAGAAATTCTTTCATTATCACCCTTTATATTTTCATTACAATATCTATGAATGAAACATAATTAACTACACAATCCTTAAGGAATCAAACACATTTTTAAATTGTTTAATTCTAATAACTAATTCTCTAATGAATTTCTATTATCTGCTTTAGATAATTCATTCTATGAATTTTACATTATCATGATATGTTTTTCTATTTTAATACTCTTTCTCATCATAAACGAAGGTATTAAATTTTAAATTTTAATCTGTATAAGTTCTGAAATTTAACTATGACTATTGTCCATTGCTTATAAGCAATTGGAACAAAACTAATTTAAAGCACCAATTTATAAAATAATCCTTTCTAACTTTAATACATATTATCCAGAAATTTATTACATAATTTATTTTAATATCCAACTATCCTCTTAAATAATATCCTAAACTATTGAGATTAGTAAAATTATTTCAGAGTGAGAGGATCCTATATTTATATATTGACTCCATTATTTAAATAAATCATTAACATCTCCTTAATTAATAAGTTTTTCCATATCAACATATAATTATTTATTTTTGTCGATTAAAGGAAATCTAACATTAATTTTTTCATTTTAGTCCTATTTAATAGAATTAAATAATACATTTAAAAATACTAGTTTCATAGATGATACTAATATATTTGATTTAGTTTGCTACAATTAATTAGTTTTCCTATGTAGCTCATAATTTTGGCTCAGTTTAGAAAATTTAGTTTAATCACTTCTAATTAGATCTATTTTTTTATCATATTTATTTCTTCTATTTATTTCATTGACGAAGAATTTGATCATGTTTTCATCGGTTTTATCATCTACGATTCTTTATTGAGAGTTTCTTAGAATTGACATTTAAAAAGTTTCAGAAATAGTTTGATTGTAGTTATCAAAAAATTCTATTAAATATTTAAATCTCATACTTTATTTGTTTAAACTTAAACAGTTTAGATAATTATTTAAAAAGAGAGGGTTACTATGATCTGGAAAGTATTTATTATATTGGACAAATAGGTATTCTAACTGAATTATATGCTCCAGTAATTCTTTAGTTTCATTTTCATCAAACCCTGGAGCATTTCTACTAAAGGTTTTGTAAACTGATTAGTTAGTTTTTTAAGGCTAATTTTTTAAGACACTCTTTGATTTTCTAAATTAAGACAATTTATCATAATTTTTTCCAGCTTGTTATTTTTAAAAGTTATGGATGGTTTTATTTAAGTTGTAGGCAAAGTCATCGAAATCTATTAAATTTAGTTTGTATTGAGAATGGGATCTTGCAGCTTTAGGCTCAGCTAATTCTAATAATGAAATCATAAGTAATTTATTAATTGAAATTTATTTAAACGATAACTATATATAGTTAATTTAATACGCAATAAAACACAAAATTTTAAATTATATATTATATTTTACTTGATTCACTAAATTTAGTTATTATTATATTAAAATTCATTATAAAAATGGAAAGTCTTAAATATTTAATTCATCATCTTTAGGGGAAGAAGGTTCATCTTATTATTATTGTTATAGAGTTTGCTATTGTAAAATGTCTTTTTGATTTTCTAATTCGATTTACTTCTATAGAAAATCTTGAGGTACGAATTCTCCAATAATTCTAGGTTAATCTGGCTCATAAAATATTAAACCATTTAATTCTTATCCTGATTCATTAAATAATTTAAGATAATCCTTCATTTAATTATTTAAAGGAACTCTTTTTGGTGGAATCAATCTATTTGTGGTATCTTACTCATCATAAGGGGGTGAAGTTATTTCAAAATTATTAGGTATTTTAATTTTATGATTTCCAAAAATTTTCATTCTTACATGTTTTTCATTAAGGAATTCTTCAAATTTATCTTTTTTGATAATCTACAACCTTAAAATACTTTTTATTTATACTCTTTCAATGCACTATTATATTCAAATAATTTAGGCATTTTATCCCATAATGTTAATAATTTATATGTAGTTTATACAATTGATAACCATTCAGGATCATAAAATAATTCGATAGGTTCATCATTATAAGCAAATTAATCATATAAGTCTTTCTATTCATTAGTATATGTAAACACTTATAAAAAGTCTCTTCCTGGAAGGCATTTATCTAATGCTAAAAACCTTTAGTATTATATAATTTCAATACTTTGTTTGTTTTCCACTTTTATGTTTCACAAATGCTTCAAATTTAACATGCATATGTGCAGCAAACCAAAAATTTGGTTATAATCTCTCTAATGTAAATTTGTGAGGTTGACTTCCAAGTCTCCCTGATTTTATATCTGGTTCAAAATTTTATTTCTTTTTTAATAGCTCTTTAGTTGATCCATATTAGTGTATTTCTATAATTTATTATAAATTTTACATTAAGGCCAATCATGAGATAAAAAGATATTTACTTCCCCTTCATAAAGGCTTAATTTATAAAGATCAATTTATTTTGAATGATATACAGAACGCAATTATTCACTCTTAAATGGAAATTGTTCTAATTTAGGATTATTAAAATCGAAAATTTTAAATATTCCTGAAGTTCCTCCTAATTTCAACGTAGTATTTCCTTTTTTAATTTAAATGATATTTGAATCTCCAAGGTAATAAATATTTGGAGCTATCCATCCTCCAAAATACCTTATTTTATATAAAATATATATTTACATTTCTCTCAAATAGTTAGAAGCTTCATGATTACCACCAATAAATATTGTTAAACAAGGAGCTCTTTCTTTTCCTTCATAATATTTATAAAATGTTCCCATTTACAGATATTTTACAGGACATGCCATATTAAACATATCATGTTTATTTCTATGAGTTTATACATCTCCACATACTAAAAGCAAATCAATTTTTATTTTTTTTTATTTTTCAATTTCTCTTATAGTACCAAAAATTTCATCAAAATTTCCATGAAAACATCCTTCCACTGCTATATTTATACCCTTAATCTATTCAATCATATTTTATATTAATATATATATGTATAAAAATTATTTAAAATATGATAATTCTAATAATTTTATGTTTATATCTCAAATGCAGAACTCAAATATTAATAAAGCCCAAAATGCTAATGCTAACTTTTTATCCTTTCCAATCAAAAGCCCATAAGGTAAGAAACAAATTAGCTCAAAATTTAGACCTTTTGAAATCCCCAATCTTAATATTTTCATCAATTACATGTTTTATATTTTATATAATACAATTAATATTCTTTATTCAAATATAATTTTATATTATTAGACATTTTTTAAATAGGAATTAAGTTAACACTCTAAATTATATTATCAAATATTAAAATATGGTTTCTTAGGTTGTTTTGGTTCACGACTTAGGTACTTTAACTTCTCATAAATATAATCATTTTTTTCATGTCTAGTACTTAATTTTTCATATTCATGTTTATCCAAAATTCTCAATTTATATTCATGTACTTAAAAATCAATTAATTTAATACATCTTAAAACTCGCTTCAAAATTCCTAATTCTATTAAATTTAAATTAGTTTTTCCCAAATAAAATCTGTCAGATAAACAAATAACAACTGTTTAATTTTCTTCAAACACATATAAGAATTTCCATATCAAGATCTATTTCATATATGTATAATGATATCCTTCTTTATCCAAAAATTTTTTAGTATCTGAAACCATTACTTCTGTTTCTTTTTATAAATACAGCCAATAATCCTCAAATACTTATTTATATCTTTCTGGCAAACTTTACGCTTAGATTGAAGGAAATTCTATTTGCATTAACCTATTTATTAAAGTAAAAAATACTCGTATGCTTAATAGAAGGCTATTTACAATTCTTTATTCAATTCTTCTATTTGACCCAGGTTTTGATGTAATATATCCACTAATTTACTAGTTATAGCTTTGTCTACATTAAATGATATCAGATTATAATAAAATAACTGAATTGCACACTTAACAAGTTCTTCCTTATTTAAATTTTGAAATTGGCTATAATCTATTTTATATTCAAATGAATCAATCATGAAAATTTTATCAATTCTTGATAAATAATAAAGAATATCACATTATTTTATAAATTCAAGTTTTTAAAAATTAACCACTAATTATTTCACAATACAATAATGAAAATATATTCTTCCTTGTTAATTCTTATTAAAGAAATCTCCTATTTAATAAATTTAGTGTAAATTTTAAGAATCAATTTCAGATATTATAATCGTTACTTAATTTTCTTCTTCTTTCCATTTACCTGATTTTTATTTTTAAGACTTGAGAAGTTCTATTGCAAATGGATCTTATGTTCCATCTAAATCAAGTTCATAATGATTTTTGCAAATATATTAAAATACTGATTTTTCTATAATTTTATATATTTCATCAATATGATTTATCTATTTTTTTTGTAATTTTAACTCTTTAAATCCATCAATTGAAGCTAAAAGTCTAATATATTGATCCAATTTTCCTGTTTAAGAAAAAATTGTCTCTTCTTAAAAATAATTTAATTCCTCCATCAGAAGACCTATAGTTTTAAATGATTTTTGTACTTAAGTAATTATGAATAAATGAATCATTCGATTAATTGATATTTATTCTAACTATTTATCTATTTAAAGTAATAAAGTCATCTAAACTACAATTTTTTAAAAGAGTTTCAATTTTTAGTTCATTTAAATTTTCTAAATTTATTTGAATATCTCCTAAAATTGAATTAATATAAATATTTGATTATCTATCTTTACTTATATATTAATGAATCAATTTTTTATCTGTGTCATTTGTTAATTAATAATAACGTTTCAAATGATCATAAACGAATTATTATTATTATAAAGTTGTTAATTCTAATTCTAAAAAATCGTTTTAATATAATTTCCATAATGTTGACGGTAAATATTAATCTCCAAGTATTTTTATAATGATGTTGAGATGAATAATCTAGGCAGGAACATTTTTATTGAAAATTTTTTGAACTTTATGAGATTTAAATGTTTTTCTAATGTAATTATCAAGATTAATTGAATCAGAAGCAATTAATAATTGATTGAATAAATAATAATCAAGTTCATTTTCTGATTAATTAATTTACTCTATAGAGGTTTTAATTCGATCTATATTATTTTAATTAACTTGTGACCAACAATTTCGATAATTGATGGATGATAACAATTCATATAAATCTTCTTAGGTAAGAGGACGCTATAAAGCTTTTTCAATTATATTATTTAATTGTTCTTAATACTTAATAATAATTCCTAATTATTTAGTGTTTAATAAATCTAAATTATTGGAGTATATTAATGAAAATAATTTATAAACTTAATCCTATTCATCAGATGTTAAATAATAAAGTACTTTTTTTTCAATTCTTTCACTTATGTTAACTAATTTTTTTTCTGTAAATTATTACATTTTTAGATTCTCAATTAATTGTGAATAAATAATTGGAAACTATTATTATTATCTGGCCTAAGCATGACTCATATCTTTGAATTTTTTAAATTATTCAATAGTCATTTTTAATGCTTTAAGTTAATTACCATACATAAATCTGATAATCATTTTTGTATGAATAATTAAAAAAATGAAATTTTAAATTATATATATATATTGGATTATAATAGTTTTATCATAATCCTAGTGGATCAGGTTTACCTTATACTAATCTGCATTTAAATCTCCAAATATCTAAATAGTTGATAGCATGGCCAAATTTCTTTGATGCATACGCCAGAATATCATTTGCCAAATTTTCATGAAAAGTTCCTTTAATATCATGGTATTGACAATTTGCAGAGGCAAAGTGACAACAAATAGACTTTCTAAAACTGTTTGACTTAAGTTTATTTTTTAAAATATACTCTATTTTCTCCTGAACCATGAAAGAGATATGGATGGAAGAATACAATATCTCCTGCTTTCATTTCTAAGTGAATTTTTGGGGCAGATTCAGGAGGCATATCTTTAACACCCCAATAAGCCTTATTAACACCTTCTTTCCAATCAGGATAACAATGTTCAACAGGACCAACTAATGATACAGAACTAAAATTACCTTTGTGAGTACCAGGATAAACTACTAAACATCCATTTTCTCGATTAGCATCCTCAAGGGCAGCCCAACCAGCTGCAATTCTATCTGCCGGACCAAATGGAAAATATACTTAATCCTAATGAATTGGGTGTCTTGAAGTCTTTCCCATATTAGGTGGTTTGTTAATGAACATTGTGTGAACAGATTTAATATCAGGTCCACAAAAGCTTTTAAGATATTAGATAACTTTTTGATTTTAACAAAATTTGAATAGTACTTCATCTTCTTACCAATCCTATATTTTTGTTATAGCTTCTTCTCCCCATTATTTTCCACCACCTCTTTTCACCAATGAAATATCTCTTACTACTTACATTCCATATTTGCGTTCTAGTTATCCATCTGCATAATCTTTGAATCTTTAACTCCACCCTTTGATTTCTTCAGGAGAGAACATTTATCTGACAACTAAGAAACCGTTTTCCTCATAAAATTATCTTTCTTCCTTAGTTAAAATTCCTCCATCAACTGTATATTAGAAGGTAGGAATCTACTTTTAGAGCAACTCTAATCTTTGACTCATTTTTATAATGAATCATTTTCTAAATTATAATCATTTCTTAATGCACAGTAATTAATGCGTCATTCAATTCAATTATGCTTCATACTTAACTAATAAAATTGAAATTTATACATCATTCAAAAACATAGTTAAATTAACTAAAATTTTATAATATCTTCTTCCACAATTACATAATATAAATATTTAATCATAAAAATTTTATAATAATAAGTTCCATAACAACTTAATTAATTTTAAATAATAATTTATTAAAAAACTAAGTAAATTAACATTATATCAAAAAATTAGAATTGATTCTCAATTTAGATTCTACATTTAGCAAAATAAATTCCTATAGCTTTATTGATTTTCTAATTCGTTTATAAAAAAAGAATCTCTATATTTTTAATGAATAAATAATATCTATTAGAAACTAAATTATATTCAAAAATTATTAAACACTAAATTATTATGATAACTAGTTTTCAAAATAATTTTCTCCAAATTTTTTCTAATTTTAATAAAGACCTGTATCATTCATTCTTTTAAATTCAAATTATTCTAAATTTTATAATGGATTAATCAGTGATATTTTTTCGAATAACATTATCTTTAGTGAATTTTAAATCTGACTAGGAAAATCGAATATGAAGAATTTATTTTTTAAATTTTGAACTATTCTTATTTTGAATATTTTTAAATATTTAAATATTCCAAGTTCTGACTTTTCATATTTTTTACAGAAATTTAAAATTTTTTACGATCAGCTTCTAAATGATTCTTAAATTAGTGCTTAAATTAATAAAAAAAGTTTTTATTTCAGATATAATTGTTATTATCTATTTATTAATAGAATTTAAATCAAATTTTTAGAAAAATACTTATAATCTTTTAAGTAATCTCCTTACTTTAAAGATTGTCGATTAAATTTATTAATCCATTAATGTAATTTTATTTAATTTTGGTTAAATTTAAAAAATAGAGAAATAATCTTTTTTTATGAATCCTTTTCAAATTTGATAAATGATTAGAATTTAAATCTAGTAAATTGGAAAATTGTATTATTATTTTTTTTATTTTTGGCTATTCTTGCATATTTATCATTATTTGCATTCTATAATTAAATACTTTTGACGGTTTATTTTTAAACATTTGCAATAAACTTAAGATAAAATTCAGAAGAAAATAGTAAACATCTCTAACCTCGAGAGTATACTCTAATACTGAAATAGAAATGAATTCTAAGATAATTTAGAATAAAATTAAATAAATAAAAATTTAATATTAATTGATGGATAAAAATTTTGAAGTTGATGATATTAATTCAATAAAAACATTAAAAGTTTATAATAATGGCAATTTGATATATTTTAACAAAACAAAATCAATAAAAAGTTAGGTTTAAATAGTTAATATACTTTAATGTTAGGAAATAGATTCATGAAATGTGGAAGAAATAGAGTTATTTATTTCTTCTAATTATAAATGAGAGAAAATAATAAATGAAATAACTATTACCATTATTTATAAAAAATTGGAGAATAGTATAAAATATGTAGAGAGAAAGAGAGATAATAAAAATAGCGAAAATCTTTGAGAGAATTTCAATGAGAGATTTAAAGTAAAGTGAAGAGCTATAAAGAAAATTTATTTAGTTAAATTAAGATTTGAATATTAAAAAGGTTTGACTAATAAAAATTGATTAATAACTAGATGCTTTTGTAATTAGTTAATAAATAATATTTTATACTAATAATATATATATTATAAATTTAGAATCTATGAATTTGCTTTATCTATTATTATGGGTTTAATAGAGTATAGGTTCTTATCATAAAGGGAATTATTTATTTACTGAAACAGTGAAAGGAACATGTGATTTTACAAGAAAAAGTTAATACATATATGATTATAAGGTAGTTTAGTCATAAATGTTAGGACCTAGGAGGTAGTAAATTAGATGAAGCATTATCGATAGGGTTTGGATTTTGGCTATTTTTTGATACTTCAAAGTAGGAGCTTCTGTATAATGTAAGTAATCTATTCTTTTTGAGTGATAATGATAATTCTTTTAATTTCAGAATAATATCTTTTGGATTAAAGAAATATGGTATAAATTCAACATTAGAGTTATTTTAACAAGATTAGATATTAAAATAAGGTCCATCAATAAATATAAATACATAAGATTTAATGGATGATAAATGGTAATTTGTTTACGTTTCTTATGATTTTTTATTTTTGAAATATTCATTAGGAGTGTTTGAAGCAGATAAAACAGTGATTATAAATGGTACATATTCATGTCCAAGTTAATTGAAATATTGTACAAATGAAACATTGCCATAGCCATTTTTAAAAAGAGAGAAATTAAAATTATATATTGCTTAGAATGGACCATATAGAAATGATACAATGAAGAGTAGGTCATGGTGTGGAAGTGTATCGGGATTTTAATATTATCTGGATGTACTAATGGTGAGTGATTACAATTTAGATGCTTTGATGTATGGTTATGATAAATCTGGAATATATTTGAATTATCCATTAACTTAGATGAGTGGAAATTAACTATATGATTATAGTGGTTAAGAATTAGATATTCAACATGATATAACTGTAGATTGGACAGATTAAGCATTTACAATTGGATAACCTATATCTATTAATTTACCTCTTAAAAGATTCTTATATAATAGATTCTTTATATCTTTCTGGTTAAAAGTAGATGCTGGTATTAATTTCGCAATATTACAAAGAATGGTTGATAGTGTAATTATGTTTGAATTGGATATCACATATTATGCTATAGGAAATTATTATTTCTTTACAGTGATAAGAGAAAACTTTAATTCTTAAATAGATGTTTAATTTAATGTAAATTAATGGAACCATTTTGTACTTATCTTTAATTATGATAAAATATCCTATGAAGATGGAATTTAAACTAAAGCTAAAATTTATAAAAATAATGAAGATCCATAATATTTTGATTTAACTGTTCCTATTTATAATGCTGCTCAAGATAGTGATGTTCTTACATTTGGTAAAAGAGATTCGATAGCTTCAGGAAAGACTTTAAAAATTGTCAATCTTTAATTTCATTAAGGAGCAAGAGTATATAGTCATAAAAGTAAAGAAGCTGGAGATAATACATGTTTATTATCCGCTCCAAAAGTATTCTAATATAATTGTTTATTATGTTCAGATGGTTATTTTCTATTCCAAAATAAATGTATAACTAGTTCTGATTGTACCAATCAAAATGGTCTAGCAGATGCTGATAAAAAGATTTGTCTACCTTAATGCGATTTTAAATGTAAAACTTGTAATATTCTAACACCTACTATTTGTACACTTTGTATTAACAACTTATAACTCAATAGCGGAGTTTGTAGTTGTCCAAATAATGGATATATTGGAAATGGATTATAATTAAAATGTAAAGAATTTAATGAAGTTTAATTCACTGAAATTGGTACTTATTAAGCAATCTTAAATTATGTTAAAAGCGGAATCAATCAAAGAAAAGACGAATTACAAATCTTTTTTAAGTAAACTTTCTCTAGTATCCCTTCTGTTATTGTAGCTATTAAAGAAATTAAAATCACCAAAGGAAATTCATTTAAATTATTAGCCACTCAAGTTACTTAAGAAACATTTGTACTCTCTGTTGAAGCTTTTGATCAAACTACTATTGAAAATCTTGCTATAAATTATTTTGCTACTCTCTAATCTGATTTATTCGTTTTGATGTAGGAAGAATATGATACTACCAATTCTTTTGCCATTGGAAGCGGAAATAGACTTCATCAAGTCTAAATATTATTAAATGAATGGAATATCAAATTACATTATCCTAAAGTTATACCATATTTTAATGGGATGTAATTTGTATCAGGCACTAATAATGTTACTGTTTCTTAAAGTTACTCAGTTGATAATATAAACAAATATATACTTGTAGACTTTCAAATCAAAGGAGATATATAAATTAGCAAGATTTATTATAGTTTCATTCTGATATCTGAAGAATTTGAAACCTTGATCTCATAATTTAATTCCTAATCTCATGTATTATGGATTACTTAACCAGGAGCTTAAAAATAAAATACAACAATGTACTCTTTTAAAAATCCATAAATTAACCATTTCTATGGTATCTCAGTTCTAGGATATGTAAATTCTGAAATTAAAAATATTGCAGTTCATAGTGAATTAAATTCACAAATTAATCAATATAATTTATTTGCTATTACAGATGATGATACAATAATAGATTTTTTATAAATATAAATAATAGGAATTGGAATTAATTGCTAAACATATGGTTGTTCTTAATGTAAATCATCTCCTGTAGATTGTTTAATTTGCAAAGATAATTCTTTACTCCCTGCTTAATAATGTTTGAATTGTGCAATTAATCAATATTTAGATTCAGAATATTCATGTTAACCATGTAAATGGAATTGTTAAACTTGTGAAGATGCTGATTAATGTCTGACATGTCCTATTAATGTTAATAGATATGATGATCCTATAAATAAGTGTCCATGTTAAAATGGTTATTATGATAATGGAGTAGCCCTGTGTGTTTAATGTGATTGGAGATGTGAAACTTGTGAATAGTCTGCTACTAAATGTACATAATGTAAGGGAGCTAATCGTAATTCTGATAAATCATGTTTATGCAATGATCAATTTTATGAAGTAGGAACAGATTTGATTTGCAAGAGTACAATAATTATCAATATATAGACTGTTAGGAGCCTTGTGATTAGTGCGATGTATTAGGATGTATTACTTGTTTAGGAAATAGAGTAATCAATGGTATTAAATAATGTGTTTGCCCAACAGATGGAATTGCTATTGCTAAAAGTTAATATTGTGAGACATGTGATACTGCTGAAGTATTAGTGACATTAAATGAAACAACAGAATCATTAAGTGTATTCTTTGTAAAAGAAAATACTACTTTTGTTACTTTAGATTATTCTTCTTATGCTCCATAGGATTTATGTATTAAAATAATTGATAGTACTTAATTATCCAGATTTGGATTAGGTCCTAAATGTTATTATAATGGTACTAATATTAACATAGAATTTGGAATTCAATCATAAATTAATTTAATGGAAGAAATTTAATTAATAGAAAAAGTATTTGTTAAAGCTAGTTGTAAAATACCTATTAAAAAATATGTTCTTAATATGCTTTAATTTCCTACCATTGAAATCTATTCACCTTAATTTACAATTGATGGACCATTATTTCCTGTTTTTATTTGTAAATCAGTTACTCTTAGTGTATCTAATATAAAATATGCAGGAAAACGATAATTATCAAAGATTGACTGGAAATTAATAGAAAGTGATGCAAATTAAACAGTAATTGATAGTATCAATGTTGTATTAAAGGAAGCTAATTAAAATAATTTAGATACTATTACTTTTAATTCAAAATAATTCTAAAATTTTACAAATTATACTTTTGAAGCAACAGGGTTATCATTTGCAACAAAAATAGGTTCATAAAGTTTCAAATTATAAACTTTAGGTTTAGTTTAACCAATCATTTAAGCTGATATAACTCATTTTAATCATTATTATAAATAATCTTTAATAATTCCTGTAACAGTATCTTATTAGATTTGTTAATCAACAAAGATTGTAGAAGAATCTAATAATCTAACATTATTTTGGATACAACTTGAATCTAATCCAGTAGAAAATAAGCCTTTAATAGAAGATCAAATAAGTGAATCAATATTAAATAAATAGCATTACTTTAAAATGTAACCAAAAGAAGGATATCCAGATACTAGTTATATTATATAAGCTTAATTAATGTATTAAGATATAATAGAAATATTTGAAGAATAAATACCAGAAGAATAAGTAGATGAAGGAACTACAAACACAGATGAAGGAACTACAAACACAGATGAAGGAACTACAAATACAGATGAAGGAACTACAAACACAGATGAAGGAACTACAAATACAGATGAAGGAACTACAAATACAGATGAAGGAACTACAAATACAGATGAAGGAACTACAAATACAGATGAAGGAACTACAAATACAGATGAAGGAACTACAAATACAGATGAAGGAACTACAAATACAGATGAAGGAACTACAAATACAGATGAAGGAACTACAAATACAGATGAAGGAACTACAAATACAGATGAAGGAACTACAAATACAGATGAAGGAACTACAAATACAGATGAAGGAACTACAAATACAGATGAAGGAACTACAAATACAGATGAAGGAACTACAAATACAGATGAAGGAACTACAAATACAGATGAAGGAACTACAAATACAGATGAAGGAACTACAAATACAGATGAAGGAACTACAAATACAGATGAAGGAACTACAAATACAGATGAAGGAACTACAAATACAGATGAAGGAACTACAAATACAGATGAAGGAACTACAAATACAGATGAAGGAACTACAAATACAGATGAAGGAACTACAAATACAGATGAAGGAACTACAAATACAGATGAAGGAACTACAAATACAGATGAAGGAACTACAAATACAGATGAAGGAACTACAAATACAGATGAAGGAACTACAAATACAGATGAAGGAACTACAAATACAGATGAAGGAACTACAAATACAGATGAAGGAACTACAAATACAGATGAAGGAACTACAAATACAGATGAAGGAACTACAAATACAGATGAAGGAACTACAAATACAGATGAAGGAACTACAAATACAGATGAAGGAACTACAAATACAGATGAAGGAACTACAAATACAGATGAAGGAACTACAAATACAGATGAAGGAACTACAAATACAGATGAAGGAACTACAAATACAGATGAAGGAACTACAAATACAGATGAAGGAAATACTAATACAGATGAAGGAAATACTAATACAGATGAAGGAACAGATGAAGGTACATTAGGAGAAGAAGAAGAAGAAGAAGAAGTTATTCATTTTTACAAACAAATAAATATTTTTACATATCTTAATTTTACAATAGATATAGATTATGTAGGAGTTTCTGTAATAATATTAGGAGGAGACCGTTTTATTTCTGAAGGATAATCTTTAACTTTAGAAGCATAATATTGGGATGGAATAGATGAAGGATCATCTTATAATAGTGATTCATCTATTGGATTGTTATGGGAATGTATTTAAGTAGCCACTAATAAATCATGTTAATTAAATGATGGAAGTGACGTAGTTTTTGAAGAGAATGTTACTAGTATATCTTTGGAAGGGGAAATATTTAAAATTGGACAGCAATATTAAGTTTCAGTTACAGCTTATAAAGATTTGATTAGAAGATATTATAAATATGTTAGTAATGTGATTTGTTCATTTAAATCAGTTGAGGAATTAATAGCTGAATTTCCTATAGTAGCATAAACTAAAAATATTGATATTCAATAACCTATAACATTTACTTTTATTCCCAATTACAATCTGATTGCTTATTACAATTACACTATTATAGTGTTGTATGATAATTATGAAATTTCTAAATAAACTCTAAATTATCCTTAAAAAACTTTAAAGCTTATTGATTATTTACCAAGTACATTATCTGTATAAACATGTACAATATAAATAATTCAATAATCATAGACATTTTACTAAATGGCTATTTTACCTATTATGTTTAATCTTCCTCCTCAAAATGCTTAAATTACAATATCTACTTCTAATGGAGTAGCTATTGAAACTATCTACAATATTGTAATAGAAGGTGCAGAGGATTAAGATCTACCTCTTTAATATAGATTAAGTTTATATACATCCTAATCTAATTTCTTATAAGATTTAATGTAATCATCTCATTTAAATCAAATCATCTTAACTGATTATTAATTTTCTAATACTTTCTCATGTAGATTACCTTCAGGATTCGATTCTAATCTTAATACTACTTCATATATTGTACTAATGGCTTAAATTAAAGATTCAAGAGGTGCTGTTAGTAATGTTACGATGATTATTGGAAATTCACCTTAATTCAAATTATGGAAGGCTTATCTCATTTCTGTCAATGATTTTAAAACCTCTGTTACTTAGCACTCTAATAAAACTGATGTTATTGCTTCCAGTCTAGAATTATTATCCTTCTACTTTGATTTCTAGAAGAATAACTTTAATTGCGCAGATCTTGCTCCTACTATGAAAATCTTATATGCTAAACTTAAATCTTAAGTAATTAACGATTTAGATGCTATCTATTCTAGAAATAAAATACTTAGTTTTTATGATCAAACTATGTTTCAAATGTATTTATTAAATGAAACAGAAAAATCAAATCTTATTTAAACTAAATTATAATCTATTCTAGATACTTCATTTTAGTTCAAAACAAAACTTTTAGCTGCGTTAGCCTTATCATAATAAAGAGAATATTATGGTGATTTAACCAGTTTAATTGATATTGATTATTTTCAATTTATATTAATTGAATAATTGAAACAATTCAATTCAGTCCTTAGTTAAAAATTGAATATAAAACAAATTGAATAAACCTATAATTTATTAAGTAATACAACTCTCCAAAAATGGAGATTAAATCATACAGAATTAGCTCTTGAAATGGATACTAAAGAAGAAGAAGAAAAAGCAAATGGTACCACTATCAATTATTAACTCATCAAATATAATACTGTCATAAAATTCATCTAACCATTTACAGTTGATGAAATATTTGGCTTTTCTAATATAAATCTATCAGAAACCTTAACTAACTTTAGAAATCAATTTAATTTCACATCTACCTAACTTACTGCTATTACAGATTCATTGCAAAAATTTTGTAAAATTAACGAATCACCTTTAGAATTTAATACTACTTTTGTTTCTATTAAACTTTAATTACTTACTTATGATTATTTCAAATCATAATACAATTTTAATGAAAATAAAAGATTGTTGACATAACTAAATTCAACTTATAAATATTTAATTGTTGTACATAAATATACAATCAATCCTTATATGATAGACGAAGATTTCTTTAACTTTACAGGAACTTTTGCTTTTGATTAAACATTTCCTCTTTATTAACCACTTATTTATGAGATTTCTAATAACACTGTATAAAATGTATTAGAAGAAATTGATTTAAATGAATTTACAGTTGATTTTATTGTTCCAAACTCAAGTTTAAGTATTCTAAATCAATACTAATGTGCTCAAGTAAAATTATTATTATATTTAAAAATAAGAAAAAAACCAAATGGAGAAGTGATGATTCTAATTGTACTAGAAAAGTAGAATATCTAACTAAAATTTTTTAATTCAAAATTTGGTGTATTTGTCCATATTTTAGTGAAACTACATTAATTAGACCATTTTATGTTGAAGAAATAGCACTTCTAAAACCTAAACTATTCAGTACAAAATAATTTGAATTATTATAGGCTATGATAACTTTATGGACTACACTTTTGGTTTATATTGTATTGGATTAACTGGAGGTTTATTATTGTTATCAATACTTGGAGTATTAATGGACAAATCAAATGCAGATAAAATTAAATTGGAAGAAGAAGAAATGGAAAAAGAAAGAATTCAAATTATTTTTTCTTATAGAGTGAAAAAAAGAAGGGCTTAATAAGAAGAAGATTCTAAAACATTTCTTTCAGAATCAAAAACATTTAGTAATACATATACTTAGACTGAGTCTCAACCTATTAATAGCAATAGTGATATTGGTATTCAAGAATTAAGTTGTAAATTCATTTTTATTGGAATATTTGTAATGATTTTATTATTATTAAAGAAACTGGAAGAATTAATATCAGTTTTTTTGTATTATGATGATTATGTCTTAAGACCGATCAGATTTCTAGCTATCTATCTAAAATTAATTGTAATGTTGTCAGTCTCTGGAGTTTTGCTAAGTGAAGTCAATATCATTTAATAATATGGAATTATCATTTTAGTTTCAGAAATTTCAGCACTTGTTGTAAAAATCGTTAAAGCAATCTTTTCAGGGAAATTAATATAAATTATAACAGGAGCAATAGCTACTCTTTGTATATTGGCTTTATCTTTTTATAGCATAGTAGATAGAGTAATTATTACAATTATTTAGGCTTTTGGAAAAGAGTAAGAATATTTGGATAATTGGATGTAATTTTATGCAATATGTATTGGAATCTATTTCATTATTTTGGATCCAATTTAAAGTATTTTGAAAATGTTTCTTTATCCATGGTGTAGAAAATAAATTGAGACTCAATAAGAGACTCCAATATTACATCTACTATATTTTTTAATTACTCAAAATGATTTGAGAACATATTTCAAAGTTATAACTGAGAAATAATTGGTTGAAGATTAAGAGAATTTAGAAGTAGAAAAAGATTAATTTTAAGAAAAAAAAGAGGAAAATCTTTAAGAAATTTGAATGATATATATAATCAAATAATAAAATAAAATAATTTTAAGTATTTTAATTAATTAAATGAAAGAATTTGAAATATTTAAATTATATTCTTTGTTTAAGAAATCTAGGTATAGATACATTTTTATTTTTATGGTTTAAATAAATAATAATAAAAGAAAACAGATTAAGTTAATTTCAGTACATTATGGTGAATTTTGAAGTATTTTTAAATACTTAAAAAAAGTAAGAATAATTTATATCTGTAATAATAATTAAATTCTAAAACTTTAATTAGTCAATTATTCCTTTATGAATTAAGTTTTCTAGTATTTTCTTAAACCTTTCTCACTTATTAATTATACTATTTATAGTAAAAATATTGAATACCCTATGATTAGAACCTTAATTTTATTATCCTTATGCAGCAAGTAAGTCTTTTTAAACTTTTGAAGATGTATGTTAAGATTAGGAGGGTAACTTATAACTTTTCTTTTCAGGTCCTAATTTTTCAATAGTTCCATCTTCTAAATTAATTGAATAGAATCCTTTTTCAACCATAAATGTTTTCTTTGGAGTTATTGCTTTTATAAATTAGGACATTCTTAAATATTTTTTTTATAAGAAATTATAATTAATTGAAAATGAACCCACAGCAGTAATAAAAAAATAAAGTGTTTAACAACTAGTATTAAATAGTAAAAAAGCTTTCTTCTGGTTCATTTGGAGTAGTGTTTTTAGGATAAGACTTATTATCGAAATAGGAGGTGGCTATAAAAGTAGAGAAAGAAGAGAATGAAGAAGTTAAATCTTTAGAAAGAGAAGTTCAAATTTTAAAGATTCTAGATGGAATAGAGGGATTTCCTAAATATTATTGGTCAGGAGAAGATCTTGGTTATAACATCTTAGTAATTTAATTGCTTGGTAAAGATTTGGCATTCCATTTCAAATAACTTAAGAGATTCAATCTGAAATCAGTTTTAACTATTGGAATATAGGCTGTGAATCTTTTAGAAAGAGCTCATTAAAAAGGAGTAATACATAGAGATTTGAAACCTGAAAATATGATATTAGGAATAGGAAATGAAATTTCTAAGTTATATCTTATAGATTTTGGAATTAGCAAAGTATATAGAGATGCTAATGGAAGACATATGTAATTATTATATTAGGATATAGTATTTTCAAAGATTAAAAGTCTTTTTTAGGAACTACAAGATATGCTTCAATTGCAGCTCATTTAGGTCATGAATTAGGTCGAAAAGATGATTTAGAGTCCCTAATGTATATTTTACTCTACTTTCTACGAGGGTAAAAAAATAATTATAAATAAGGTAGTTACCTTGGTAGAATATGGTAAATGTAACAGATGATGAAAGAACATAAAAAGTTGGAGAATTAAAATTATCATTAGAAAACGAAATCTTTAAAGATCAAATTCCAGAGTTTTAGAAAATTTATNAATAATAATTAAATTCTAAAACTTTAATTAGTCAATTATTCCTTTATGAATTAAGTTTTCTAGTATTTTCTTAAACCTTTCTCACTTATTAATTATACTATTTATAGTAAAAATATTGAATACCCTATGATTAGAACCTTAATTTTATTATCCTTATGCAGCAAGTAAGTCTTTTTAAACTTTTGAAGATGTATGTTAAGATTAGGAGGGTAACTTATAACTTTTCTTTTCAGGTCCTAATTTTTCAATAGTTCCATCTTCTAAATTAATTGAATAGAATCCTTTTTCAACCATAAATGTTTTCTTTGGAGTTATTGCTTTTATAAATTAGGACATTCTTAAATATTTTTTTTATAAGAAATTATAATTAATTGAAAATGAACCCACAGCAGTAATAAAAAAATAAAGTGTTTAACAACTAGTATTAAATAGTAAAAAAGCTTTCTTCTGGTTCATTTGGAGTAGTGTTTTTAGGATAAGACTTATTATCGAAATAGGAGGTGGCTATAAAAGTAGAGAAAGAAGAGAATGAAGAAGTTAAATCTTTAGAAAGAGAAGTTCAAATTTTAAAGATTCTAGATGGAATAGAGGGATTTCCTAAATATTATTGGTCAGGAGAAGATCTTGGTTATAACATCTTAGTAATTTAATTGCTTGGTAAAGATTTGGCATTCCATTTCAAATAACTTAAGAGATTCAATCTGAAATCAGTTTTAACTATTGGAATATAGGCTGTGAATCTTTTAGAAAGAGCTCATTAAAAAGGAGTAATACATAGAGATTTGAAACCTGAAAATATGATATTAGGAATAGGAAATGAAATTTCTAAGTTATATCTTATAGATTTTGGAATTAGCAAAGTATATAGAGATGCTAATGGAAGACATATGTAATTATTATATTAGGATATAGTATTTTCAAAGATTAAAAGTCTTTTTTAGGAACTACAAGATATGCTTCAATTGCAGCTCATTTAGGTCATGAATTAGGTCGAAAAGATGATTTAGAGTCCCTAATGTATATTTTACTCTACTTTCTACGAGGGTAAAAAAATAATTATAAATAAGGTAGTTACCTTGGTAGAATATGGTAAATGTAACAGATGATGAAAGAACATAAAAAGTTGGAGAATTAAAATTATCATTAGAAAACGAAATCTTTAAAGATCAAATTCCAGAGTTTTAGAAAATTTATAAGTAAATTTCTATATATATAAAATAGTTCAATAAGAAAGTTGTAATTCAAATAAGAACCAGATTATAAAATTATTATACTAGAATTAAAAAAGGCAGCTGAATCTTAAAATATTATTCTTGATGGAAATTATGAATGGTCTGAAATAAAACAATCTACTCATTATAGAACAGATACAAATTAAAATCAAAGTAAAAAAAATATTTAATTCAATAATTAAAATGAGATGAAAAAATCTATTGAAAAATAATTGTCTGGTGCTGTTTAACTTGGGTAATTTATATAAGTTTTAAAATTAAAAGCTCTTAAAACTTTTTAGCACCACCTCCTTTATCTTCAAGAAATAATTCCTTTTAAAGAGATGATATTAGAAAGAATTCTAGTTTGACATAACAAAGCAGTATTGGAAATTGTTGTTAATCAATAAATCCAAATTATTAAAAATCTATATGTGATGATCGATTTGGAAGCAAACAAGATATTTTATTACATTAATAAAAAAGCTTTGATGATGAGAGAATTTCTAATTTTGAAAGCAAAGAAATCACTGAAAATTTAGAAGGTTAGGAAACATTAGTTGAAAAGTATGGAAAAATTAAAAAAGGAATAGCAATGTATTTCTTGTTTCTTTCATTTTAGAAACCTTATATTAAGTTTAAAAAAGAAAATGAAATGATAATAATATCCAATATGGATTCATCTTTTTTTTTAATCTTTCGACAATTATATAAAATTTATAGTAAAAAATTATAAATAGTCACTAAGATTTAAATTATTATAAAAATATGTAAATCATAGAGCCATAAGTTATATAAGAGAATGAAGAGAAATTTAATCTAAGTGCTGAATAAAGTTAGAATGAAATATTTGTTTTTCCAAATCATTAAATTAGTATTCTATCAAGGAATGCTGTCGATAAATTGTAAGTCAACATTGAAAGTTCTATTTCTTAATTTACTTAAATATTGATGAAAGCTTAAGATATCATTTTATAGAATCACAAAAATCAAGATTTATGCAATAAAGCTGTGCAAGTAGTTTAATAAGTTTCTATTGGATTAATGTAAGTGATTAATATCCGTTAATTACTTGAGAATAAGGCTTTAGCGATTGAATAAAGCTTTAGTAGCTTAAACATTATATGTACAACAAATTAGTTAAATCAATACTCAACAAATTTAGTACTTGATTATATGAATCACTTAATCTTAGAAAAAGTTTTAGAGCTGCTAAATAATTTCGAACAGTTGCAGAAAGAATAAAAAAGAACTCTTGCAATACATTTGGCCAAATTACAGTCTTGTATAGAAATTCTTCCAGGAGCCACAATTGTAAAACATAATGATTTATTTGCCATATCCGAAGATCATTAGGATTGGTAAATGATAAAACCATATATTGAAAAAAAGTAATTAGCTAGTAATGAGCAAATAAAGAAGTCTTATGATAAAGTATCTTTTGGAATTCTACTTGGAAATGCTATGATTTCAAAAGGATTAGAATACAATGGAGAATTAAAAAAAACTTTTATGGAGGGATTTGGAGCACTTTATTATGGATTAAATAAGAAAAAGATGAAAAGTAGAGCAAATCATTTTCTTGTAGAAGCCAAATAAGAAGATGCTTTTAAAGCATGGAATTTACCTGAGACTGGTATAATAAAAAAGTTTCTTCCAGCTATTTTCCCTTCAATATCTTTCAATAAAAAAATATATATTCCTAAATTATTTAGATAGATTACAAAGGAATACATTTTGTAATAATATAAATAAGAAACAATAAATAAAATTAATAATGATTGTGGAGTATTTTTTCCAGATTAAATGATATCATTAGAAGATTTGTTGAAAAATGATTTAAATCAAGATAGAGTATAAGTAAGGATTTTATGTCATGAAACTCTAAAATTTAGAGGAGTTGAAGGATTTATGTCAATGTTCAAAAGTACTAGAAGTAGAGAGATTAATTTCGATAAGATAGTTATTCATATACGTAGATTATATTTATAAATAATATATAGATGGGGGAGGTTTTGTTGCTATGTCATCTAGATCTCATTAAACTTATACAAGAAAATGGGCTAATAATATGAGAGTTCCAATTTTTTCTATTGATTACAAAATGGCACCAGATCATCCATATCCTGCAGGATTAGATGATTGTTGGTAAGCTTATATGTTCATCATAACTTTTATCTAAAGATTTTTTAATGTTGTTCCTGCAAAAGTTGTATTAGTAGGAGATAGCGCAGGTGGTAATTTAGTTACTGCTTTGACTATATAAGCTATAAAGTCAGGAGTTAGAGTTCCTGATGGTATCTTATTAGCTTATCCTGCTCTATCATTAGATATTAAGGCATTCACTCCTAGCTTTTTAGTTTCACTTGATGATTCATGTAAAACTATTTTTTTAATAATAAGTATTGCATCACACTATCTTAAAATTATGTTTGAATTCATATGTATTGAAGGAGTTTAACTAAACTATAGATCCAATGCTTTCTCCGTCTTTAGTAAGTGATGAAATTTTAAATCGTTTTCCTAAAACAAGAATTGTTGTTGGAACTTATGATCCACTTCATGATGAAAGTTTTAGGTTGTTGTTAAAACTTGTTAAATTAAAGAAAGATGTTAAATTAATTGAATATCAATCTATGCCTCATGGATTTTTATCTTTTGATATTATTAATGGAATGAAAGAAGCTAAATAAACTGTTATTGATGCTTAAAATTACTTATTGGAAATGCTAAATTGAATAAATAATATAATAAATAATTATTATTATGAGTGCTAAAAATTATAGATTAATTCATAATAAAACTTTACCAACCTTTTAATTCCAAAATGAGCCTTTGAAAGTCAATGATTAATATTAAGTCTATATGTCTGTACAGCCAAATGCAGTAGAATAATTAATCTAAAAAGATTAATCAAAACCTAAAACATCTATTTTGGATAAATTTATGGACTCTGACAAAAACAGAAGCTAAACTGCTTCTAATTAAGGACTTTTTCAATAAAACACTTTAAAAAATGAAAAACCTAATTAAATTGTCTAATTTGCTGATAATGTTCAGACATCTTAATAAATTAATTAGAATTAAAACAACATAAATCATAATAATAAGAAAACTGTTACATAAAAAAATCTACAATAAACATTGTTATTTGATGAAAGAACAAATTCTATACCTAAGGCTGCTATCTAAAATCATATTATTGATGATATTGTAAAGAATGGAGATATTATTCTAAAGAAAAAGGGATTGTTGAATTAAGTTCAAAATCTAAAAAGGTTAAAGTTGCTTAAATAATATGAATTTAATCAGTAACTATTTTATATATTTTCAGTTATTGCTTGCCAGGTATTGGAAAATCACCGTATGTTTTCAATGATGCTCATTCCAAAAGCACAAATCCAGGATACTCAAGAAATAAAGAAGGTGGAAAATTTTTCACAAGATGATTTATTTTAAAAAAAAATTAAAATATTTGCACTTTTTAAGTTTTTTATTTCTCATTCATATACTCTTATTAATTTATTTAAGAAAGCTAAAAAAATTATTTTAATTTTATTTTTTTAATTTCAAAATGGTATTATCATAAATATTAGATTTGATTGATATTTTTCTAAATACCTTTTAAAATAAAGATTGAGATTCCTATTAAATTTATTTTTTTATTTCAATCAAAAAAAAAGATAAGATTTTTATAAGATCCTAAAAAATTTAATTTTCAGGACAATCATTTTAAGTTTTAGATTCTAAGTAAATTAACTAGATTGATTAAATCAGTCATAAATTTTTAAAGTTAAAAGTTTATTTATTTTTTTTGAAAAATAAAAAAAAAGGTGAAAAAATAATTTTTACAAAATTTCAAGATCAAAAAAGTTTAATGTATAAAGAAATGCTTAATTTTGTTAAATGTTTATTGAAAAAATCAAATTATGAAAGCTATATTCATTATTATTTATTTCTTTGTGAAACCTAGAATATAGTAATTTTATTTTCATCTCCTATCTCGGTTTTAATGGGATAAGGGGTATCTTAATTTTTTTCTAATTTTGCTGTGCTTTTTGTACTACTATTTAATGTACTTCTATGCGAATTTTATGTAAATTAGTTTAATTAATCTGGATTAGAATCTTCTATTCTTAATCTATGAGTTCTTGGTTCAAAAATATTAATTTTTTTATTAGTAATTGGTAAATTCAGCTAAAAAGTATGCTGTTAGATATTAGAATTTTTTATTTAATTAATATTTTTGTAATTAGTAAATTTTTTTGGAAGACTAGTTTTGGTGTTAGGTTACATTTTAGGTTTACTTGACGATAAGAGCTTTTAGATCTACTATAATAGGGGAATAGATAATTACAAAAAACTAATACCTTTTGCAATTATTCGCTGACTGTCGGTACAGAAGCAGCCAATTTTCCTCTTTATTTATTTGTAATAATAACTCTTTGTATAATTTTTTATTTCAAAAATGCTGGATTTATTTGATTAGTTTTTTTCACTTTTATATTAGTAACATAAAGTACCTTCTCTTATTTAACCATAAAACTGTCTGCTCAATTATAAATTATAGTCCTAATTATTGTTTTACTAATGAAAAGCTGAATCAAGATTAATTAATTAAGAATCATCTTTTTCCAACATAAAACTCACGAAACCATCTTGCTATTCATCTTATTATATTTACATTATTAAATAATTAATATGAATAAATATTTTGTTTATAATTAAAAAATTGTTCATTTAAAGAAGAAATAATTTTTTTATAATAAAAAAACATTATATATATATATTATCGACAGATTTACATTTATAGTAAATGATTTAAAATTATTTCTTTATTTAAATATATAAATTAAATGGATTCAATAAATACATGTTTTAAATATGTCAGATTTATGATAAATCTTTCATTTAACTTTGAAAATTGTCAATCAAAAGATGGGATTGATTTCATTGTAGAATATTTTCTTAATATATAAATTTAATAGAAATCTAATAAGTTTGTTTTGATTCATTGAATATGTTTTAATCTTAATTAAAATAAAACTTATATTTTAATGTCAACAGAATAAGATAGATAATAGGAAGTCGATGAGTATAATAATTTTATATTATATTTAGTTTAAAAGAAATGATTGAGATGCTCGAAAGTGATAATACAAGCAAAGAAGAGGAAATAACATAGATGAAAGCAAATCTCAAAAAAAAAGATTAAGAAATAGCTTCTCTTAAATCAAAACTGGTAGGAATGGATTCTAATATTGATCCAAATGATCACAATTAAAATTTAATAAATAAACTTGAAAGCTAAATTGTAACACTTTCATAATAAATATCAGAATTAAAGTATAATATATAGAATAAATTTAGCAATAAATTAGATGATAAGAATTTAGAAATTGAAGTGCTTAAACAGGATCATAAAGAAGAATTAAATAATTTAATCTCTTAGTAAAAAGTAGTATCATAAACTGATGGTGAGATTGATAAATTGAAAAATGCTATTATTTAACTCTAATAAGAAAAAAATGAATTAATAATTTAGTATAATTGATTATTATAAAGGAATAATAAAGAAATAGATTAGATGAACAAAATAATAGAGCATCATCAAAAATAAAATTAAGAGCTATAATTAAATTCTCAAGTATTTTTAAATTTAATTATAATATAGAATATTGAGTCCAAAAATAGTGAAAGCAATTCTGGTTAAATTTAAATACAACAAAATTAAGTATATAATTAAATTTAAATTAGATTTCTCAATTACGATTAAGCGTTGAATAACCATCTGATTAATTTTAGAACTTTGAATAATCAAAGTTTAATGTTGCAAGTGATTTAGATAAACTAAAATTAAATTAACAAAACAAATTAGATAATTTTGGAAATGTTTTGAATCCAATGGAATCCCCTAAAAGTTAATAGAAATCAGAAAATAATGAAGAAATTGAGTAAATGTAGAATATGATAATTGATTTATAAAAAGAAGTTGAGACAGGCAAAGCAAAAATTGAAATACTTAACAATGAAATCAATGAAAAGAAATAATAAATATCATCGTTAATTCAAAGGAATTAGGAATTTTAATTAGATATTGAATTGAAAAAAAATGAAATTAATGAAGAATAATAAAAAGTATCATCCCTTGAAGATGAATTGAGTAATTTTGAATAAAAATATGCAGATGTTATTTAGAATAAGTAAAAATTATCAGAGGAATATTTATAAGCTTAATAAACACTTTAATAATTTGAAATGCTATAATAAGATAATGTTCAGTTATAGCTATTACTTAATTAAAAAACAGAAGAGTTAGAAGAATTTAAAATGCATAATAAATTTGAAACTTAATATTTAGAATTAAAAGAAGATTTCGAGTAATTTAAAGAATATGTACAAGAGTAATTCCGATTAAAAGATGATTCATTAATAAAATAAGCTTAATAATTGGTTGATTATGATACATGCAAAGAATAATTGATTATGCTAAATCAATAATGCTAATTATTAGATGATTAATTAAAAAAATAAAAAGAAAGTAATGAATAGCTTTAAGATTAATATCAAGATAGTTTACAATAAATATAATAGTTAAATAACAACAATCTATAATTTTAGGATATAAAATCTTAAAATTTATTTTATTAATAAGAAATTGAAACATTAAAATCTGATAACCTTGTTAAAGAAGAGATTATTGCTGATTTATAAACATAATTGAAGATATAATAATAAGTAGGAGAAGAACATCCTTTAAAATTGTAGAAATTATAATCAGAACTTTCTGAGAATCGAAGTGAATATCTTAATCATAAAGAATAATGTTAAAGAGAGATTCATTAATATAAATAAGAAAAAGCTTTTTTATAATCTGAAATTTAACATATTAAAGATATGATTGATGCTGTTTTATCTGAAAACACATAATATTAACCTTAAGGTAAAACTGCTGAGTAATATTATGAAAAATTATAGAATTTTTTAACAGATGATAAATTTATTCTTTAATAGTAAGCAATTAGTATTATTATTTTAGGGATGAATTGATTTAATTAAAACAACAATTAGATAAATTTATAAATAGAACCTTCTCTGATTAATAATCACAAATTTAGCCTGAATAAACAGAATAAGAAGTTATAACTAACTAAATAGAATTAATTGAAAAGAATACATAAACAGAAATAGTAGAAAGTAGCTTATCTGGATCTATGTGGCTTAATAATGACACAAACAATTCTAAAGAAGACTAATTTATATAAATGAAGTACAATATTATATAAAAAATTAAGAAAAAAAAATGAGGATTTAGATTAGTTATTGAAAAATTATGAAAAAGAAGTTTCAAACTTGAAATAATAAAATAAATTTCTGTAAAAAAAGATGGAAACTAATTAGAAACCAAATCCTTAGGAGAGATTAGGAAAAAGAGTTAGTTTATTTGAGCAATCTTAACCAAGAAAATCAAAATAATTTCAGTATTAGAATTATTGAGTATTAGTTTAAATTTATGTGAGTCGTAGTAGATAGACGATTAATAAAGAGAAAGCTTATTTACGAAAGAATTAATAGAGAGTTTAAAAAAAGATAATAAATAACTTGCACAATAGAATTAGGATCTTTTAAATTAACTAAATGAAATGAAATAATTATAGGAAAAAAATTAAGAGGAATAAAATCGATTGGAAGAGTAGCTTTAATCTTAAATTTTAATAAATTAAACAAGAAATAAGAGTGTGGAAAATAATTAAACAATTATTTCATAAATTAATAATACAATGATTTAATTAAATTAAATTGAACTATTTTTAGTTGTTAAATCTTAAAAGAATTTCTAATTTCCTTATATTGAATTTAATAGAAAGTAATAATTTATTTTTATAATTTAGATAAATTAAATTTTATTCTTAAGGAAAAACCAGAATTGAAAAACAAATATATGAAACATTTACTTTTGATGATATATTTTTAGACATTTAAAAAGTGAGACAGTATTTCCAGTTCTATGGCAAAATAAGTTTAGAGTAAAGTAGAATGTATCTGATTGTTGGGCAATCAAGTATTTATATGAATCTTAAATAGAAACGCAAAAGAAATATTTATTATTGATGTTTCTTGATTTATATTATAACAAAATAAAAGAGTAGAATGTTAAGTAAAATTAAAAAATCAGATTATAAATTTAATATTAAGAAAGAATAGGTAATAATTGGTAAACTCTTGATTAATTAAAGAGTGATTTATATATAGAGAATGAGAATTTAAATTAAAGCTTATAATAATTAGATTTAACAATTCAGAATATTAAGTTTTATTTATATGGTAAAAATCAGTAAGCAAAGATCTTAGGAAAAGAGAAAATTAGATAATTAATAATAACTTAGAGCATAATTTTTAAAGAGCAAACTTACACTCAATAGTTTATTATGATGACTGTTCCTATGGTTCCTAGATGCTAGTTTCCAAAATTTTTAAAAAAGATCTCTAATCATACAGCAACTATGTAATTTAAATACTATTGTTTATTAACTGTTAATCCAATTTTATTACATTATAATTAAACTGTAGATATAATGTATTTGGCTAAAATGATTTATGCATAGAATAATTAAGAAGAACTTAATAAATAAATGAAAATTGATGATGAGAGTGTTCGATAAATTAGATAAGCAACTGGTTAGGTTACACTTAAGAATTAAGAAATTGAAACATTAAAGCGTCATGTAGAATATTTAAAAAAGTAATAAAATGAAGTATTACTCAAATAAGAGAGTAAATAATAGCTTTATTAATAAATCTAAATACAGCTTTAAAATATTATTGTAGATATCAAATTAAAAATGAGTCAATCAAAAACTAAAAATAGTAAAACTCCTTGTCCCGAAGTTTAATTTTATGAAAAATTGATTTCCTAATTAGAAAACCTTTCAAGAAAACTTTCTCCTATTTAATAGGTATTAAACACTGATAGATCGATAAGTCCTTCAATATAATATTAATGATATTTCTATATTGTATTTTTATGTTATAACCTAATGTTTATAGAAAATAGAACAAAATATAAAAGATATCTTATAAGTGATTAGATTTGTGACATTCTAAAATAAATATAGCTCATTTAATTGGTTTATGAAGAACTTCCATAAGATTTGGAAACTAAAATATTTACTCTGCATGTTAAGTGTTTCCATGAAATATCCATTTATTAATTTCTTTAAATTCTCCTCTTATAACTCTAGTACCATCTTGTTGTGATTAAAATACATATAATGGTTTTGGCGGATTTATAATATGTTTGGTTAATTCTCTACCATGAATGATTACCTTGTCATCTTATGGTTTAAAATATTATTCACTTGGACACTCTCCTCCTTTTTTTATGGTACAAGGTAAAAAGTTAATTCCAACTTTTTCAAAACCATCAAATTATTTATAATCTTTCACGAATTTCTTTTATTACATAATTATATATTAAAATTAAATATTATACATCAAATTTTATTTTACTATTTTAACTAGTTTAGAATTAATGAATATTTTGAATGATATTTATAGAATATTGATTATATTTCCTTTTATTCTAGAGTGTTCATCTCATTATAATTAATTGATAAATATGGGAAAGGATTGTTTATACAAGGTTCTCTCCAAATCTAATGATCCAATATACAATAAAAAATTGCATGTTTATCAAGTATCTACTCATCTGTTTCTTATTTTCAGGATCTGGATATTAAAATTCATAGAAATAACTATTTTCACATTCATTTACAAATTTATTATTTTATTATTAAATTGCACTTTTTAAAGGATCAAAGTGTAATGAATCTACAATGAATGTTACTTCATTCTCTTCTTTACGTTTCAAAAATCGGTTTATACTATAAAGCATATAATATTCAATAGCTTTCTCTATCCATATCATTGTTGAGTATTCAAAAAAGTAATTCAAATTATTATATTTACTTTATAATGAATATTCACAAAACTCTTTTATCATGTTCTTTACATCCGGTAATTACATAATTATTCCAATATAGATTCTTTAATATATTTATGATAATCCAATCAAATAAACCTTTGAACCTTTTAAAATTGTTCTATATAATGCCTAAAATAAACCAAATTAAGATATATCTACACTGCTCTATTGATTTGCATATAATTGAGTCATTTCTAATAATTATGCAAGATTTTAAGACATAACTTCACTTTCTTAAATTAATTAAGGAGTAAGTTCTTATTAATTATTTTTATATTCTTAAAGAGTCTGAAAAAGTTATTAATAATAACCAAGTTTTTCACCATTTTAATATCCTCATATTTCTTATTTTTATTCTGAGTTTAATAAGGGATTTGCCTTTATTAAATGAATTGAATCAAAAATTGGTAAATCGATTTTTAATTAATTTGTATCAATTGGCAAAATTGGATATTATTCAAATAAATTCTTTCATAATCTTGATTCTTACATCATTTATTATTTGTTCAACTTTTTAATGATATTATTTATATAACTATCTTTTTGCATATAAATATGGTGAAGGATCCATTTATATTAAAAAGTTTGTTTTATCCTTATCCTTTGTTCTAAAGAATTTTATAATCAAATTACATAGACTTTCATGTAAAATTATTTTGATTGAATGTATTTTCATAATTTTTTATAGTAAAAATATCAATAAAAAAGCAAAATTAGCTTAAGATAAAATGATTTAATTTATTTTACAATATACTTTATATTTCTCCTCTAAATAAGAAAATATATTGATTTATTTTTTGAGTAATTGTGAAATATATAAAATTTCTTTTATTTTTAATGCTATTTTATAGTGTTGCATTTTATATATTATCTTTTAAAGATAATGAAATAAGTTTTATTCATTCAAATCCTTGCTTCTTTAAACATATTCTATGATTTTCCATTTCCTTCTTGCATTATTCTTCTCCATTTAAAATGATACATTCATCTCTCAATTATCTAGTTTCAGGACATGGATTACATGCTTTACATTCCTCTTAAGGTACTTTCTATGTCTATGCAGAATTATAATTACCCATTGTATGAATATTATTTGAAAAAATTAATAATAATAACAAAAAAAAAAAAAAGTTTGATTTAACTTTTTATTTTTACAGGATTGATCGAATTAGATAAAAATGTAGAGTTTTGTTTAAAATAATTACATTTTTAATAATGAAATTTGCCTTAATTGGTCAGGAAATTAATATTTTATCAATAAAATAAAAATTGCATTGATCATTATTGATGTTCAATATTAAATTTGGATTTGAATACATAATTCAATAAAATTTATATCTATTAATATTTGGCCTTTATTTATCATAAGATAAGTTATGAATATTTTCCTGTAAATATTTTTCTATTAATTTATATCAATATATATATTTATCTAAAAAATAATCTAGTCAACATTTAAAACAAATTTATTTGTTATAATAGTTTATAAAATTGATTTATTTAATTGAGAGGGTTTTATTTGAGTATTTAGAAAGCATAAGTAAAAATTGTGAATTTTCAAACAAATATTCTTAAATTGAATAAATTATCCAATCAAATTGAGATAAAATAATAAATTTGATTCTTAATCTCAAAAAAGAAATGGTAAATAATAATAATAAAAAATATAAATGGGAAGACCAAAAGTTACAAAGAAGTCAGCTAAAATAGGTAATTAATAAATATAATGATGAATAGCTAAAAAAAAGATTGCAAAAAAAGGTTCTGGTCCAAGACCAACAAGAACTATTTAAGCAACAGTTGCTTAAGCTTAAGCTACTACACAACCTAGTGCTGGTTAAAGAAAATTACCAAGATAAAATAGAAGAAATAAATAAGCAAATAGAAAGTCAAATAAAAAAGCATAAAAAAAATGAATGAAATATAATTAATAAATATTTAATAATATAATCTAATTCATTGATGTTTTTCAAGTAAAATTTTGAAGTCATTAAAGCTTTGGTCGATTTTTTGGATTTGGTTAGCAACCAAAATTTGATAATTTGTTGAAGAAAGAAAATTTGACAATAGAATGCATTTTTAATGAAGATGACATACTTCAAGAATTGAAAGGAACAAGTTCTTCTAAATTTGCTGATTTGTATAAGATTTGTTTAATTTTAGTTTAATATAACATCCCTAAGAATATCAGAAGATGATAAATTATATAGTTGAAGAAATTCCTGATTAATGTACAGAAAAAAATAGATGTGTCAAGTATGAATATATTTAATTATTTTAAGATATCCATTTTATGTAAGTGAAATCTTGGGATCTGAAAATGAAAAACTAATTAATTTTTTATTTGATAAACCAAGTGAATAGCCATCAGACGATGGAAAAAATCCAATTGAAGATGAAGATACAGAATAAGTATAATCAATAGAATAAACTAATAATATTTAAGAGAATGAGATTATTAGAGCAAATTTATTAGAGAATTTATTAAAATTGCTAGAAAATGATGTTATTATAGTCACAACAGCAGGATATTTTGCTAAAGTTGTTAATGCAATAATCCATAAAAGAGGACATAGTGTAAAAATTTATTGATTATTATAAGTTTTGGGAACATTTAAAGCATTACTAAGATATTATTTCAAATTTATTTAAACATGCCTATCTTAAACATATTGTAGATATTTTTGAAAAATTAATACTTTTGGAAGAAAATTTTGATTAATCTATTGAATATATAAATGAAAGGTCAAGTTTACTTTAAAGATTGGTAGTTTTTTTAAAAGGAAAATAACATTCTTAAGTGATAGTTGGAAACATCTGTGAATTATTTGTGGAATTGTATAAAAAATCTATAAATTAATTTGAAAGTTAAAATTAAGAAATAAAAAGTATGTTAGTATAATTTACAATTACAACAACACCACTATTTTTTATGAATATAGCATTAGCTACATAATAGAGTATTGTTTATAATTTGTTAAATGTTTAATTTGAATTTTTAAATAAATTTTACTTATCTGATTAATCTCATGATATTAAAATTAATTTAATCGAGCTTTACAAACCAGTAATTTAATTATTTGAAAAAGCATTAAGCTAAGTTGATAGTTTGAAGATTCCATTTATTTCTTCTGATGGAACTGAAGTAAGTCCATTAGGAGATGCAAAATTACTCATTATATAATTAATTATTTAATTAATTAATAAATAAGAGTTTTATCCTTATTTTACAGCTGAATTATTTTCTTAGATAATTGATTTAGTCAAATTACATCCTTCTAATAATTAATTACATATATTATTTGAAAAGTTTGTTATGGCCATTTTTGAGACTTTTGATGAAAATTTGCATAGATTGATTTTTGAAGATACTAATCTATTGCTATTTATTATATAAAACAATGATGAAAAAGCAAGATAACATAAATTTGGATATTAAGGAATTCTAACAAGATTGACTAATTATTTGGATAACAATAAAAATAAATCAAATTCATTTTAAGTTAGTTTATAATTATGTATTAAATTAATATAAATTATAGTATCAGCCATTTCAATAGATTGGGATGATTATATAAAGGGATTAGCAAATGTTAATAAAGTTGAATAAGAATGGATATTAGGAATAAATCCTAAACAGAGAGAATCCAAATTTATAGAAGAAATAATAAGTCCAAATATTAAAGTAGAAACATAAGAATAAAATCATGTAATATAAGGAATTAGAAAATGTGAAAGTTCTGATAATAATGATGTTGTACAACCTCAAGATGTTGATCCTGAAGGAGTGGAAATAGAAGAAGATATTGAATTGGATTCTGAAGAAAAATAAAATGAAGATGAAATTCATGAGAAATAATAAGAATAACATTAAGAATCTGAATAATCTAATGAAATTGAAGATTAATCAAATATTGAAATTAATTAAGATGATTAAGAAATAAATAAATAAGATATTGTAAATTAAGAATAATAATTAAATGATTAAACAATGAAAGAATAAATAAATCAAATAAATTCAGATGATCTTACTGATAATCTTAATAATAAAGAATAATAATAATAGTAATAATAAGAAGAAGAAGAATAATAATAAATTGCTATTTAATCATAGGTCTCAGAAGAACCATAGAATTTGGAGTAAACAGAAGAAACTTAAGAAATTATCACTGAAATTGATGAAGATAAAGATGAAGATGGTGAAAAAGAAGAAATTTAAGAGGAAATTGTTTAATCATAAGAGTCTTTAAATGATCAACTTATTAATAAAGAAGAAGAATAAACTATAAATAAGGAGGAAAAAGAACAATCTAATAATTAGGAAGAGGAATAATCTTTAAACAAAGATGATGAATAACCTATAAACAAAGAAGAAGAATAACCTATTAAATAGGAAGAGGAATAAATAAATAAATAGATAGAATAAGAAATAAAACATGAAGAGGAACCTAAATAAATAGAATGATATAATATTATTTTTAATATTAATGTCAATGCCAAAACTAGCTATTTGTCCAAAGTTGTACATTTTCTTTATAATCCTTAAAGTTTTATCTATATTTTTCCAATTAATTTTATTTTTGAATTTATCTAAGTTAAAGTTTATCATAATTCTTCATTTCTCTACAATTTAATCTCCAAAGTGTAAATGCCCCTAATGATATTGAACAAAAAAATTCTAATTATGGCAATTATAATAGTGGTTATTTTTTGAGTTTTTTTTTCAATAATAATCTTATAAGTCCAATAGAGACATATGTAATTCCTAAAATTTGGAAAGAATACAACATATTTGATTGATGTAAATCATTTCTTATAATATTCATAATTTATGAGTAATGATCAAAAATAAATATTAAATATTAATTTTCATTAAATTTATTATCATTATTATTATGGCATGGTCATATTAAATCCCTACATTTAATGAACAGGTGGTGCTCCAGGTTTAATTCCTTACATTTCCATGTAATTTACTAATTAATCTGGTAATTCTTCCAGAACTTCCTTAGCTAATAACATAGAGTCTTTAAAATCTCTAAATGGAACAAATTATACAAGATCTCTTTTATTAACTGACTACATCATTTATCCATCAGCTAGAATATAATTAAATTAATACGAATATCTCCATCCAATCTCTTCATTAAAGAAAAATCATCATCTCCAACTCCAATTATGATTATTGAAATTGGTAAAAATGCTGCTTATTCTAAATATTCTTCAACTTAATCCATATCATGAATTGCTCCATCAGTTAATATTAGTAATATTAAATATTAATTTAATCCTTATTATTTAAGAAAAGTTGCTTATTTCATTGCTTCAATAATTATAGGACCAAAAAATGTAGGTCCAGAAAATAGTAAATAATTTAATGCATTCTAATACATCTACATAATTCCATCTAAGCCTAACGCACTTGTACTATTTGGATCTCCAGATAATGGAAAACAATGGCTAACAGTACTAGTTTTTAAATTTGGAAAATTTAGTTTTGCACCAAAACCATAACATTGTACTTACTTATCATAATCATATGCTAATAATATTTCTCCTATACTTGTAAGTGCTTAAGCATATTAATTTTAAGAATATATTCTATGTAAACTATTCTATTAATCTTAATCTCGATTACTTTATGTGAAATCAATAGCTATATTTAAATTTAATTAAGTTCCACCTTAGATATAATCCATAAAAGTGTATTTAAATATTGTTTCAAATTATGAGAATTAAATGAAACCACCACTATTGCTTAATTAGAATTATCTTTGCTCTTTTTTTAATTGATCTATTGTTATTTAATTAGATCCTATTATTTTATTAATTGAATCATAAACTTCAACTTTAAATTAATCTCCAATTTTAAATTATTTTATTTAAAAAGTCTTCCATTATGGATTTGAAGTTTTGTGAACAAGTTCTGATTAATAAGCAAAAAATTGATTTTAGTTAACGTTTTTAAATATTTTAAAACTTGGATTTGGAGCAGAACACCAAGATCCTTTTAAAGATGATCCCTTTATTTGCATTATATATAATTCATTTAAATCTTGATTTTTTTCACACATAGTGATTAATTTTCCTCCTTTATTCAAATCAAGAATACATGTTTAATTTCTTGATCCAAACATTATTCCAACTGTAGTTTCTACACAACCAAGATCATCAAAGTTTTCTCCATCTACATCTCTTACTTCAAATTTTAATGGTTATTTAACTTCAAAAATATAATCTAAAATTATTGATGTTTAAAAATTAGGATTAAGATTGTTTTTAACTATTTCTGTTTTTCCAATTAAAGACCATTAATGATCTAAGCAATTATTTCTAAATTTTTTTTCAAAAACCAAAACCTATGGATCTGATTTAGAAAATGTATCTTTATCTTTCAGCTATCTACAAGCTAAGTGAAGAGTAATTCTGCATCCTGAGTGCATTTGAAAAGTATTATAAATTAACTTATAAACTTAAATGATAAATTTAGTTATGAAACATAATAATATGATAATTACTATTAAATATTTAAATTAATTTGCTATTTTAAAGAATTATAGTATAATAACAGATATTCAATTTTTTCAATTAATTGTATTTTATACAAATAAATGGGTTCAGCATGTTAAAAACATAATATTGATAATTCTGATTATTCATATACTGATGAAATTAAATAACAAGACTTTAAAACAGAGAAAGAATATTATCCTTTAAAAGTTCACAAAGGAGGTAGAAAACCTCTACATAAAACTAAAATACCTATAAAATAAATCGAAACTGACCATCATTTTTAAGAATCAGCATCACAATCTGTTGACTTAATAAATCTATAACCAAAGTCTTGCCATTTAAAATCTACTCATTCAAGTTCAGAAAAAAAAATAATTACTAATGAAACAAAAAATCAATTAATTAGCATAATCAAATAGCCAAGGTCATACAAAAACATTTAATCATAATAACTGACTTTTTCCATAATTAATAGTAAACGATAATTAACAAATAAAAAACTTAGAGGATAATCAGAAAAACATGTTAGATTTAAATTAACAAAATCACAAATATAAAGATAAAGATCACATTCCCAATCCAGAATAAGATCAAATATTTAAGTATATATTAATTTGTGATAAAAATGCTAATATAAATTCCATTTATTTGTGTTATGATAACATTTTGATTCAGCTATAATAATTAAATTTAAATGTATAAAGATAGCAATTAATTTATTAATTTCTGCTTATTTATGATATGATTATTCTAAATTGTCTTTTTTGATGAGTAGATTCAAAACTTATCTGTGTATTTCAATCCTATTATGAAAATAAAAAAAAGAAAACTTTCACTTATTTAAATAAATTTGACATTTATATCTTAATTGTAACATTCACCAAAAATTCATAATTTACATAAGGAAATAAATTGAAGTCTCTATTATATTCCAATTTATTTTAAATAAGTAAAAATAAAAATAAATAAAGTTAATGACTTATTATAATCAAAATATTTGAATAGAATTTAATTATAATTATTTTCATATAATTAAGCCTAGATCCTTAAAATGTGATTAATTCAAGAAAAAAAAATCCTTATATATTGAATGATTTTTAAATTAATAATTAATTTGAATGATTAAGATTATATTATAATCGAAATATTTATAAATATTCAATTGCCAGATTAAATGTATTAAGTAACATTTAATGGTTTGGTAGAATACAATTTAATTCTTTCTACCAATTATCCTTCATCTGTGCAATCAGGAATATTATCATCATGATTTAAATTAGAATTAAGATCAGCATTTTCTTAAATTTCTTAATTTTCTTATTTTAACAAATTATCTATACCTTTTTCATTCAATTATTATTACTGTTATTGTTACTATTAATAATTTAATGATTTTTATTGTAATAAAATTGGTGCGTTGATTTAGGATTATTATTAATGAGTTTATTAATTTGAAATAAAAATTGAATTTGATTAAAGATTATTGTTTGATGCTCTTCCATTTTAAGGTGATTCACTACCATTATCCATTTAATTTTTTTATTAATTTGATGGTAGCAAGCCTAATTTTGATTCCATAATTTTTGTATCTATAAATCTTTGACTTACTTAATTTTATAATTCCTTTTCATGATCGTCAATGATTTTTTCTAATTCTTATTTTTTCTTACCTTCCAAAATATCATATTTTATCTAGAATTATAAGTAAATTTTACTGAAATATATTTGTCTACTTTTTATATTTCATCATATAAAGCATCTAAAAGTTTTAATTAAGGTTCTTCTTTAGTTTTGAATCTAGATAACAAGATAAAGTAGCATTCTAAAATATAATAAAATTCAATACTTGTTTTTTTATCATATTTAGCTTTGTATTAACCAAAACTTCCTCTATAACTAAATTATTCTGGAGGTTCTTTTGGTTTAGCTTTAGGATCATTTGGATCCAATTATTTAGCTTAAAGTTCTTTTTCTAATTTTACTCTTTCTTAGTTCCAAGTTTTATCAATTGGAAACCCTTTTCTTATAAACATAAAAAAGAATTGTCTATTGTAATCCCACATCATGAAACATCTAAATATCTTAACTAGAGTATCAGAACTTAAATCTTTATCAGAAATGCATCCATGACTTTATTTATATATAGCAGAAGTATTTTATAATTCAAAAACAGCTCGTTGATTTTATTAAGTTATAATTTAAGATCCAATATTTTGTTATAATTATATGTTACTCTACAATTAAGAACATCTATATTACTTATAATTATATTTATCCTTCTGTTTTAGATTCATAAGGCTCTTAAAAAGCTTTTACTTAACCATTTTTTTCAGTATAAATTAATTCTTTTTAATCAAGCAGTTTCTTGATCGTTTCAGTTTCTTTTTATTCAAATTCCTCTTTTTTTATCTAATATAATAATACATTATACTTTTGAATAATTAGGAACCTTCTGAATCATTTCATAAATTTCATCCAATACTTAATTTTGATAATCCTCTTTAACTTCTATGCTACTTATTAGAATGAAATAACATTCTTAATTAATCTAAACATTTTACTATTCTTTTAATCATATTTGCATTTAAAATTTCCATAATCTGAAGTTAGCTCAAATTGTTCTTTAGGCTATTTGGCCATTTCTTAAAATTTATTTTCTAATTCTTTTCTACAACCATTCCATTTAGGAGAAACAAAAAAACCTCTTCTTATGAATAGAAAGAAAAAACTTCTTTAGTAATCATAAATCATGAAAGCTCTCAAAGCAGACATATTTACTTAAAAAAAATAATTAAAATATTATTTTTTTTTGCCCTCATATTAATAATTGTAAAATTGAATTACATTATTTGAAAGTCGAATCCAATTAAATTAATTTTACTTGAAAAAGGACATTTAATGAGAATTGATATCTTATATTATTTCTTTTAATTTTATAAGATATATTTATGGAATTAAGAAGATTTAATGATAAGAAGAACAAAATTTTTAAAATAATTTTTAAGTTTTGAATTGCTATTTAATATTCATAAATCTATAATATATATTATTAGGAATTAATAAAAATAAATTGCAATAAATTTTGAAGAGCAATAAAATTTAATTATGAGATCGCTACAATAAATTCCAAAAGTAACCAAAAAGGTTATTATTATAAATCAGAAGTAAGTTCTATATGACGATTATCTATAGATCGAATATGATTACTGAAAATAATAATCTTTAGAATATTCAAAATGTTTAAGTAAATAATACTGAAAGAAAGAATGCAATAACCGAGGAACAACTTCCAAAATAATTTGATGGTATTTTATTAATTTAAAATAGATAATCTACAATTTGAAAGTCAATAATCTATTTAAGAAATGATGATTTTGTATTAAAAAAATTGTACCTAATTATAAGAGTTTTAATATTAAATACACGAGTTAAAAGAGAGGGTCTAATTGATTGAGTAAAAATTTGAAGAAATCGAAACAACTAACAAGAAAAAGAAGAAAAGAAGAACTGCAGCTGAAATTGATAAGAATTTTAAAGTGTGTATTTAATTTATAAATTTTTTAGTGCCCTTATAAAAATTGTGAAAAGCTTTATGGATCAGATGTTTCATTGAATTTACACATTAAATTTAAACATAATGGTGGTAATAAGAGTGAACGTCAGAAAATAATTGTAAAAATTAAATTTTGTAAAAATAGAAATAATTGCAGGCTGGAGAAATATCTGAAAAAGATATTCCAAATATCAATTTACCACCTGTATGAAAAATACCATTTCAATCCAATAATAAATTTGATTTCAAATTAATTAATGTGTTTACAAAAATTTATATTCCGCCATTTTTTTAGAATTTAAACTAGGCATTTTTAACGAAATTTTAAATTTGAATGCCACATTATTTTTATTATTATAGTTTATTAGTACTTTAATATGTCTAAATTATAAGATACAAATAGAAAATTCAATAATACAAAATAACGATGGGTATTATTATTTATAATATAATTTTCTACAGGAAACATTAACAGCAAATATTGGAAACAAGGAAAATATCTAAGTTGGAAATAAAATAGCAGTAACAAAAACCATAAAAAAGTGCACAACAGCAATAGCTCTAGAGAAAAAAAAACCTTTACCTTAAAGAACAATAACAAAATATTTCAAAATGACGAATATTAAAAAATATCCAAACTTATAATTATTTGACTCAAAAGGACGTGTAAGAGAGTTCTTATGTTATGATGACAGTTTATTAAAAATACCTCCAGCCTATAATTAAACAATTTCACATGTATTAATAATGTATTAATTATAATAGTCTATGGATAATGATTGTTAATCTGATAATGAATAGGTTGAATCTGCTGTTAGATAACTTACATACTTTCTCGAATCTACTTTAAATTAATACAAATAACATTCTTAATGAAGTCTATCAATGTATGTTTAGGTTTTAGATTATATTGATTATATTATATTGGATTATTCTCTTTTTCAAATTATATTCATAAGGTTTATTGAAAGTGCAACTAGTTTTAGTATGAATTTCAATCTGATTTTAGATATTATTAACAAGTAATTCTCAAAATGAAATTGATTGTTAATACTTTAATATTTTAATATCATATAATTATAATGAATCTGTATAAAGAGAATGCTAAATTATCTTTAGATTAATTAATAGAAAAGAGAGTAAGCTAATAAATTTTATTAAGAAAGTGTGGAACAGGGAGATATTAAATTTTAGCTTTATCTATTTTAGTTTTCATTGATTTGAATGATGGATGTGAGTTAATATTAATGAGTTTTATAATGCCTATTTTAAAGACTGAATGGCAATTAACAAGCTTACAAATTTAAATTTTAACAAGCATTTTTTATATGGGTAGAGTGTTCTATTTCAAAATAGGTAAGGAATGGTATTGGGTTCATTATTGACAGGATTTATTGCAGATCGTAAAGGGAGATTGAAATGTATTTACATGTCTTGCATAATTTAATTTTTTATGGCAAACAGCTTTTTACTTTGTACAAATTTTTATCATATGATTTTTGCAAGATTAGGATATGGATTTGTTTATGGTATTATTTAAATTAATTTAATAAGGATTTTCAATTCCTTTAACAACTACTATGATATCTGAAATTACAGCTCCTGATGTAAGAGGAAGATTTTTAATAATTATAAATTTTTTTGTATCTGTAGGAAAAATTTATGCATTTTTATTAGCATTTTTATGTTTAGAGAATTTTAATAAAGGAAATTGGAGATTAATGATGATGCTAAGTTCAACAACTTCTTTAATTGTAGGAATTTTGGCATTTATATTTTTAATGGAAAGTCCTAGATATTTAATGGCAAGTGGATAAGTAGTTGAAGGATTAAATATTATTGAAGATATCATACATAAAAATAAAAATAATACAGGATTAATTAGTAAAATATTTAAGAGCGTTTAACCTGAAATATCTTCAGATCCATTTAAGGGATCTAAGTAAATTATAAAATATATGAAGATATGGATATATATCAGCAAAAGAAAGAATAGCAATAGAGAAATGGGTTACAAAAGTATTTCGTTCAGAATAGAGAGGAACATTAAGAGAATTGTTTAACAAAAATAATAAAAGTACAACCATAAGATTATGGATAATATGGTTTTGTATTAATTTTGTAATATATGCTATAACTATATTAGATGTATTTTGGATAATTACTTATTTTACCATTTATTTTAGGGTCTAAGTAAAAAACATTTGTAGATTACTTAACAACAGTTTTAGGTGAAATACCTTCTATAATATTATCATTATTAATTGTTGAAATTCCTTTTTTGGGAAGAAAGAATACAATGACAATTTCATTTTTTTGTGCAACAATTATGCATATTTGGTCTTATTATGCTTCATGGCCATATTTTTTTGCTAGATTTTTTATGAAAGAATGTTGGGCTATGTTATATCCATATTCAACAGAAATATTTCATACTTCTAATAGAACTTTAGGATTTGGTAGTAGCGCTGCAGTTGGAAGAATAGGAGCTGCTATTTCTCCATATATTCTTATACCTTTATTTGAATAAGAGGCACATTTACCATTCTTAGCATTTGCTATAAGTTCTATTATTTCTGTAGTATCTACATGCACATTACCTTATGATACTGTTGGTAAATCATTAGATTTTTAAAAGTAAATTAAATTTATGATCTAGTTCTGATGGAGAAGTTGAAAGTAATAAAGATGATGAAATTAAAGAAATTATGATGGTTTTAATTGAAAAAAAAAATTAGAACTGAAATAAAATTTATATTTATTTATTATTAAATGGATCCTAATGCATAAATCAATGAGAGATACACAAAATTACAGGAAAAATTGGGAGCTCTTTAATTTGAAGTTGACAATACGAAAGATGCAAAAATTGATGAAATTTACGATAGAATCAATTAAGCTTAAAGTGAATTAAAGGATATTATCAATAATTACAGTGAAAAACTTGTACTTAATATTCTTTAAAATAGGGATAACTATCAGGTTAATTCCAAGATCTAACAAAAAAATTTGAAAAACAAAATGAATAATATAGTTCTTCGCATGAAAAAAAGTTAAAAGAAATCAAGAATTTAGAGAATAAACTTTAAAAAAGATTAGATGATGATGTTAAAGCAAATAGAGAACAAAGTGAACAAGTTTTATCGATTTATGATTAATAAGTAAATTAAAAATGAATAACTTAAAAGGTTTAAGACTTACTTTAATAGATAGGATAGGAAATTAAAGTAAGAAACTAATAAGTAAATATTATTAATACAACTTTATAAAATGATTTACCTGCATTATGGTAATATAATGTTTAAGAAAATTAAGAAAGAGTATAAGAAGATCAATCTATTGTGAAAAAAGCAAGTTAAGAAATTTCTAAATTATTTGATTAAACGAATATAGGTAAATAATAAAGGTAATTCTAATCTAAATCTTATTAATAGAGAAGATGCTGAAGTTGGAATATTCTCCATGCTTAAAGAAGTTGTTATTAGAGTTAAAAGTGAATTAGAAGAAGAACGATAATTAAGAATGGATGGACATGAAGCATTGTTATCAATTTTAGAAGAAGCTTATGAAAAAATGGAAGAAACTCATGCCAAAGTTCAATAATAAAAGGCTGCCCTATAAGAATCAAAATGAAATATAATAATCAGTTTATTTTATCATTTTTCATACAAATTTATTTTTTAATAAGTTGCTCATAATTTAATATAAAATAGAATAATATTCAAACTCTTCTAACATATACATTTCGATCTAATTTTTTATTTGTTTGTTTTGATTAATCTTATTTCTAATAATTTTCTAAAGTCTTTAAAAATGCTTCATCATTAATTTTTATAGTTTCATTATTATTTTGATGATCTCTCTCAGCAATAGTCATTCTTGTTTGACTTCCATGAATTGCTCTACTGCCTCTCTTTTCATTAGTTTTATATAATTTTAATCTAAATGAATCTTCTCCACTTTTTTATTTTAGCAATTCATAAGCATATTATAAATTTTAATAATCTAACCATAATTCTTCATAGTTTTATTTCAATTTTTATTCCTGTTCAACAAAATTTTAAGCTTAGCTTTCAATTATAGTTTAAAGCTCGAATTCTTTATTTGATAATAAAATATTTGCTTTTCTCTATTCATCAACATTTTATTAAAAATGTTATTCAACACATGAAACTTAAAGTCTTAAATCTTAAACTAATTCTTATAATTATTAGTTTTCATTTTTAAAATATGATAATTTCTAATCTTTTTTATTCAGTTTTTATTAAAGATTTGTTGTCAAATCTATATATTTTGTTGCTTCCTCCAATTAGATTTATAAAGCTTATATTTCTCTAAAAATAATAATTTAATAATATACAATTTATAATTTCTTTCTAATACTTTTTTACTATCTTCTATCTATTATAATTGCCTCCTAGTTTAATCATGCAAAGATTCTGTTTCCTAAAGCTTATCAATAATTGTTAATAATTCTAAATTTTTATATAAATTATTTACAATTTATTTTTGAATTCGCTATTTCTACTTCACATTTCAATTTTTAATTTTCATCTTAAATTTAAGAAAATCTTTCTTTTTAATTTAGAATATTTTCTTATAATTGCTCAATAACTTCTTTTGAAGTTTTAACTTAATCTTCATAATTTGATGATATATTGTTTAATTAGGATGTATTCTACTTTTTTAGATGTTCAACTTATTTGATTAATTTAACTTCCTTTTCACTTTAATAGTTTTCAAAATAGTTTTACAATTACTCATTCTAATAAAATTTGAATTTATTATTACTTTTTCCAAAGCTTGTTTTAGTTTAAATGTCAAATCAGCTTCTCTTTTTTAAAGATCAAGTACTTTTTTATTGATTAATGATTCTGTTTCATATAAATTCCTATCTTTTGAAATTGAATTTTTTCTAAGTTGATTTACTCTATCTTCAGCATCTCTTATTTATTATTTAAGCTGTTCTATTTCATGATCTTTTTTGTCATTTATGTCAAGTAAGGTTTTTATTTTGTTATTACTTTCTAAGAATGTCTCTTCTAATTAATTTTACAATCTATATATAGTTAATATTAAAACTTACAATTCATAATTTATATGAAGTTATTCAATCTTTTTTTATTATTCATTGTCTTTTAATATAAATGAGATTATGTCTTATTTTAATCCATCTTAATCTCTTGCAACAGCTAATTAAAATGCATTCAATCTCTCTTAAAATTCTGTTTCCATATTTTTAATTTATGTATCCTTTTGTTTAATCACTTTTTTTAATGTTTCTAAATTTTCAATCACCTCTATTGGATCTAATTATTACAACTAGTTGACATTATTTACTTATTTCATAATAATAATAAAATTTATTTTTATTTAATTAGTTAATAATAAAACATTACATTAATATAAATATATAAGTTGAATAATAATAAATTTGGTCTCATTTAAGCAGATTTAAATTTATTGATCAACAATTTTAATGTGAGAGACTATTTTTTTTATGTACCTATTATTTGAAAATTAATTAAACAAAAAAAATTAATTTCCAATAATTCTTTTTGAATTTATTTTAGTATATTTTTATGATGATTCATATTATAATTTTATATTTTCATTCTAAGTTAGTAATTTATCATTCCTTTCTTTAGAAGATTGAATTTTAATCTTATGGTTATAGTGAAGAAAAATAAGAAAAATTAATGAAACAGTTCATTTATAAACTTATTTTAAATAATCAATAATCAGATTATTCAAGCCTTCCATAATAAGAAATACAATTCTTTATGTTGATAAAAAATGTATTTTTTTGTTTAATGAATTACATGACTTCCAAAGTTTCTTCCTACAATGCAATTCCAACCAAATTAATCAAATTTATCAAATTCATATTTAATATGATGAGCAATTTGTTTCTCAGTTCTAAATTATTGCATAGCTGATTAAGTAATATCAGTGACTTTTTTAATAAAATCTTCATCCATATCTGTGGCCTTTATTTATAACTTGATTTGTTCCATACTTTATATTATATTGTATATTAATTAAATATAATAAATTAATTTAATAAAGCTGTTAATTTAAATTTTTGAAAATAGGTCTCTTAAAAATTATATCTTATATGTATCTCATATCAAGAAGACAATAATAATTAAAAACTTTTAGAATTAATTTTTCAATCATATTAAATAAAGCCTAAAATATGGCTCCAATCCAACTCGATTATTGCTTAAAAAAAAACTAGACCAAGAAAACTATCCAAAAAATAATCTAGCTATTCGTTTCATCCGAAAGGTTTGTCTTATACTTTTTTTAAATACAGATGAACTAAATTTCTTAGTTTCTAGAAACTCTTTTATTTCTTATTGATTTTATATTCTTTCATCAAAATTTAATTAAAAATACTTACAAAAAAAAAAATACTAATAAAATGCTTTAATCCTTAACCGAAGTTATTATAAATATTCTTAGTCTCTCCAGGGAATAAATATTTTGCATTCTTTTTATTTTTAGCTATCTTAAATCTTTAACCTGATATTTTATAGAACTCTTTAAGCTTCGGACTATTATCATCTTAATGAGACAAACTTTAATCATGTTCTTCTTGCCAATCTATTTTATCTTTGCTTGGCATTATTTTTATTTAAGAAGATTCTAATTCTCTTGGCTATGATTTAATAATCTAGTTCTGGAAAGTTGAATTTATTATTACTTTAGTATTTGAGCAAATCTAAAAGTCAACTGAATTCATTTGGTATTATGATTACTTAAGAATATAAAATTGAAGCTTCTATCTATCACTTTTATCACTCTTTACTGATTCCTCTTAGTCTGAATTAAAATGGAAAACTGAAAAATCATTAAACATTTGATTTTTATTCATTTATTAATGAATCGATTTTTTTCTAAAATAAAGCAAAGCTTAGAGATAGAATAAAAAATTGTTTAATCAATATATTTAAGTTTCTAAATCTAAATAGAAACTTCTATAAAATGATCTCAATGTTTAAAGGATTTTTTTATAGTTTAAAATTATAATAATGACATTATTATTTAATTTTGAAGATGCTTTATGAATTTATAAGAACATTTTAAAATTCTTACAACAAATTCGTATCAGAATAATATTAATAATGGAAAAGGCAAGAATACTAAAAGGAAATAGACTTAATTCAAATCCCAACTCTATTTATTTCGTTTATAATAATCTTAGTAAGATTGATGATTAGTAAAAGTGATTCAGAACTATATATTCAATTAAGCATTAATTGTTTATCCCATTTACTTATAGTGATTCTCATTAAAAAAAGCAAATCATATAAAGCCATAATTACTCAGATAACTAGAATTTGCTAAATTATTGTCATTAACTGGTATTGTATATATTTTTATCTGTCAAACTCATCATTTTTATTAATTTACATTACATTTAATGTAATTTAGTTTAGTCTAGCCTACACATTATGGTTTAAAGGTTTAACATTAGGAATATGCATATTAGGGTATTTATTATTTATCCCAGAAATATCTTATGAATGTTTAGTATTATTTATTTTAATAATACTTGTGCATACATTAAGAGAAGAAGGCAACTTAATGTCAGTTTATTCAAAACTTTAAGCCTTGTTTTTAATTATCGATACGATTCCATCAGCTATGTGTATAGTTTAGAAAAATAAAAGTTAATTGCTTTATTCAAATAAGAGTTTTGAAAATCTCTCTTTAACTTTAGAAGGTTCAAATAATTCTGATACTGACCAATCACCAGATAGATTTAACAATTATTAATAATAATAATTGCATTTTTTATCAAATCTTTAATTAACAGAATTAAAATAATAAGGCATATCAATAATAGATTTTGATGATGAATTATAGATTGATTAATTTAAGATACGATAAGTTAATTATAAGAAAAAAGCTTAAAGTCCAAAGTATGGATCAAGATAGTTGATATTTAATTAGAGTGATAAATATCCTTTAAATTAAAAAATATCATATAAATAAGAATTCTTTTCTTCGTTTAAAATGAAAGACGATGAATAAGTAGTAAAAAAATAGTATACTGCAGATATATCATTATAAGTTGAACTTAGACATTAACCATACATGTGTACTATGAGTTCAAAAAAGAAATAAAGGAAGAGATCATCAAATAGAATTAGTATTAATAGACCATCGACACCTACAAGTGGTAAATTATCATATGAATAGATTTAAAGAGATAATAATTAAAAATCTTAAAATTCAACACATTCAACAATGAATCATGATATGAAGTTCTTAGTTAATGTAATTGAGAATTATAAGTTATTTGATGAGGAAGATGATTTTTAAATATTTTTTGTTCATGAATTAAATCCAGTTCTTTTAAAAACTAGCTTAAAAAAATTAGAATCAGTTAAAAAGAATTTATTAAGATCTATTTCTCATGAAATGTTAACAAATTTAAATGCTGCTTATGGTTATATAAAACAATGTTAGGATAGATTATTAAAAGGAGAATAGATGTCAGAATAATTAGCTTGTGCTTTGAGATACACAAAATTATAATTATTTAAAGTTCAAGATTTTTTTGATTATAGATATTTATTAGATAATAAATTAAAATTGAGAGAAGATAAATTCGAATTAATTAATGCTATAACAGAATGTGTAGATTTGATAAAGGATTAAATATATAGAAAACAATTGAGTTATTAATTAGATATTCCAGAAAATTGTGCATATATTATAAAAGGAGATAGACAAAGATTTTGTTAAGTTATTTTGAATTTATTAACAAATGCTATTAAATTTACATATTAAGGTGGAATAACAGTAGAAGTGAAAAAAAACAAATATTCTCCATCTTGTTTTGGGATAATAGATGAAGTTTAATCTTAATTATCTTAAGAAGATTCTAATATTTTAGAAATTTATATTAAAGATAGTGGTTTAGGTATGGATGAAGAAGAATTAGTAACTTTAAGAAAGAAAGTAAATATTTAATTAAATTAGTTACATGTTGCAGATGAGGATGAAAAAGTATCTAAATATTCTGTTGGTATTGGTTTAGGTTTATCAGTTTGTAAGTCAATAATTCGTTAATTAGCTCCAGAAAATTCTAATCTTTTGTTTGTTGATTCTATTAAGGATAGCGGTTCTTCATTTTATTTTTGTCTCAGATATATTGAAGAGAAATCATCTATTTAAAAATCTTAGTAAATGACTATTCCATAATAGGATGCATAAAGTGCATCTGTTAAAGTCTTAAATTATAATAAAAGCCATTAATTGGCAGCTTTTAATATTTTTAAAAGAAGCAATTCTCATGATTTATCAATAGAAATTTCTAAAAAGAATTAGGATCATTGTTAATGTGAGACAATTTTGATAGTTGATGATGAATAATTTAACTTAGATGTAATTGCTCATACCATTAAAGATATGGGTTTTGAAATAGAAACTGCATTTAATGGTAAATAAGCAGTAGAAAAAGTATCAAAAAAATTATAGGATAAATGTAGTGGAAAATGTACAGGTTATCATTGTATATTAATGGATCTAAATATGCCTTTAATGAGTGGGTGGGAGGCTGTTTAAATAATTCGATAGATGGAATGCGAATTATAATTGGTGAAGGCAATACCTGTAGTGGCTGTAACTGCTTTTTGTAGTATATCAGATTAAGAGAAGAGTATAAACGAAGGTTTTGATGGAGTTATAATAAAGCCAGCTACTAAGGAAAAGATTAAAGGATGTTTCGAAAATTTAAATTTATGACTATAGATTTGTATTTGAATAATAATTTAATAATTATATATTAGTAGACTATATTAATTTAGATATTTCTTAATTCATTATTATACATACTATTCAATATTCACAATTTATGCAAGATAATCCTTTAATTGTATTAGATAGATCAAGCGATAACAAATTTGGCCATCTTATTCAGTTTTCATGAAATCAGATACTTACTAAGTTTATTTGGATCCTTCACTAAGGAATCTAAATGAAACGAAAGATTTCTGGAGGAAAATATAATCTTCAAACTTTTAGAATATCAGATCATTGAGATCTGAGGTAGATTTCTAATTATAAGAGGTAATATAGTACTTTTTATGTTTATTTTTATTAATCATTATCTTTAAAGCATTTAGTGATGACAAGCAAGTAATCTAAATTAGTAAGTGAATTATTTGGGTCTTCCTTTTATAACCAATTGATATCTTCTCTCTAAAATTAAATAAGATAATTACTAATTAATTGTGCAATATAGGAATAAGTTATGGGGCTAAGTTAAGAATTCTTTCATTAATAAATAAACCAACTTTTTTTGGTGTTTAAAGGATATGTTAGAGTTATTAATGTTATTTATTATATTATTAAGATTTAGCATCAACATAATGTAAGATTTCACCAATGGCATTGCTCCTAATAATAATGAAATATAAAGTTACTTAATTTCACCAATATTTAATATTGTAGTAAAACCAAAAACATTGTCTTCATCTTCTTGTCCAACCATAGTTCCTAATTCAACTTAATCACATATAATATTGGCTAATTCAGAGGATTTAAAACTAATTCCCTCTAGATAGCCATTAATGAATGTTTTAATAGAATGAAATTATTTTTGATTTGGATCAAGGAAAACAAAGTCAAGATTGATTTCTTCTTCCATATCTCCTTTATTATGTAAATTAATAGGTTATTCAATTTCTTCTTCTTCTGAATCATCATCTTCATAATCTCTTTATTTTCTCTTGTCTTGACTCATTAATTTTAATAGTGATTAATAAATGGATTAGACAAAGAAAAAGATAAAAACAAATTAAATTACTTTACTTGCTCCTGATACAAGAGTATTTGTTACTCTCATTAATCCTTATGGTGAAGAAGCATAGAAATCATTAGAATTATCAGTCAATACAACTAAAGAAGAATTACAATCTATTTTATAATAATTGGTAAAAACAGAAGAAGATTAAGTTTATTCATTTTTTCATAACAATATAGAATTAGTGGATACTTTAAATTAATTAATAGCTTCAGATCCAGAGTATAAATTAGAAAATACTTTTTCTCTGACATATCATCCTTAATCCTTATTTAGAATTCAACCAATTACTAGATAAACAGCAGCACTAGAAGGTCATGAATAACCTGTATTATGTGTACAATTTAAAACTCATGGTGATATCTTGGCAACAGGAAGTGGAGATACTACAATAAGATTATGGGATATGTTGACTGAAACTCCGATAGCCACACTTTAAGGTCATAAAAATTGGGTTCTTTGTTTAGCATGGAGTCCTGATTGTAAATACATAGCCTCTGGTAGTCATGATGGTTAAGTTTGCATTTGGGATGTTTAAACTAATTAATTAAAAGGATAACCACTGAAAGGACACACTAAATGGGTTACTAGTATAGCTTGGTAACCTATGCATTTAGATGAAGAATGTACATTAGTAGCTTCATCTTCAAAAGATGGAAGTGTTAGAATCTGGAGTAGAATTTCCCTATCTTGCCTTATTGCGATAAATGCACATCAAAAGGCTATTACTAAGTATATTTCTTACTAAATTTAGAATGCTTTGGGGTGGTTAAGGATATATATATACTGCATCTGAAGATACTACTATTGGAGTATGGAATAAATCAGGAAAAAGATTATAAGAATTAAAAGGACATGGACATTGGGTTAATTCTATAGCTTTACACTCTGATTATACAATAAGATGTGCTTGCTTTAGTGAAGGGAATACCGATATTAATACTAAACAAGCTAAAGTTCTTTATGATAAAATTTTAAATGGGAAAAATGAAAGACTTGTTAGTGCTAGTGATGATTAAACTTTAATGTTATGGGAATATACATCATCAAAACCAAAAGTTAGAATGACTGGACATTAATAATAAGTTAATCATGTTTAATTTTCACCAGATGGAAGATATATTGTTTCTGCTAGTTTTGATAAGAGTTTGAGACTTTGGGATGGATATAATGGAAGTTGGATTGCTACTTTGAGAGGACATGTTGGATCAGTTTATTAAGTTTCATGGTCTAGTGATTCTCGATATATGTTATCAGCCTCCAAAGATTCTACTTTGAAATTATGGTCTTTATAAAAAAAGAAATTGGCTTTTGATTTACCAGGACATGCAGATGAAGTTTATGCTGTTGATTGGGCTCCTATTGGTGGTGAGAAAGCAGGAAGTGGAGGTAAGGATAGAAGAGTTAAAATATGGAGACATTGAACTTCTTTTCTTTTGTTAATATTATATTAAAGTGTATATTGATGATATTAACTTGACTTTATAAATTCTTAAAAACCATAAATATCTTTATTTTATAAATGAGTCATCATCATAAGGCACATGATATTGCAAAAGTAGCAGCAGCTAAGTTGAATGCAGCTGCTGCTTCTAGAAATTATAATGTCACTCCTAGAGTCGATTATAGAACAGTTGTCAAAGTTGATGGTCCATTAGTTATTTTGGACAATGTTAAATTCCCAAGATATGCTGAAATTGTTAACGTTTGTTTAGGAGATGGATCTGTTAGAAAAGGGTAATTAAAATATTGCATTCTTTTAGATAAGTTTTGGAAATTGCTGGTAAGAAAGCAGTCGTACAGATCTTTGAAGGTACTTCAGGAATAGATAATTTATATACACATTGCGAATTCACAGGTTCAACACTTTAAATGCCAATCTCTGAAGAAATGCTTGGAAGAGCATTTAATGGATCAGGAGTTCCAATTGATAAAGGACCTCCTGTATTAGCAGAAGAATTCTTGGATATTCAAGGATAGCCTATAAATCCTTTTTCAAGAGTATATCCTTAAGAAATGATTCAAACAGGTATCTCTGCTATAGATTGTATGAACTCAATTGCTAGAGGATAGAAGATTCCATTATTTTCTGCCAACGGTTTACCACATAATGAGATAGGAGCGTATAATACTATATAGATGATTTTAGTTAAATTGTGCGTTAAGCCTCATTAGTCAAAGGAAAAGATGTACTTGATCATTCTGATGAAAATTTTGCAGTTGTATTTGGTGCTATGGGAGTTAATATGGAAACTGCAAGATTTTTCTAAACAGATTTTGAATAAAATGGTTCTATGGAAAGAGTCGTTCTATTTATGAACTTAGCTAATGATCCAACAATTGAAAGAATTATTACTCCAAGATTGGCATTAACAACTGCAGAATATTTGGCTTATGAAAAAGAGTTGCATGTTTTAGTTATTTTAACAGATATGTCAGCTTATGCAGATTCCTTAAGAGAAGTATCTGCAGCTAGAGAAGAAGTTCCAGGAAGACGTTCATTTCCAGGTTATTTATATACAGATCTTTCAACTATTTATGAAAGAGCAGGCAGAGTATAAGGTAAAAATGGATCAATTACCTAAATTCCAATTTTAACAATGCCTAATGATGATATTACACATCCTATTCCAGATCTTACAGGTTATATTACTGAAGGTTAAATTTTTATTGATAGACAATTAAATAACAAATAAGTTTACCCACCTATTAATGTCTTACCATCTTTATCAAGATTGATGAAATCTGCTATTGGTAAAGGAATGACTAGAGAAGATCATCCAGAAGTATCTAATCAAGTATTTTCATTTATAATATTTTCTATAGTTATATGCCAATTATGCCATTGGTAAAGATACAGCAGCCATGAAAGCTGTTGTAGGAGAAGAAGCTTTATCAGCTGAAGATCTATTGTATTTAGAATTTTTAAAGAAATTTGAAAATAATTTCATCAGTCAAGGAGCTTATGAAGTTAGATCCATTTTCAAATCTCTAGATTTAGCTTGGAGATTGTTAAGAATCTTTCCTCCTGAAAAATTAAAGAAAGTAATCAATCATTTATACCTTTTAGATTAACAAAAAAAATCTTGAAACATATTATTACAGAAGAAAGGAAGATGAAGATGATTTTGATGGACCTTAATAATAATAAGAAAAATGATTATGATGTATCAAGTAGAAATATGCAGTAATCATTAATAAAACTATTTATTTATGTTATTAACTTATTTTTTGTAATATACTGATTTTTTGGATCAAATAATTTCTACAAATGCCTTTGGATGCTAGAAAGTTGTTTATTTTGGTATAACAACTGTTGCTCCTCTTGGTTAAACTGGTTATCGCTTTGTTGAAATAACTTGCTTATTCTTGTTTGCTTCAGTTTTTTTCTTATCATTATCTTAGACTCTCTTGACAAATTCTTATCTGCATTTAGATGGTCTCAAATGATCAGCTCTAACATGAAAACGCTTTTCGACATATCTTCCTCTAACTCTTCTTTATAATGAAACACCGATTCCTCTTGGATTTACATTGAATACTCTTGCAGTTCTGCCATGATAATATTAAAATGGAACACCTTTATGTTAAGCACCATCAACCAAAATATCAACAAAATCACCTTAACATTATTAAACAAAGACATACCTCTTTTAAAGGTTTAAAGGGTTTTTCTAATTGATATGTTTCCATGTCCTCTGAATGGTTTAGCAAACTTACTTCTTGTACCCTTTTTTAAACCGTAACTATGAGTCATATTTTGATAATTTAATTTATGGATTTGCTATCACATTTAAATATATATATTTAACATAAAATTTATATATTATCTATATGAATAAATCAATCTCATCAAATATTTATCTTTCTAACCTTTATTGCCTCTTATTTATCTGCTAATTCTCTTAGTAAAGGCTTATTATGCATTAATTCTTCATTATTCATTTTATTTCTTGGTCTCTACTATGATTTTCTTTCATCTATTTATTATTTAAGAATTTCTTGATGTTTTGAATTTACATCTTTTATGTAATTAAATTTTTATTTTTCATGTGTCTAATACATTTATAAATCTTATTGCCAAACTTAAGCTTGTTTCTTATTTAATTCTTCTTCTTCTTTAATTTTCTATCTTTAATAATCATTTTATAAATACTTTTTATCTTCCATTTATTTGATTAAATATTATCTCATCTCCTACTATTACTATTTTATCTATTTTTTTTTGAATTCTTCATCATTTTATTCTATTTAATTTTACATAAGAATAGCTTTCATCATTTTATCATCTTCAGCTCTAATTTTAAATAAAATTATACTTTATTTGATCTTTTTGATTCTTTACAACAGTTTATGAAAAATCACTCATAATCTTCTTTATTTTATCTTCTCTTTCTTTCTTTTCAGATTCTCTTTCTTATTCTAGTTTTTATTATAAAGCAATATATTTTCTTTGCATATCTATTTCTAATTATTTTTCGGCAATTTCATCTTAAATTTATTTCTATCTATTTTTTTCATTTTCCTCCATCATTTCTATAAATTTTCTTTTTTCAATTTCTTTTTTTTAAAGTATTTCCCTTTACTCTAATTTTAATTCTTCCTAAATTCTTTAAACCAATATAGCATCTTATTCTGACTACTTCTTTTTCTCTAAAAATCTTTTCTTTTCCTCTTCTCTAACTTATCTATCTCTTTATTCTTTCTCCATTTATTACTTTCTTTCTTTATCTTTCTTTTTTTAATCTTCTCTTTAATCATAAACATTCATTTAATAATCTCTTAATTTTACATAAGCTTCTTCCTATTTTCTCTCTCCTTCTAATCTCCTTCTTTTCTCTTCTAATTATCTATCTAGTTCTGCTTTCATTTTTTTTTTAAACTCAGCTTATCTCTACATTTCTAATTATCGTTCTTTACTATGAAGCTCTGTATCGAATTTTACTAAAGCAGCCCACTCATCCTCTTCATCTACCACATATACTGATTTTGGTTGTTTTTCAAATTATGAAGACGTTACAGAATATTAATCTGCATCTCTTTCAGATCTTACTGAATTCTTTACAGATTATGGTCGAAGGTTTTATGATATCTATTCACTTCTCTTGTCAAATTCAATGTTTTAAGATGGGTTTTATTAAATTTAACTTTCATGTTGTTATTTTTTTAATGCCTCTTATACTCTTGCCTTCAGTTATTTTAAAGAATTTTCTGTAACCTAACATGATGTATTCTTGATACTTGCTCATTCGCGAAGTATTCATTAACTATTTACTAAATTAACCCTTCTTTTTTCTTGTTACCTTAAGCAAAATCTTTTGAAAATTTGCTAATCAACATCTCTCTCAATTACTCTCTTTATTGAATTAAACCAGCTCTTTCAATTGCTGATTTTACTCTTGCTGAACCAGATCGAACTGTTTTACTTTTTTGAGAGTTGTTCATTTATATTAATTTAATATATATTTATTTTCATATAATCTCAACAAGATCATTAATATTTTATTTTATAATCATTCATAATATTCTATATATTCTGACTTTCTTTTAAATCGTAAAAAATATATACCTTGCAAATAAGATAAATCTTTAACTTTCAATCATTAAGCTAAACAAGTCAAATAGAAATAATTGTATCAATTAGGTGCAAAAAAATTATGTTTGGAATTTTTTATAAATTGCATAGTTTCTAAATAGAAATATTATGTTTAAAATTTACTAACCATCCTTAGTTAGTTTTTTTTGTTTATTAATTCTTTCATATTAACTTTTTAATAAATATAATATTATTCCCATATAATTCTGATTTTTTATGTTCTTATTGTTCAATCTTTTCCTAATATATGAATTATCAATTGAGTAAAACAAAAATTTTAAGCAAAAACTAAATAATGAATTATGTACATTTCATACGAAATTCATAATTAAACATTTAATTCAACATAAATAGATTATTAGCGTATTGTTTAAATAACTTTAAGATTAAAAATTTAATAAATAGCAATAAGAAAGTATATATTTTTGAAATCCTTAAAACTATTTAATTTTTTTAATTCTTTATTTTAAATAGATAAATGAAAGGATGCTAAAGTTCATTCTAATGAAATTTATTATCTCTAATTAAACTACCTTAAAATCAAGAGGATTCTAATATTCAGTTCAATCCCATAAAATCTTATGAAAAGAAATGTTAATATTGAAATTATGATTTTTCTAGAATATTTTTATTGCTTAATTGTCATCTCCATCATATTAATACTTTGCAGAATGAATATTTATCATTGATCTCCAATAAATTTATTATATAATCTCATAAATAGTAAAACAAACACAATAGTTATAATATTTTTTTAATTTAAATAATGGATTAAGATTAATCAATTAAATTAGAGGACATTCATTATACTAATTTCATTGATTATAGTTAAATACCCTTAATAATGCCTATGATTGATGCTGAATTATCAGAACCCTATTCTATTTACACATATAGATATTTTCTTTATGGTTGGCCTGATTTGTCAATTTTTGCATACTATAATAATGAAATAATTGGAGTGATTTATTTTATGAAATTTATAGGTAGTCATTGGAAAATTAGATAAACATCAAAAATCAGGCAGAAATAGAGGTTACATAGCTATGATTGTTGTAGAAAAAAAATATAGACGTCTTAAAATAGGAAGAATTTTAGCATAAAAATTTATTGACAAAATAAAAGAAAAAGGTGTTAATTTATATTTAATATTGTATATAGGTGGTGATGAAATTGTACTAGAGACTGAATAAACAAATCATGCTGCACTGAGATTGTATGAATCTCTTGGTTTTGCCAAAATGAAAAGAATGTAAAACTATTACATGTCAGGCAATGATGCATTTCGTTTGAAATTATTCCTTGTGGATCCTATTGATCCTCATTAAAAAAGTGAATGAGTTAACCAAATATCTGTTAAAGTTTTATTAAGCAAATATTAATAGTTTTATATAATTAAAAAGAATCCATCATATAAATGAATAAAAAATTAGTTTAAATTTGTCTAAATCAATAATCATCTCCACATATCTAATCATAATTATTTTTGAAAAAAGCTTATTATATACTTTTTGTAAGTGAAATCTTAATCTTGATTTTTCATTATTATTTTTTAAAAACCAAAATTGAAATATCACATCACTTCACTTTAACTCTAATTATTTTTTAAATCCATACTTTATTTTCTATTTTCTAATTCACTATCATTTTATCCTATTCATTAAAATTCTGAACTTCATATAGTTAAAAACTTTTCTAAAAAAATATGAAATAAATGTAAATTTTATTTGAACTGATTTATTTTTAAATTATCACCTTTTTTAATGAATTTCTTAAATATTTTTGGTCAAGATAATTTTCAAAAATTAAATTTATTAGATTTTTTCCATAGTAATAAATGCTTTATACTGATTAAATAAGAAACATAAAATAGAATCATTTAGCGAATTTTTCAGTCCATTCCTCAGCTTTTTAATAATACAATTTTTTATCAGTTTTAAAGATACTATTAATCTCATCATTTAGAGGACTGTTAGGATTTGGATCAAAAAGCAAAGCTAGAATACTTAGAAGTACTAAAATTACTCAAAATTATTACAATTTCTCACTGTTAAGTTTTGAGACCAATTATTTCTCAGTATTTCCAAGCAAATAGATCCAGTCTTATAATCAATATTTAAATGATAAATTTAAGTTAGAAATACTATTTTTGGAGGCTTTAAAGGATAATCTTCAGGAAATTGTAAATCAAGATGAAAAACTCCTTTCTCATAAGATGAACCTAAAGGGCCAGAGAAACTAATTTTCCAATGGAATAAATTATTTTCATCCAATGGATTAATTATGAATCCATCTAAAGGTTCATCTTAGAGACATTTTAGCTCTTTTTTTATCCTTAATGTTGAATTCATTTAATTTTATAATAATAAAAATACTTGTACAAATTATAACATTACTTGAATTTGCATCAGTTTTTAATCAAACATAATGAAATGAATTTAAGGGTTTGTATTGATTAATTTGCTAGTTTGTACAGAGATATTTAGGAAATGTTGCTCTTTCATTTTGGAATCATTTGAAATTATAAATGTTTTCTAGATGCTGAGTTAATACACTATGTCGAAATCTCTTATGGTCAGAAAACATAACAACAATAATAATTAATAATTAAATAATTTAAATATATTGATAGAATGAAGGGTAATTTAATCGAATTAGAATCAGGCCAAATTGCTAAATATAATATTTATTTATTTTGTTTAATCTATTTAAAAAAAGAAGCTTTATGAATGCGCAAAACTTGTTTATATCAAATCAAAAACTTCAAAAAATCTAACTTAAAATTTTGAAAATATTAATTATGTTGATCGTTTTATATTTATCAAGATATTCGATCTCACAATTCAGCTGAGTTATTTTCAACCTATTCAGAAAATAATTCTAAATGATTGTTTAAAAGATTTAATAATATAAAATAATTTTAGAACTTCTTGTATTAATAAATTGTACATTTAAAATAATAGGTCTAAAATAATTAAATTTATAAATCATAGAGACCACTATGTGTTACTACACATATAGAATTATTGAAATCATAAATTTGTGCATCTTATTATTAGGAACTGAAGCATAATATTTCTAAAATTGTATGTATCAAATGAAGTTTTTTGAATGTAATCAATTCTTTAGATGTAAATCAATCTATTGCAAATTGATAATTTAATTATAATTTACATAGATTTCTGTTTTAGATATATGAATATATGAGTTTAAAACATTAAATTTGTTAATATATTAACAAAAATTCAGTTTGTAAGTTTATACGGTAATGGAACAGGTAATTCTTATACTAATTTTATTTGTGTATTTTCAAAAGATAAGGAATGTATTTTAATTAATGTCTGTTTATATAAACTGATTCCAATGCTATTTTATGCATTAAATGATGATGAAAAAGGTGTCTGTACTTGAGAGAAAACATTTTGAAGAAAATTTTAGCTACTAAGAAATTTATAACTTTTGAAAAATGTCAAAAGTTTTTTTATATTTTTAATGTTCCAACAAATAGATTTGAATGTATCAAGCAAAATCATATTTGTGAAAAATCAATGTAAAATCATATTGCAAAAAGAAATATTTAGATAATTCATGTTTATAATCTTAATGTAAATGCATTATTTATTAAGAATGCACTAGCATTGAAGTGTCATCTCATAATTCCTGAAAATGTATTAAAATGAACTTACAACCAAAACTTGAATCAAATAACTATTTTAGTATTATTTTAAAAACAGAAAAAAAATTTATGATTCAAATATACTAATAAAACAAGTGCTGATCAGTTCATAAATACTCTAATTTTATTAAATCAACATTGCTCTATGCCAATTCTATTTCCAATTTTTGTGTTTCTGATTGATTTGGATATATCTAATGGTAAAATTTGTATTTTAAAAATATGATCAGTTGATAATATAAAATATGCATAGAATTCTAATGGAATGTTTTTTAACTTCTTTGATTAGTAATGATAATAATGCACCTATAAATTGATGGAATCTTTGAATAAGCCGATTCTGATTTGATGGCATGTATATTAAAATAAATTTCATAACATTTTTTGTTTCATTATAATCAGAAATCGAAGTAACACCTCATATAAGCATATGTTTGCTGCGATAGAAAAAAGTGCAAGATGGAATCCAGTTTATTCATTTGATGAAGAGAAAAAGACTGTTTCTATAATGAATTTATGTCATTATGTATTGGGAAGCTTAAATCGATTAATAGCCAGTAATTCTTAATAATCAAGTTTAAAAAATTTTACCTAGAATGCAGAAACTAATTAATGTTTAAAATGCCATGAATCTACAACATCACCCCATTGAACCCACTAAAACTATGAACAAAAGCTAAGATACATTTTCAATATTAATTCTCTTTTCTTTTTTAATTTTTTTGTTATGAATTCATAGTTTTTATTAAAAATAAGACAACCACTAAATATTATTTCATGTTAAAATTTCTTATATATATAGTAGTCATTTTTTTGCTCGTTTGAGAGTTCCTCTTTTCTTATTTTATGATTTTCCACATTTTGATGTCATTTCCTTAATAAAATCTNTCAAGCAAAATCATATTTGTGAAAAATCAATGTAAAATCATATTGCAAAAAGAAATATTTAGATAATTCATGTTTATAATCTTAATGTAAATGCATTATTTATTAAGAATGCACTAGCATTGAAGTGTCATCTCATAATTCCTGAAAATGTATTAAAATGAACTTACAACCAAAACTTGAATCAAATAACTATTTTAGTATTATTTTAAAAACAGAAAAAAAATTTATGATTCAAATATACTAATAAAACAAGTGCTGATCAGTTCATAAATACTCTAATTTTATTAAATCAACATTGCTCTATGCCAATTCTATTTCCAATTTTTGTGTTTCTGATTGATTTGGATATATCTAATGGTAAAATTTGTATTTTAAAAATATGATCAGTTGATAATATAAAATATGCATAGAATTCTAATGGAATGTTTTTTAACTTCTTTGATTAGTAATGATAATAATGCACCTATAAATTGATGGAATCTTTGAATAAGCCGATTCTGATTTGATGGCATGTATATTAAAATAAATTTCATAACATTTTTTGTTTCATTATAATCAGAAATCGAAGTAACACCTCATATAAGCATATGTTTGCTGCGATAGAAAAAAGTGCAAGATGGAATCCAGTTTATTCATTTGATGAAGAGAAAAAGACTGTTTCTATAATGAATTTATGTCATTATGTATTGGGAAGCTTAAATCGATTAATAGCCAGTAATTCTTAATAATCAAGTTTAAAAAATTTTACCTAGAATGCAGAAACTAATTAATGTTTAAAATGCCATGAATCTACAACATCACCCCATTGAACCCACTAAAACTATGAACAAAAGCTAAGATACATTTTCAATATTAATTCTCTTTTCTTTTTTAATTTTTTTGTTATGAATTCATAGTTTTTATTAAAAATAAGACAACCACTAAATATTATTTCATGTTAAAATTTCTTATATATATAGTAGTCATTTTTTTGCTCGTTTGAGAGTTCCTCTTTTCTTATTTTATGATTTTCCACATTTTGATGTCATTTCCTTAATAAAATCTCCTTTAAAATAGTTTTTAAAGTATGGGTGACAAAGACATTCATAAGCACTGGGCCGATTATGTGATTCTTTCTGTAACATTTTAGTGAGTAAATCATATGCTTGAGGATTATTCTGCTTAGTTGTTTCTAAATGGGCTTCATTGTAGTTGCCCCTCATATTAAGTTTGATTAGATCAGAAATATTCTAAGAATTTCCATAAGGATTTTTCAATGTTAAACTAAGGTATTTTAAAGTATTACATATTATAGAAAACGATGCCTGAGCTATAAATATCAATTTTTTCATCATATATACATTCTTAACTAAATACTTCAGGGGCTGTATATCCAGGAGTACCACATCTAAAATTTCTAATAAATATAAACCTTGGATTGATGTATTGAATTTAAGATTTTTTACATGATAAACCAAAATCAGCTATTTTTAAAGTTTCTACATTCGAAGAGTCTTTAAATAAAATATTCTAAAGTTTGATGTCCCTATGTACAATTTCCAAATCATGGAGATGTTTCAAACCTATAATCCTTTAAATATGTTATTTTACCAGAAAGTAGATTGAACATTAAACATGGGACATCAATTTGGATACTTTTCTAATAAAGAAGCTTTAAAAGATCTCCTCCTTGACAATATTCTAAAATGATTGAGACTGACCTAAAATCTGTAATGATTTCTTCCAATAAAATAATATTTTTATGAGGTTCATCTTTTAACAGCCGTAACATATCTGCCTCTTATTTTAATTATGCCTATCAATATTATGTTACAAAATTACCAGTCTGCTATGAGATTAGGGATCTTTTAATAAAAAACTTGCTTTCTTTTCAACAGAAATCTTAGATGATGTTTAAATAAGTTCTATTGATAAAAATTCTTCCTTACTTATTCCAAAAGTCAATTTTCCTAAAACAACATAACTTGAAGAAATCATGAAAATTTGCCTTCCTCTCATTTGTAATTTTAACTATTCAATATCTTTCAAACCTACAAGAAAGGTAACTTTAATTTTTGTTTCAGGATTATCGAGATCGAAAGTTCCAAGCTGTTAATCTATACTTATATATTTATATTACCTTCATTGATCTCTCTTCCAAAGCAGAGAATAGTATCCATAGAGTTTGAAGGTAAATAAACCATTTACTAATTTCCATTTTTTGACTTAAATAATAACTTTAACAAAAGTACCACAATAAGTAGAGCACCAGATTAAGTTGTAATGATAACTTCTTATAGTTATCCATCAATATTTTTAAAAAGAGCAGAACAAGTAAAATGGGACATTATGAATTTTAGACGAGTAAATTATTAGATTACTAGATAGTTTATAAATATTCAAACTCTTTCCTAAAGGGGGGTGATTAATTTAATACATACCCCCTAAGAATTGTTTTGAGCGAAATTTTATAAATAAGAAAGTATTTGGAACTATTTCTTGAATTTTAATTATAAATCAAGATTTTTTTATATTCTAATATATAATTTTATAAAAATCTTATTTCATTATTTTCTTAATATATAATTTATATAATAAGAATTCAAATAAAAATTATAATAAGATATCTTTTCAAATTTATACCATAAGTAATATTATTATTAATATCAATGTTAAAATGTAACTTTCAGCACATTCAATGCATCTAGCTTAGATAGAATTCCAAACATAAGTATTAAGTGTAATGTTCAAACATTACTCTGGGGCTAAATCTGTTATGTCAAAGTCAATGCATTTCTAATTGTTCCATAAACAATTAGTAACTTCACTGAAATCAAAATTGAAATAAAAATGGCATTCAGGTTCTGTTTCAAATTAATCACAAGATAAATCAATACATTCTTGAGTTTATTCATCCCATTTACATGAGGTTTATTTACAATATTCTTGATTAGTTTAAGAAGCATCAGCGCAACTTTTAATACTTTAGGAAGTACAATTCAAATTTGTAGTATTCCAAACACAATAATCACCATCTTTTTATATACCTATACATTCCTCATCACTTATTAAATTATCACATATGATTTCTTCATTTTCATCTTCATCTTCTAAATTTTGATCTGCGCAAGTGTAAAGCCCATTTGCAGTCACACCACCATCAACACAGAACCATTTTTCAAAACATTCTTGAGGTTGGGAAACTAGATAGTCAGAGCAAGCTGTAAACTTTTAACATTTACCCTAATTCCAGGCACATTTATATGAATTTGGTAATATACGATCACACTAATCTTGATCAGTTGCATCTGTACAATTCAGCTTTTAACATGATCCTTCAAACCATTTACAAAATAAGGATTCATTACAAACTTCTTCTTATGGAATGTCTAAACATTAGCATGTAGTTTAATCAACCTTGATTGTAAATTGTATTGCTTTAACTATTAAGAGAATCAAAATAAACATAATAATTATATTATGTATAATTTTCATTTTGTAGTCAATCCAAAAGAAAAAATACACTTTTAGAACTAAAAAGCATAGATTCAAATTCAAAATATCACTAGACGTCATTTAGCTTTTAAAGTATTCTATGTTTTAATTATAGTAATTTAGATAAGAACAACAAACAATTAAGATTTTAAAGTGATTGGAAATAAAGGCATCATCAATCCAATGTCTACAAATATAATTCAAATCCTCAGCAATAAAGAAGTTGTGTTTAACAATATTCTAGAATATTATGAAAGCAAAATTTTAGATTATGACAGTGATAATCAATCCCAACGATAATATTGATACCGCTTTTGCGAAAGCTAATTCAGAATAAATTTAGATTCAGACATTGAAAACTAAGTCCACATTTGGAGACGACACTTAATCTTTAATATCAGAGACATCATTTTTGAGATTTACAGCAATTCCTAAATAAATTCTTCCTATTACTTCAATTAATGATAATTTAATAGCTCCAATTAACAAGAAGGAAGAATTCTAGCCAACTATTTTTCATTTATTATTTGTTGGTGCTGCATGTCTATTAATTGGCTACTATACTCATATGTTTAAAAGTAGTAGCAAGAATTGCTGATAATGTTATGATTTACAATATTTGCATAATAATAGTGAAACATAATGTTGAAAATAAACAATTATTTTATATAAAAATTAAATGCAATAACGAAATGATTAATTGATAGGACAATAGGTACAATAAAATATGAATATGAATCCAACGATTGCATCACTCAGTATACCAGATGATAAACCTCTAAGTCCGATTAGTGTTGTAAAGCCATAACAAAATATCCATATTTATAATAAGGAATATGAGTATAGATTTATTAACTAAAAATAACTAGAGGTAAGATTGAAATGTTGAAGAGACTAACCAATTATTTTGAATAGGATTATCCAAACGGAACATTTTATGGTTAAATGCTGAATGGCAAAAAACATGGATAAGGTGAATAAATTTATTTACTTACTAAGGTTTAATGTTATTGTAGGGTAGAGTTTGTGAAGGAGTTTGGTAAAATGATAGAAAACATGGGCATTGCAAAGAGATCTTTGAAACAGGTGAGAGATTTGAAGGAGAATATTAGAATGGAAAACCATAAGGTAGGGGAGTTTATACAAGAAATAATGAGAGTTATGAAGGACAGTGGGTGAATGGATTTAAACATGGACATGGAGTTTGGAAAATGGAAAATGATTTTTATGAAGGAGAATGGAAATTTGGAAAAATTGATGGGTATGGAGTTTATATTTAGAATAATAACAAATATACTGGAAGTTTTAGGAATAATTTGAAACATGGACATGGGATAGAGAACTTTGCTAATGGAGATTTATATAACGGTCAATTTTGCAATGGAAAACCTGAAGGTTAAGGTACATATATATGGAATAATGGAGCTGAATATAGAGGTTATTGAAATTAAAATATTTGTAGGAATGTTTAAGAATGGAGTTAGACATGGTAAAGGAGTATGGAATAAATGGGATCCATTAAAAGAAGGTCATTATCGTTATGAAGGTATGTTTGAGAATGATAAAAAACATGGATAAGGAGTATTTACATGGCCATCAGGAAATTATTATGTTGGTGCTTTTGTTAATGATTATAGACATGGTTATGGGGAAATGTTCTGGAAGGATCAATATTATAAGGGTTATTGGGAAAGAGGTATGTAACATGGAGATGGAGAATTGTGTAAGAATGGAGTGGTTAAAAAAGGAAAATTTGAAAATAATGTATTAACAAATCATAGAAGTAATAGTATGTGGGAATCTGGTGAAAGTAATTTCAAATTATCTAATAATTTAAATTAAACCTTCTCGCATGGTTTATCTTAACGCAGCAGATATATGCCTGCAATTGGACGCAAACCTAAATTAATTATAAAAAAGGGAGATAAAACTGTTATCTTAGACTCTCTCATTATAACAGATATTCCTATTGAAAATGATCCTGATTTCTTAACTATTTGTCCTGAACCTGTTTAATAAAAAAAATTTAAACCAAAAATGAATTGTAGTTAGCTCTTAAAATAACATTTTAGTACTCTGAGAAAATGATTTTTTGAATTTATTTTTTTTGATAATAAATCAGTATTTATTCTATCTTATACAGAGTTATTACTTTTATTAGTTAAAAATAATAACAGAGAAATCAAATAAATAGCTAGAAATATTAAGTTATAATTAAATATGACAAGCTTCTCAATCCATTACATTCTTTAAAATGGAAATAAACATATTTAATAAATCAATCTCAACTTACACTCAATCCTATCAATATTATTAAAATTAAAATAAATTCTACCTTTTCAGCTTTTCCTTAAAGCTGCCTCATGCTCCATAATAAACTGTAATTCTACCATTCTATCTAGAAATATTAATGTACTATTTGTAGATGGATATTGAAAATAAATATAACTCTGCTACTAATGACCAATAACTCGTCACTTTGCATTTTTCTCCATCTCATAATTAAAGTTGAATAGTTTTGCAATAACGATAATTTCTAAAAAAGCAAAATAATATTTCCCAAAAACAATTGTAAATTTCGCAAAAAAAATTGAGAATAAATAATTACTTTTACTTTCTAAATTTAATTAAGATTGCTTTAAAAAGTCAATTTCTAATTTCTAATTCCTTATTCTTTTTTCATTTTAATATTTATTTTATATTTATTTTCAATCAAACTAAAAAAAATTATTATTTTATGAATAACAATTATCAGTTTATGGGGATCTCTTATATTATTAAATAAATGAAAAATTTTTGTTTATTCCTGGTTTAAATCAATATTATAAGCCTAAATTTTAGCTTTAATATTATAAAAAACTATTAATATAGGATTTCAGATAGAACTTTCACAATCTCTCTTAATTATGGCCTTGATATTTACATAGTCACCTTAAATTCTTTCCAGATAATTTAAAAAAAAATAATTTTCCATTAATTTATTAAATATTTTTAATTTCCTTAAAAGGTAATTATATAAATAATTTTTCCAAAAGTTTAACAGGTAATAGCTCATCCACTATTCTTAATATCTAACATATTAATTAAATATCAATTTTCATATAATGTTTAATTACTGATCCTCTTGTATTAAGTTATACTCCAAGATATTTGTGTTTTCCTTTAACAAACCATTTATTCTCTTTTTTGTTTACCAAATATTAACATATATTTATTTTCATATCATATTATTCTAAGGTTTCTTTTAATTATTCAAAGAAATATAAGAATAACTAAATCATCAATATAAATTAAATTTATGTCTGTTTAAATTATTTTTCTACTTTTTTCTATTTTTTCACATTCATTTTTAATGCTAAGATTAATATTTTAGTTCTCCAATCTATTTGTAGATCAATAAAATATAGATTAAATTACATATGAGCTAATAAGGAGCCTTAATGGACTCCGTTTTTTAAACAAACTTTATTTTCTTAGTAGGATCTCAATAATACATTTCATCATATAAAGTCATAAGAAAATTAGCTGCTTCTTTATCCATCCATTTTGTCCTATTTATGATTTCACATAATTTTTCTCTATTTTTAGTATTACAAGCAATAGATAAATCTATAAATATCATTTATTGATTTCGAGCTTTATAATTATAAGATATATAAGTCATTCTTTATCTCTTTAGAGGAAACATCACTGGAATGGTCTTTAACCTGCTTGTGGGCCTTCTTTTCTGGACCAACAGTAGTATCCTGGTATCCACCTTAAGAGCGTAAACATGGGGGAAGGATATGGAAATCCCCCATTAAGCATTTAGGTTCCTCAGGCTTGCCATTATCAGTCTCTAGGAGATCATCTAGGGACTATATACTCCATGACCTGGTTTCACTATGACATCATGTTAAGCTGACGACGCACCTTTTTTCCAGAGTACTCGTGATACCCATAAGCGAAGGATTGAGGCCAATTAGAGACCTGTATACTCTTCCAACGTAAGACGGGCCGCGAGTAGGGATTTTAAGACGAATAGGCAGTGGGTGTCCTCCTATTGTACCCTTTATCCCCCACTCATAACTTTCTAACTTCCCTGCCTACTTGGCACAAACGGCAGAGGAAGGAATGGTATAATTGTTCTTTTTTTCTTGTCCAGCGCATTGATTGTAACATAAATAAGCTGGGGGAGGTAGAAAGAAAATTTTTCATTCAAAAATTTTTTTGGAGATTTATTTTTTGCAAATTCAGTCATCCATCACAAGTTTATTTAAGTGCCTAAAGAATTTACAGAACCAAATTAATCTCTTTCTATATCCTATATTATCTAATTTAATTCAATCAAAATAAACTGCCTTCTTATATATTTTTTATCAACTCCCTAAAAGTTGTTCCTATATATTTTTAACCCATTCCTTATTCCTTATTTTATTATCCCCTTTTATATACTTAATTTTAGTTTCTTAATCGAATCTTGATTTTGATAAAGATAAACAATTAGTTGTTTCAAACAAAATAATTTAATTTTAATAGTCTATTCCTATTTCTTGTATATCTTTTTTAAAATAGTAATTCTCCTTATATGTTTAAAAATTAGTCTAACGCACAGCTTTTTATTTTTTTATCACTTGTTTCAATTAAACCATCAATGAAAAAGCACTAGATATTTATTTATCCTTATTTTTATCTTCCAAGTTTTTCTGTTTCTTTTACAAAATGGTAATATAATTTAGGTTCATAAAATCTTTTCTCCTCTATCTATGTTTAAATTTCTAAAACCAACTCTTAATATTAAGGAATTTAAAAATTTCCTACTTATAGTTCCTTTGGTATATTACTATAAATATCTATTAAATCCTATGTTTTTTCTCTTTATTACGTATTAAAATTCATTTATTTACTTTTAATTAGAAAAGTAATAGTGTAATATATTCCTTTCTGGCATTTCTACCTTAATCTTAATTGGCCTATGATCTGAGGGGTTGTAATTCTTGTTATAAAAGAGAACTTTTTTCTTTTCAGATGGCCTAAAAATTGATAAAATTAGCCTTATTCTACTAAAAAAGAGATTGAATTTATTTTAACTTAAGATAGAATGCTAAAAAAATAATTCTTTGGTTAACCTCAATTTTTAGTTTAAAATTAATTAGCAATTTATTTTTATTTTTTAGAACAAATAATTTAAATTTTTGTTTTGCTTTCAATGTCTTCTATAAATCCATCTTAATTGAGTCATTCATTTGCAAGATTCCCATTGCAAAGTTCAATAATGAGTGTTGAAGAATAGAGTCCACAATTTGCTGCTTAATTGGCTTAAAGCTAATTTTACATTTAAGAGGACTCCCGCTTTTTAGAAGAAGAGAATACTAAGCATTTGAATCAAATGATCTAATAACAATAAAAATAAATAGAATAATAAATAGGGCATAAAAGAATGAGTTCATGGCAATAATAAAAATCACCTCAATAATAGTCCCAAAGTAAATCTCAATGCACATCACCTCTAAGATAATAATTTCGATAAGAAGAACCTCAAATATATTATCATTAACCGTATTAACCTTGTCCTTGTGAATTAGAATAATTATGGGAAGAATTCTTATAAATGAGGATGATGTAGAGATAATTTAGGAGACAAACTTAGCAATGTTGTCATCACTAAAGAGGCCCTTTTATGCCTTATTGACTACATTACTACAATGATATATATATATATATTTTTAGATATTATGTTCACTCAATAATTTAGGCTTATTTTTCTTTGTATTCATTAATCCATTGTTAAAATGTAGCTAGAATTTCTTATCTTGCTTAAGTTAATTCAGGTGGATCTTGAGGAGAAGAGGCTTTAAGATCAACACAATGTGAGCAATCTTTACATTTGATGTATTTGACATCATAATCTTTTCCTTATTTCCATTTAGTAATTGAAGCATGTTACCAAGGATCATCTGATCCATTCGAAAAAATAAGATGATCTACATTGATATCAAGTCCACCGAAATATGCATTAGTTCTTTCTTCATCTGGAAAGATTGAGATGCCATAGGAATATTCACATAATAATCTAAAGAAATCAAGAACCAATTATTAAGATCTTGTTGATTGTTCAGCATTTGGCTTTAAATTAATATTGCATTATTTACATTTGCTGTTTAAAAGTAACCTACTTCAATACATGTTTAATAAGTCCATTATCTTGAACTCTTTGAGAAATCAATAGTAATATTCCTCAAGAATTCAGATCCGTAACTTTCTTGATCAACTGTTTCTTCTGCCATAAGAACTACTTCATCAAACCATTCTTATAGATCCTTTCCTTTTTCTAATCTCTCACACATTTTTGATCTTTCTCTACCTTAAACCATGCCAGCATAGATATCAGCAATCATTGATAAGAATTCAATATCTTCTAATTCTGAAGCATTAAATATTGATTTAATTGTTGTAGGATCATTAAGCAAATCATCCTCAATCTTTTAATTTACTTATTAAATTCTATCTACACATCTAACATTATTAAAAATCTTAATACTCTTATGAACTTTCTAAAGCAGAAAGATATACTTGCATATCATATTCATGATAACAGGCAACAGCTCTCACAACTGCTGAAGAAGCCAAACCTCCTATTGTTAAATGAGGATATTTATATCTAAACCAAGCACTTAATGCTCCTGGGTATGAACCTCCAAGATGAATCCATGGAGTGTTTGGCTTTATATTAAAATTTCCTGAATTTTTCATACTTTATATAAAATATGCTATGTCATCTAAAGCTTAATGGATATTCAAATATTTTAAGTTTGGAGTACTCCAATCTTCAAATGGCTAAGATTCACCAAAATATCTATGTTCTAAAACAAGTATTATTGCTTTTAATTATTATGCTGCATCAAATGTTAATCCTTGTCCAATCCCGTCGCCTATTATAATTTAATTATGTTTTACATGTCCATTCACCACAAATGTACAATATAACTGCTTCTGGCTTGCCTCCTTAGACATAATTATCATATATGTGAAATCTTTGGCTAAATACATTTTTTGATGTTGGATCATTATGATCTAATTTCTAAATAAACCATTAGGTAGATTTAGCCTAAATAATCTCTTCTCTTTCAAATAAACCATTTCTTTTTGTAAGTCTTCCCAATGATGACATCACTAGAACTAAAAGGATGACGATTTTCATTTAATATTTTAATTTATTAGATAATATAGAAATTGTATATAGACAATTTAAGATATTATTAATGATTTAATCATTTACGAAATCTTATACATTTTACATACATGATCATAATTTATTTGATTTAAGATTGATAAAATTTTTAATTATTACGATTTTTGCAAAAGCATATTAACAGTAGGATTTAAAATACTATAAATTATTTTGTATTAGTTAAAAAGTATTGATACATTATATTAGGAATTCCTTAAGAAAACAGAATTTGGTTGAAATATTTTAAGAAATTTTGATTATTCTTTTGGATTATTAATAGTTTATATATATTTAATTACTACTATGAACTTGACTTAAACTAATAATAATCAAAAGAAACCAAAGCCTAAATTGTAGTTAAATGTAAATGTAGCTGATGTGTAGCCAGAAAGTACACATTCTTCTGATGGGTGGAAATAATAAACTGATATATTTTTCAATGAGCCTATGTAATGTTATATTTATTAAAGTTAGTGATTAATCCTTATAATTTATGCTTAATGGTAAGACAGTTGCAGATGTAGCTTAATTAAAATGTGGTAGGAAATATTAGGAAGATAGAGTATTTTGATTGTTTAAATTTTTAGTTTGTCGCAATTCCGAATCTAAATTAGAACTAAGAAATTTAATTTTTTTATGCCATTTATGATGGACATGCTGGACATTCAGTTTCATCTATCCTTGAAAATGAGTTACATGAATATTTAAAGTAGGATTGCAATTTTGAAGATAATTTAGAGAAGGCCATAATAAATAGTTTTGAGAAAATGAATCAATATATATTGGATCGTTAAGATGAGAATTAGAATTTAGGTGGATCAACAGCACTTTGTGTTATAAATAAACATAAAGAACTTTATGTTGTTAATCTTGGAGATTCTGGATGTGTATTGATAACAGATGAGAATAAAATAGAAAAATTAAATTTGGAACATAAATTAAATAGAGAAGATGAATTCAAGAGAGTGGAATAAATAGCTACTATTTTGGATAGACAGTAATATATATTAAATAAAATAGTTCTATTCCAAGAATTAATGGAGAACTTGCAGTAACAAGGGCTTTTGGAGATAAGAAACATAGATAATCTGGTTTGATTGCAGTTCCAGAGATAAAAGTACACAAGATTCAAGTAAACGATAAATATTTGATTTTGGCTTCTGATGGTTTTTGGGATGTAAGAGAAATTATAATAATTTAGATTATAAAAAATGAGGAATTATAAAAATTGATAGAAAATTGGAATAAAAAAGAGATTGATTAATTGGCATAATATCTTTTGGATAAGGCATCATCAAAAAATACAAACTATAAAAAAGACAACATGACATTAATTGTAGTAGATATTCAATCCTATTGGAAATGAATATTTTAATTAACTCTTAGTATAGTTTATTAGATTATATTATTGTCTTATCAGTAAAACTTAGCTTAGTTTTTAATCATCAAAATAAAAAGAGATGATTAATTCTATAATAATAATTATGATAATATTTATAATTTCACTGGTTGTTTATTATGAATTTTATGTTAATAAATATTACAAAATTACATAATGAATCAAGATTAATTAGATAATGAGGGAGACCCTTAGCAATAATTCTTGGAAGTATATTATAATAATGAATAAAACTAGGCATTTAAAGAACTTCTGGAAGTTTAAAATTAAAGAATGTATAATGGAAATGATATGTTAAATTAGTATTGTCCTTAATTATAATATCCATTGATATTGCCTACATAAATTCCAAATACATTTATAGTATAAGCAATCATTATGATTAGATTAACATGGGTCCATACTTTCCACATATATAATAGCCATAAATTCATCCTTAATAGGGTTAATAAGCAAGATTAGCAACATAAACTTAATAGAATTAAACATATAATCATTAGAGTATAAAGGAGGAAGAGCATGATGATAATAAATAATCTAAAAATTGGATATAACATAGGAAATGATGAACTTATTATAAAATATTATTATTTTTTATCAAATTAAATGGGCTAAGCTTAAACTCAATAACAATAAGATATTGTACGAGTAAATGAACATCTAAACTATTTGTAAAAGAGTAAGTTTAATCAATATATATATAAATATAGCTGCTACAACTGCAGCCCATCATGTTTATGGTAATTAAGAAGAAGTTCAATTTCTAGTCAAATGTCCTAAGTGTAATAGTTAGCAATTTGATGATCAATTGGGGAGGATAACTAATTGTTTTTAGTGTAAACTAGTGTTTTCTGTCAATGATGGTTAAATATAGATAAAACAAGATTCTACTCAACTTGAAGACAAGAGAACCTCTTAAATGATTGAGACTTAGTTCCCTTATTTAGAAAATGTCACATTTTATGTGAATAAGTTTTAATTTTATCTAATTTAGAACTAAACTTGATCCTGCTTTAATTAAAGATAACGTGATAGACTTTTAAAGATTAATTAATAACGTACTTTTACCTTACTTTTCTGTACGCCAAAGAGTCTTAGAATCTGGAATCAAATTTTCAATTGGAGCTTTTGAATTTCGAGTAGTTGGTGGATTCCCTGCTAAAGGCATTATTATAAAATAAACATAAATTTATTGTTATGGATATTATATTCAAGAAACTACAAGGAGAGTCAAAATTTTATCAAGGATGTCTTCTTAATACTTAGATTCTGAAATTAAATCATACTTTACTGTTAATCCTAAAGAAAATCAGATTATTTAGGATTCAACCATTAGAATTAACTCACAAAAATTATTGATTTTACAATGTGAAAATGCATCTGGTAAAATTGATAGAAATTCAGTAAAATAAAATTCTAATTTTATTTATTAGATAATTGAGAGTATTCCAAATGTACAGAATTTGAGAGATGTTAAATTAAGTTGTATAAAATGTCCAGTATAGTTTTCTACATATTAATCTCAAAAAGATCGAATCAAAGATGCTATTAGAAGAGCTATTATAATTCCATATTTCTCTGGTTTAACTAGATATATTGAGAAAGGATAGATTTTGAGAATTTCAGATTTTGAATTTTAAGTTCATATGATTGAGGATCACGGATTGGTTGTACCTAATTAAACATAAATTGATATAGATATAATCTCTCCTATGTAATAGTAGAGAATTTAGTAATACAGATAAAATGATTAATTAATGGTTTCAAATTTAGTACCGAATAGAAGAAGTGAACTACATAGATAGCATGCTCAATAAATTGAAGCACTTCATAGATTGTTAAACACTTTTATTCTCTTAAATGAGAATCAATAACTTTTACTCTCACTCAGAAATAATCGAACTTCAGAAGAATAAATTAATTAATTGCCTGTACGTTAAATTAGTATGGAATTTATTAATTAACATCAAAATGATGATAATCTCATTAAATGTATGATTTGTTTAGAAGATTATTAAGAAAATCAAATTGTTCGTACTATGCCATGCTGTAATATTATACATTCATTATTCTCTAGGGCATTACTTTCATCAAGATTGCATTGATAAGTGGTTACATAAGAGCACCTAATGTCCAATTTGTAAGACTGAAGTGGATATAGATTTGCAAATGGAAGAAATTTCTATGCAAATGCAATAATGAAATAATATTAAAATAAATTAAATATATATAAAATCTATTAACGTCGTTTATATGTGTTTACATATCTCAAATTTTGATTTAATAATAAGTAGTTAAACTAAAAATGGGTTCAACTTGTAAGTGTGAATTCAAAAGAACTGAAACCTTAGTTAGTGAAATAACTTACCCATCAAAAAATAAGCATTTAAAATAAACAAACAAATTGAATGATCAACCAACTATGGCTTGTCTGATGTAAAATGTAAAGTGCTTTTATATAATCTATCCTAAAAAAAATGAGAATCTTCATTAATTATAATAAGATCTTTAAGAGATTAATAAGCATGACTAATATGAGATAGAAGAATGCTTTGAATTAATTTCTGATAATTCTTATCATAATGTAGAAAGCTGTTTTAATATTAATGGAATCTCATATGGATCATTTAAAATGATTAATCTTTCTAGTGAAAAAGAACTTCGATGATCTTTTTATTTATATAGATTAATTATTCTTCGAACATTTTAATTAATAATAATGTAAAAATATTTCTTTATTTGCGTCATATTGATTACGCTAAATGCATTAGATAATGGATTAGGCAGAAAACCTCCTATGGGATGGAATCCATGGAACAAATATGGCTGCAATATCAATGAAGAAATTGTTAGACAAACTGCTGATGCTTTAGTCTCAACAGGGTTGGCAGCTGCAGGATACATTTACTTAAATTTAGATGACTGTTGGTAATCAGATAGAGATCCAGTTACAAAAAGGATCATTGTAGATCCAATCAGATTTCCTTCTGGAATGCCATCATTAGTCTAATATGTACACTCTAAGGGTTTGAAATTTGGATTGTATTCAGATGCTGTATTATTATATTATTATATCCCAGGGTATGTAAACATGTGAAGGCAAGCCAGGTTCATTAGGATATGAAGATATTGATGCATAAACATATGCTGAATGGGATATTGATTATTTGAAGTATGATAATTGTCATACTGATGGTACATCTCCAAAGGTTAGATATCCTCCTATGTCTGCTGCTTTGATGAAATAGTCAAAGAAGATTTATTTTTCAATGTGTGAATGGGGTTTAGAGAAACCATGGTTATGGGCACCACCAATAGCAAATTCATGGAGAACTACAGGAGATATTTCAGATCATTGGTATTCTTTTATAGGTAAGAACGATTTGATGTAAAATAGCTATTTTGGAAGAATAAGCTCATTTAGCATAATATGCAGGACCAGGATAATGGAATGATCCAGATATGTTAGAGGTTGGTAACGGTGGAATGAAAACTCATGAATATCAAGCTCATTTTGCTTTGTGGGCAATTTTGAAGGCTCCACTTCTTATTGGTTGTGATATAACAAACATGAGTTAAGAAACTAAAAAGATATTAATGAATCCAGAGGTTATTGCTGTAAATTAAGTAATAAAATTAAATATCTTATATAGGATAGTTTAGGTATATAAGCAAGTAGAGTAAAGAAAGTATTAACAAGTGAAGTATGGGCTGCTGAAGTAGCTGATAATGGTCCTGGAGTAGTTGCAGTTTTATTTAATCAAGCTTCATTAACAGAATCTATTACAATAGAATTTGATAAGTTAGGAATTAGTGGAACTTAAAGTGTTAGAGATCTTATTAATTAAGTTGAATTAGGATAAGCAACAACCAGTTACACTTGTTAAGTACCAGCTCATTCAGCAGTTATGGTCAAATTCAGAGATGTCCATACTGATTAATGATAAATACAAACATTAAATTTTAAATCATTAAAATTCTGGTTTGAGTTGGGTCTTATATTTTTTAATAATCTTTTCAATCTTAGGAGATATTACAACTTTACAATATCCATCCTTTTAGTTATTATCATAATAACTCTAATGATAATCCTCAGCCATATAGAATTCCTGAAATTCAATAATCTCAGTCACAATAGGATTCTTGTATTCTTTTTGTAATTCCTTAATAAGATCATGAGCAATTGTTTTTTATTATTAGTTATGATAAAAAATAACTGAACGATATTGTTCTCCTTCATCATCACCCTGTCTATTCAAAGTTGTTGGATCATGTGATGCAAAAAAGATGTACAATAAATCCTTATATTAAACTTTATTCTGATCAAAAATAACTTAGACTACTTCTGCATGGCCAGTATCTCCATTGCATACATCATTATAATTAGCAGTACTTTTTAATGCACCTCCACTATATCCAGAGTAAATTTAACTTACTCCTTAAATTCTTCTGAAAATAGCTTCAATACACCAAAAACATCCACCTCCAAATGTGGCTTTATTGAGTATGTTCATTTGAGTTTATACTTATAAAATTAATAAAAAAATGTAATTGAAGAAATATTAAATTAAAAGAATATCTTAATTCTTATAAATAATTAATTGAATTTAAAAATCATTATTGCGAGATAATAAGTTCACATACTTTATCTTTTACCTTATTTTTTTATTTATTTTTAAGGCTCTTTTTTCTGAATTCCACTATTTTCTAAGGTTCTTAATCTTAGATTCCTTTTAGTTGAGGGAATAACTTTATCATTGTATTGTTTATCATAAAATTATTATACAAAACACTTAACTGCTTCATCATTCTAATCAACTTAACTTGGTTGTCTTGTATGAGCACTAGATGGAGTAAATAAATATTGAGATGAATTGAATTCTTCTGCCAATTCTAATTTATGATTATTATGTTTTAAAAGTTAGGAAGCCACTACTTCATTATTTTGATTTGATGATTTTGTATCCAATTCTTCATTAATAGGTGTTTAATTTTAAAAAGCCATTATTAAATTAGCCCCTTTCTCTATTGTACTTATTGTTATTTATCTTTTGAAGATTTTATTTGGACTTAAGTATTATGAATTTTCAGTTTTTAATTTTATTTAAGTGTTTACAATAGGATCAAAATTTATTCTCAAATCATTTAATGAACCAGAACGATGAGTTGAAATATAATCAGCCAATGCATAGAACTTCATATCTCCTTATTAGAAGTATTTCTTAGGTTTTTATTAATTTTCATATAATTCCTAAGATATTTTTCTTATCCTTTCTATACTATCTTTACTGAAGACATCAATTTTAGGAGGTTTTAAGGAATCGGCATAATTTTTAACAGCGAGCATTTTCTATAGAAGTACAGCATTCTTCTTTTTTTCATACTTATCATATTATTTTAAAATAGCTTCTTCAGCTGGAGTTGATTCTTCAATCAAATCTAATATTTAATTTATATATAAAACCTTTAGAGTCCCTATAACCACTACCAAGATCATATTTCATCATAAATCCTGGTTGCCATCCTTTATCTCCTTGTAAACGATTTGGATGTAATTTGAGAACTTTATGTCCAGGTGGTCCAACAGATTTCTATGTTTAATCAATCTTTAATATAAAAAATAAATTTTTACTTTACAAAAATTCTTTCGACAAAATTAACGAGCTTAAACTTTATCACAACCACTTTCTCTTAATTTGAGATAGAGCATTACATTGGAATTAGAATTAGTTAAATTTAATTTAGTGCACATAAAATAATAAAAATAATAAAATTATAAATGGCAGAAGAAATTGAGCCACACATAGCTAGAAAATTTGAAATAATTTAAAAATTAGGTAAAGGTGCTTATGGAATAGTGTGGAAAGCAGTTGATAAGAAGTTAAAAACAGTAATGAATTAAATTTTAAAATGTTAAAAGGTTGTTGCATTGAAAAAAGTGTTTGATGCATTCCATAATGCAACAGATGCATAAAGAACTTTTCGAGAGATTATGTTTTTGTAAGAGTTGAATGGGCATGAGAATATAGTTAGACTTTTGAATATAATAAAAGCAGAGAATAATAAAGATATTTATTTGGTATTTGATTATATGGAAACAGATTTACATGCAGTGATAGTATAGTTATTTAATTTAGATAGCGTGCTGGAATATTAGAAGAGGTTCATAAGAAATTTATTATTTATTAAATTTTGAAATCTTTGAAATACATACATTCTGGTGAATTGATACATAGAGATCTTAAACCATCAAATATATTACTAAATTCTGAATGTCAAATGAAATTAGCAGATTTTGGATTAGCTAGAAGTATAGCAATAAATGAAGAAGATAGTAGTATATTTAAAATTCTATATAAAAGCTCCCCCTATTTTGACTGAATATGTAGCTACTAGATGGTATAGGGCTCCAGAAATATTGTTAGGATCTACTAATTATACTAAGGCAGTTGATATGTGGAGTATTGGATGTATTCTTGGAGAACTTGTTATAGGTAAGGCAGTTTTCCCAGGTACATCTACTGCTAATTAAATTGAACGAATTTTAGAATTAAATGGTAAACCTTCAGATCAGGATGTGGAAGCATTAGAATCACCTCTTGCTGCTCATATTTTGACATCTGTAACTATTACAAAAAGAAAATCTTTTTAATAATTCTTTTAAGGAGCAAGTGATGATTGTTTAGATTTATTGAGAAGGTAATTTACCTTCTAAATTTAGATTATTAGTCTTTAATCCAAAAATGAGATTAACTGTTGATTAAGCAATTAGACATAAGTATATTAAAGAATTCTCATCTCCTGAAGAAGAAATTGTTTGTTAAGAACCAATTAAAATACCAATGAATGATAATAAGAAATTCTCTATTAAAGAATATCGAGAAGCTTTGTATAATGATATCAATAGGAGAAAAAAAGAATAAAGAAAGAAATGGCAAGCTAAATATTTATCATAGTTAGGAATGGATCCTGATGAATTGAATGATAAAAATTAATTTATTCATTCAGGTGAATAGTAATAATCTGCTTCATTCTTTTAAAAATAAGGAAAAGTTGAAAATTAAAATAGTTCTTAAGTAGTTTAAAAATCTAACATTGAAGAAATTTAATAAATTATTAGATAATAATAATTATAATCATAATAATTAAAGAAATCTTAGAGTTAGGCTAATGTCTAATCTGTATAATAACCTGCTTAAAAATTGACTAGTCAAAAAAGTGCATCCAATATTGTGGCATAAATTTATAATAATTTCTAAAGTCAAGACTCAAAATTTCATTAACAATAATAGTTTTTGCAACAATAATTATAACAGCTCCAACAGAAATCCATCAAAAAAAAGACATGATATATAAATTTAATATTTATACACGTAAAATCACTGAGGAAAGAAAACCCTTTGAAAAATAACTATATCCTCTTTATCATTTTTATCATAAACATAAACATGCAATTCAACAAAAGAATGCAAATTTCAAATATCAGAAAAAGATATAAATTTTCAAGGGAGAAGAATTCATTAAATTCACAACAACCTATTTTGATGATATTAACAATCTTCTTCCTGAAAAGAAGAAAGATGCAATCTCAATTGTTAAATATCTAAATTAAAATCCTAGCATTCTCAAAATAGACAGACTTGAAGATGATCATAAAAAAAATGTTCAAGAAAAAAGTCTTTGACACCAAGGTTAATTTATTTAGTCCTATTCAAAGGACTAAACCTTTACAAGTCAAGGATTTTATATTCAATTTGATAGTCAAAAACAAAAACTATAACCTTATTATTGGTAAGTATTCTGCTTTTAGTTTTTATAGCATTTCTCTTAGAATCTTCAAAGTTACATTAAATATTCTTGTATTTCTGGTTGTCTTTCAAATAATTAGATTCATTGTCTATATTATATCATAATTAATGGGCTATTGTTTTGGATTCTTCCAAATCTAAATAATGATGTAAGTTAACTTATCAATAATTACATAGTCATATGGAATTTTAGAATCATTCAAGCTATTAAATTCAAATTATAGGTATTCAGATGGAAAATTAGAAATTTCTTTAAGATTAATTGGAATTTTTGCATTCATTTTCTTAATATATATTATTGTCTAAGAACCTTCTTATATTACTGAATTTTAAGAAGCAATTGAATAAACTATAGATGATATCCTTGTATGTAATAAAGTTAAATTGGAGGATAAAAAAGTATAATTAAACATCATTTTAGGTACCTTCATTAAGAGGAGCTATCCCAGATTTTAATGAATTTATTAAATAAGCTGAAGAAGGTCTTGTTAATAGTCTTAAAATAATGTTTATGATGGTTAAGATATTTAATAAATTAATGATTATTTTTATGATTAATTCAAAAATCATTTAGTTATTGGATAATAATCTTAAATTAAATGAATCATAAATAGATTATCTTTTAGTAATATATTTTATATAAACAAAATTACTAAATTATTTATAATCAAAAATTTTGAATATATCTTCTATTTCATAGATAAACTTTAAAATATTAAATAAAATAATTTTTTTAACTTTCTTTAAAATGTTGAAATAGGATTTAAAAAATAAGTTCACTTTTAGAATAAAACAAAACTCTTATTCATTCGAATAAAGAATTTTGAAGATAGTCAATAAGTAATTTAACAATAACAGCCAAAAGAATTTAAATTTGAGTGATCATTTAAATTATATTTATTATGAATAAGAAAATATTGATTGAGGATGAAATTTCTAGGAACAAACTTATGGCTAAATCTTCTATTTATAAGAATCATTAAAAAATGGTAGGGAATTTTAAGAAAGTATTAAGATGTTTGGATAAAATGTGTACTTATGAAATAATTAATGTTATAATTTTAATATAATAAATAATTTGATGTTTTTGTAAGCCATAAAAGTAAAGGACAATAGGTATTATAAACAATAATGAAGATTGGAGCCTATTCAATTAAAATAAAGTCCAAAAGTACTTCGTCAATATTCACCAGAAGGATAGAGTAAGATAGGAATTTTCAACAGCACTTTATTTCATGGAAAGAAATCTGTTGAAAATAGAAAGCAAAATACAGAAGCAAGACCTTTATCTTCATTTTAAAGAATTACTAAACAAGCTTTTTATAAAAATGTTTTTACAACTTAATATATTGTAATGCTTCACATAAAAAAAGATAGTTCTTTTGTGAAAATGGTAATAATGGCAATTTGGTTAGGAGAATTTTATAAGGAAGAGGATGGTTTGGTGAATAATAAACAAGCTATAAGTAATAAAATAAATATATAATTTAAGTGTTAATTTTATTTGGAGATAATCAAATAAAGGTTTCAATTATTCAACACTAACATCGAAAAGTGTTTGCATAAATCATTTGGAACATCATCATGAAATTTCTAATAAAAACAGATTACATGCAAATTTGAAAACATTTTGTTAAAAAACAAACAAAAAAATGGATGATTTTGTACCTGTAACTTTCATAATCAATTTGGATTCAACAACTTTGTAAAATGATTTAAAAAAATTTGTCGATTATTTCAATGAAATCAAAAAAGATAAACAATAAAAAAACATTTGGCTACTTAAGCCACCTGATTTAAATAGGGGAAGAGGAATTCAACTTTTTTCTGATTTAAAAATCTTAGTCAACTAAATAACTGAATTTTGTAAAACAAGGAATCTTAATAATCAAACAAAGACAACATCCAAAACTGCAAAAACTTTAATTATTACATCTCCAGAAGTTAATGAAAGTTTATTAAATATTTATTTTTAGATACTGGATAAACTCAGATAGAATTTACAATTAATTAAACTTCAAATTAGGATAGAATACTGGTTCTATAAAAGTATCTTGAAAATCCTCTTTTATACAATGGAAGAAAATTCGATTTTAGAGTTTGGGTGTTAATTGATCACACTAACAAATACTATTTCTTTAAGGAAGGGTACAAATATAAATATTAATCAAGGTATTTGAGATTAGCAAGTGAGCTTTTCGATATTAATAATCTAAAGTCGTTATTTATACATTTAACTAATAATGCTATATAAAAAAATCATCCTCATTATTGCAAATTTGAATTAGGAAATTAATTGAGTTTGTAAGACTTATAATAATATTTAACATCTTAAAAGAATAGTAAAGTAACTTCAGTAGGGATTGTTTAAAAAATGAAAGAACTTATACATTAAACAATATTCTGTGCTGGTTCTAAATTGCGAGACAGTTGATAATTTGTGTTTATTTTTTAGATCGCAAAGATTTTTAATTTGAAATATTTGGATATGATTTTATGGTTGATAATAATGGAAACATTTGGTTAATTGAAATAAATACAAATCCATGTATTGAAGAGAGCAGTCCTTTATTATAGAAATTGATTCCTCGTATGTTAAGTAGTATTTATTTATAATTTAGATGATGCATTTAGATTAACTATAGATAAATTTTTTTCTCCTTTCAAAACTTCTTAAGAGAACTTTCTAAATAATCTTTATGAGTATAGCATACCAGGCTATAGTGATAAAGATAATCTTTGGGATTATATGGGCTAAATTTGATTTTAAAATTATTAATAATAACAATACTTTATTATATGGGACTTCAGTGTGCTAAATAAAAAGAGAAAAAACCAGTCAAAGAAATAGAAATAAAATAATCAGACAGCACTCCTTAAACTCTAAGTACCACAAAAGAAGCCATTGATTTTGTTGAAAGCTAATCATTAGCTAATGTGATGAGAACAAAACCAGTCAAAGAATATTTAGCAGAATAGATAGCAAAAAATTAAATCTATGTTGATTCATGTGATATTTTGGCATATAAAATTGAAAGCAAATCATAATTGATACTACGATCTTATAATAACTATACTGAGAAAGCTTTAAAAATTAAATCAAAAGTGTTAGAATATTACAGAAATGAATACATAAACTATATCAATTCTAAAAATGATACTCCTTAAAATAGAGACTTAATCATTAAGGAAACTATTTAAGTAAACTCTATCTAATATCGTATAATAGTTACTTGTAGAAACATCTGTCATTCTTAATTGTTTAATGGATAAAAACTTTGATGACGACACTGAATTATGGTGGGGAAATGACTATTATTGTGATCGTATTAAAGCATTAGCTCTTACTGCTGATACTTCAGAAAATATAGACCCTATTACCAATCCAATATTATAATATTTAAATGCTTTAAAAGCCAGAATAATATAAGTTATTCCTCTTTTACCAAGCTAACCTAAATCTATTGCAAACAGTGTAGCTATTACCAATGTTCATTTGACTTAATTTTACAAAGATTTAAAACTAGAATTTGCAAAGGATGTAGAAGAAGAAGTCAACTGCTGAATATTTTATATTATTATAAGCTTTTATACAATATTAAGCTATATCCACATCATTTAATCCATTTTTCTAACTCATACAAAAGTAAAGTTTTATTCGTTTTTCATTTTATATTTTTTTAAATCAAAATATAATCGATCTTCACTTCAGATTTCTTCATAAATGTTTCCTTAAATCTTTAAAAAATAATGTTTCTTATTTTTTCTTGTTAATTTATCAAAATTTTCTCTCTTTTTTTTTAATATTCGAACAACATTTTTGGTGGCTGAAATAATTATATATATTGGGTTAAGAATAATATTAAAAATTATTAAAAATTACTAAAAATTACTTTTTTGATTTTCTTTATTTTTTTTTCACAAATTAAGTTCAAAAATGATTTAATTTAAAAAGTAATATTTGATTACCTTATTAAATATGTTTTAAAAATTATTAATGTTATTATTATTAGTTGATTTTATTAAATAAAAAAAATGAATTCATATTTATATGTTTTCATCTTTATTTCTATCCTCCTTAATATATTCCAACAACTTCAACTAAGCTTTCTCGATTTTCAATTCCTTATACAAGTAATGTATGAGTAACAGGTTTTCGACATAGCATACAAAAATTACTCTTTGACAATAATTATTATGAACATTCTTAGCAAAATCCTCCATGACCACAAGGCTAATTTATCATATTACTTTCTTTTTCATAACAAACAAGACATAAAACATTTTATTTTTGTTATCCTCTGCTTGACAATTCTGGAGCCATACTATCACTTACTTCTAATTTTAGACGGGGAGATGATAATAACTAATCAAATTTTTTTGTTAAATCTTCATCCAAATCCTGTGATGGACTTTTCTTAATATCCTTTTGTTTTTTTATTTCAGAAAAACTTATTGATCGAAACTTTTTAACTTAAGATGAACCTAATTCATTTTGATTTTTTTGATTATCATTTGTTTCTTATTTTCTAAAATATGTTGCTGACAATTTCACCATGAATTATGGAACTTTGCTTACACTAATTCTATGAATTTATTTAATTCTCTCTTTTAATGTAATTTAATCATTCGGCTATTCAGCTGGTTGAATTTATTAGGTATCAGACAAATTTAAAAATTATCTAATAATAAAACATTATACTACATTAATTCTTCCTAATTTTTTAAATAGAACAAAATCTAGAATATATAATATACTATTGAAGTAATAAAACCATATAAATTAATGTAAGAGATATTATAGTCCAATAACAAACTTAATCCTAAAAAAGTTAGTCCAGAATCAATGATAAATCCTACAAGCACAATATTCACCCAAACACCTCCATAAACTAATTATTCAAATCTTTCTTACTCAAAAGTTTTTTATTTTGAAGTTAATCGTTGCAACACTTAAATATCAAATCTATAATCAAACATATTTCAATCAACGCCATTGTACCAATACAAAACCATACAATAACAAGAGTTTACATCCAACCCCAATTAATTGATTTACTCCATTTTAAACTTAAAAATACAATTTGTAATGAACCTATACTTTTTATTGCAGCAATTAACTTAATATAATAGGTCATATAATAAAATACAATTTCTTAGATTTATTTTGACTGATCTTAAGCATCATTCTCAACACTTTGTCTGCTTATTAGAACAGTAATTGCTAATATCACGAATTATAATATTAATTGAGCATAGCTTATAAAATTAATATTAATTGGTGAAATCTCATTATTATAAACTATCCCTAATAAATATGTAATTAAGAGAGCACTTTCCAAAATGGCAAAACAACAATAAGAATTGATGCTAATTTCAAATTGCAAAACAATACCCTTTACTGGAAAGCAGTTTCGATATCATAAAAGCAAATTATGTAGTGCAAGCATATACAATAATTATTTTGTAATCCCATCCAAATGTTATATTTGAATTAAATAAAAAACAAAAGCCCATAATAATTGACACTAATAAAAATATCTTTTTCACTGCATATATGTTACAGATTATAAGTCTGATTTGGCTCTCAATCTCTAAACTTCTTCATCGGGTGATTGTTGCATTCTTTAATTAATTATTTTATTATAAATTTCATAAAAATTATCTACTTTAAATAGATTGATGGCGATTACAAAAAACAAAAACATATATTATATCTTAATAAATTATCCATATATATTTTCATTTTTAAATTTATGTATTAATCTTCTTATAAAATAATTGATATGATTTATTTCTTAATAAAATGACTCTCCATTTTAACTTTATACTTATGATTTATTCTATATAAATTACAAAATAACTATTGGAATCAAAGATATATTTTCTCTATCCTTTATATATGAATAGAAATATTTTGTTTGCAACTCTAAAAATTATATTTAATATAAGAGTTAAATTGCAAAATATGTTAATAATTTATTACAATATTTAGATTAGAAATAGAATTGTGAAATTATATCCAATTGCTATTTGAAATGTAATTCAAAAAATAAAATAAGAATTTAATTCTTAATCATATAATGCTCACATTACTGTGAGTTGCATTTACTCGATTAACACTGAATTGCCTAATTCTAAAGCAAGATTTAGCATGTCACCTATTTTTTGCTTTAATTTTGTTATTTCATCATCTTTTTATTGAATCAGAATTTATACATATTATTCAATTTAATAATTCTAGAATTATAAAATATCTGCTTATTAAATTTCATTCTCAATTATATTTTCTAAAGGTAATTATATAGAAAATTTATCATCAACTTTAGTAAAATTCATGGTCAAATTTGGTTTAAGAAACTTTATTCTATATTGATCTAATAATTGCTCTAATTAAGTAACTTATAAATGATAATCTTGAATATATTATTCAATCTTGCATTGACAGTCTTTGATTTAATTTGAATCTAGACTTTAATTACCTTTTTTTATAAAAAACTTCAATAAGGTGTTCAATTAACTTAATGCATCAACAAGTTGTTATTTTTCAAATGACTCTTTTTAAAAAGATTTAAATATAGATAAACTCCATTATTTGTATAAGGTAATAATTTCTGTTTTATCAGAATTCATTATAGAATATTATTTCTCTAATTCTAAACATTTTTTATTTAATTAAAACATGATTTAAGTGTTGGAAATGATAGCTTAATTCAATGATTAATTTTCTTGTTCTTATTAAGCTTAGAACTTAAGTAAATCTTCAACTTATTTCTTTGATTTAGCCAATGTTTATCTTAATTATAACTGTTATTAGTTCAATATTTTAATTGTGTTTTGTAAAGATGTTTATTATTGTTTTTCTTCTTCTAAAGATTTCATTAATTGCATATATTCTGTTTATTTTCTAGAATAAATATATTTAATATTTACTTGTCAATTAATAAAGATAAATTTTGTATTTTTTCATTTAGACTTTAGGAACTATGTTTTAATAAGGGTTCTGAACACTAAACAATAATAATGAAGATTGTAAATACCTTGCAACATAATTTAGATCTATATGAATTTAATTCTTTTTTTAATAAATATATTTAATCTACTTAGTTATCATGTATTTAAAGGAAATGTTGCAACTTAGATTTCATAATTTTTCTAAATATATTAATCTCTTTAGTTAAATAAGAAAATTGATTTGCTTTTTCTTTAATTGAGAGAGACAATAATTCATCACCTAAAGAATCTAATTCTTGAGCAAGATTTGTGTATTTAGATTTCCAGTGATTAAGTTCTTCTCTTAATTAAGTTATAATTAGGGCTTAGTTAGTTTAGTTTTCAGAAGATGCAATATTAATAGTTGTTCTTTAAGAAAATTCTTCATTAGGACTTAGCACTTTTAATCTTAATTTTATTTTAGTATTTAACATTTGATTTTCATTTAATTACACATCTTCTTCAATTTCAACATATGAATCGTTATCATATTAAAATTTAAGTTAAGAATTCAGCAATTAGGTTAAATTACAATATATTCTTCCTACAAACTCATTATTCATAAGAAGAAGAAGTTCCAAATAGTTTTAGCTTTAGTCTGTGAATGAATCTTAAAAAGAAATGAAATTGGTTTCATTAATTTGATTCTAACCTTTGCATATTTCATATGAACTAGTTTTTATTGTTTCATGATCTTAAAAATCAAATTGTAAATACTTGTTTTAATTTGAAATGCAATAAAGAATGGAAGAGCAGAATCAGATGAAAATTCTTATATTGTAACTTCAAGTCGAAGATTTAATTGCTTGTTTTCCATTAATAAATTATGCAAATATGACAATTAAAGGAATTAATAAATTAATCTAAAGAATTTCAAATATTTAGATAATAAATTAAGTTAAAAAGAATATGGGAATATTTAGATAACATCTATAATTTAATAGTTTTTGTTAAGTATTCTGTAAAGATTACAATTAAAATTTTTAAAGTTGAGATGTGATATAATTTATAATTTAATTGACTTAATTTTTATTAATATTTAACAGTTAAAAATAGATAAATGGAATATTATAGGAAGATAGAATTAAAAGGAAAAGGTAGTTATGGATAAGCAATATTGGTTTAAAGTAAATAAGATAGAAAATTTTATATAATGAAGGTAATTTGAAAGCTATTATAGATAATAGATGCTTCTAAATTCGACATGAAAGAAAAGGAAAATGCTTTAAATGAAATAGATGTTTTAAAGAATTTACATCATCCATGTATTATTGAATATAGAGAATCTTTTGTTGATAAAAAGTAAATTAGTTTTGTTAAAAATTTAGTAAATATTTATGTATTGTAATGGATTATGCAGAAGAAGGAACTTTGTATTAAAGACTTGAACAATAGAAATAAAAATAAGAACAATTGGAAGAGTCTTAAATAATTGAATGGTTTACATAAATTTGTTTAGCTGTCAAATATATTCATGATAGACGAATCATACATAGAGATATAAAAACTCAAAATATTTTTATTTCAAAAGGAGAAATTAAATTAGGAGATTTTGGAATTTCTAAATCTTTAATTAATTCTGAAGATCTCTGTTAGACTGCTATAGGTACTCCATACTATATCAGTCCTGAAGTATGTTAAAGAATTCCTTATGATTTCAAATCAGATATTTGGAGCTTAGGTTGTATGTTATATGAAATGATGGCTTTAAAACATGCATTTGATGCCAAAAGTATATTTTCTTATTCATTTTAGCAATGGAAGGTCTGGTTCTTAAAATTATTAGTGGAAAATACTAGCCAATACCTACATGTTATTCTTAAGAATTAATACAATTATTAAAAGATATTCTACATATAGATCCATAAAAAAGACTCAACATCAATCAAATTTTAGATTATAGAATAATAAAAAAAGCAAGAAATGATTTCGTAAAAAGAAAAACTTGCAATTTATCAAAGATATAATTTATTTCTGGATAAATTAACAAAAATTAAAATCATTCTACAAAACTTAGACATTATTAAAGTGAATAAAAATTCAATGGAGAATCCCTTGCAGATTCTATTGAAAATATGAGAATGGATCTTGAAGAATAATTAGGAATCGATAACTTTATTTTAATTTATAATTCATTGGTACTATAATTTATGATTATTAGATTAGAAAAATGAGGAAGATCCTTCAAAGTTTTGTGATTAAATAATTATAGATAAAATTAATCAACTTCTTCGATTAGAACAATTAATATTTTGATTTTATATTATTAAAATATACTTCACTACTTTATCTATTAGAATTTTGTAATAACATAACAAATAATTTAAATATCTCTATTTAAAATTATAAAAGTATTACAATTAAATTGTTCACAATAATTATAGAATATTTTTTTTAATAATATTAATTGATTTTTTAATAAAAGTTTAAGTTTTATATTTTTATTAATCTTATTTGAACATAAATTATAAGCATGTTATATTAAATCTAATGACATTAAAAAAGATTAGACAATGATGTTTTATTGATAGTCTCATTAATTAAATTATTATTTCATTTTAAAATTAGATATTTTTGTCTATTATTACATTCCCTCTATAATTTATTAAAGAGCTTACAAAAAATATTTGATTATAATAATCAAATTTGTATTTTAAAAATAAATTTATGTTATAATTCATTTGATCATTTTTATAAATTTATAAATATAAAATTAATGTATACATGTCTTTAACCTGCATACTATTTCAAAATCAAGCTAATTTTCTAAGAAAATCAACAAATTTGTATTAAATCTAAATGCAAATCTCCATTATATATAAACAATATGATTGAATAATTGAAAATATTAAAAATCATCATAAAGCAATCTAAAGTATGTAGATTTTTGTCTCAAAGTAAAAAATTATATTTAGGTGATAATAATGTTAAAAATCAAGTTCAAGAAATTCATTCTTCCAAATAGCTTTTTAGGCATGTTTTATATTTATTAAATATATCTATACAATGATTGATTAATCTTTTAAAAATTATAATTTACTTATTAAATTCTCCTTCTTCTCCATATTCAGTGTGATATTAACATAAATTTAACAAAATTGTGTTTTCTACTTTAAATATTGGAAAAAATATTAATTCACTTAAAATAAAATTGAATATATTTTAGTATAGTATGAGTGTTTAAAATTTTTGATGAAAAAATTTGAAAATTTAGATTTATTCCATAATTTATTAAAATATAGTCATAAATTGAATTAATCCAATTTTACAAAATAATTGTCATCTAAAGCAGGTAAAGGTTACCTTATCCCACTAAAAGATTGTCGATAATTTTAAACTATTCTATCTATTCTTCTACTATTTGATTTAGAAATAGTTTGTCGATTCAATTTTTCTTCAGATTTTATATCCTAAAGATTAAGCGAATTTTGAATTACATTAATACTTCGTGAATTCTTTTAATTTTTATTATCTATGCTTTCAGCAGGTTTCAATTTTTTTATAATCCATTTAGGCCTTTATCTTTGTTGTATTTAAGATAAATAAACTCCGAATTATTTTTCTAGAACTTTATTAGCCCATCTAGATCCATATGGATTTTATTTAATTTCTCTGTTTACTATAAACTAGATTGTTACAGTTAATGCCTACTTTTGTGTAAATTGTCTTTTTATTTGCTTTTATTTTGTAATTCTTAATCTTATGGTTTTAGAGAATGACNCATGTCTTTAACCTGCATACTATTTCAAAATCAAGCTAATTTTCTAAGAAAATCAACAAATTTGTATTAAATCTAAATGCAAATCTCCATTATATATAAACAATATGATTGAATAATTGAAAATATTAAAAATCATCATAAAGCAATCTAAAGTATGTAGATTTTTGTCTCAAAGTAAAAAATTATATTTAGGTGATAATAATGTTAAAAATCAAGTTCAAGAAATTCATTCTTCCAAATAGCTTTTTAGGCATGTTTTATATTTATTAAATATATCTATACAATGATTGATTAATCTTTTAAAAATTATAATTTACTTATTAAATTCTCCTTCTTCTCCATATTCAGTGTGATATTAACATAAATTTAACAAAATTGTGTTTTCTACTTTAAATATTGGAAAAAATATTAATTCACTTAAAATAAAATTGAATATATTTTAGTATAGTATGAGTGTTTAAAATTTTTGATGAAAAAATTTGAAAATTTAGATTTATTCCATAATTTATTAAAATATAGTCATAAATTGAATTAATCCAATTTTACAAAATAATTGTCATCTAAAGCAGGTAAAGGTTACCTTATCCCACTAAAAGATTGTCGATAATTTTAAACTATTCTATCTATTCTTCTACTATTTGATTTAGAAATAGTTTGTCGATTCAATTTTTCTTCAGATTTTATATCCTAAAGATTAAGCGAATTTTGAATTACATTAATACTTCGTGAATTCTTTTAATTTTTATTATCTATGCTTTCAGCAGGTTTCAATTTTTTTATAATCCATTTAGGCCTTTATCTTTGTTGTATTTAAGATAAATAAACTCCGAATTATTTTTCTAGAACTTTATTAGCCCATCTAGATCCATATGGATTTTATTTAATTTCTCTGTTTACTATAAACTAGATTGTTACAGTTAATGCCTACTTTTGTGTAAATTGTCTTTTTATTTGCTTTTATTTTGTAATTCTTAATCTTATGGTTTTAGAGAATGACTCATACTCTGATTAACTTAATCATCTAAAAATTCTAAAATATTTAATGGTTCACATAGTTCTGTTACATATAATTGGCTTTGAAAAAATATACCATGTTTTTATAAACTCATTAATTAAAATTAATTATTCGCAAATGTTATTTATATGCTAGGAAAAAGAATACTATAAATTCTACATTATTAAGTTTCATCATAAGAAAATAACTCAATAAAAATAGATTTTAGTTAAATTAAAGTATAATTTAAATTAATATATGCTCATCAAATGGCTTTATCTTGCTTGCTTGGTAAATATTTTATATTTTTATTATCTTTTATGAAATAAAAAAGCGAAAATTTGAAAATTAATTGATTTCCATTTTAAAATACTAGTGATATTTAAACAGATATCTAAAATTATTTTATTTTTAAGTTATTGATTTACTTTTTAAATGAATATTAAATAATAAAATTTTGTGAATTATTATCATTATTTGGGATATTTTAAAATTTTCTTATACAAAAAAAAATAGTAAATACCAATTTTTATGACTTTTTAACTATTAATAAAATATCTAAAATTATTTTTATATTTCATCTAAAAAAATGAGTTATTTTTATTTCATAGATTTGTTAAAATATAACCAAAAAAGTTAAATTAATTTCAAAGTAAAGTATGAAAATAATTTTTTAGAAAAAAAATAAACTAAAAATTTACCATTCATTAATTTTCATGTGATAAATTAGAGATCTAAATTCTTACTTGATTATAATTATTTATCCTAGTCATATAATGATAAATAGTAATAAAGAAATAGATAGTTTTTATAATTACTCTACAATAATCACTAAAAAAATTAAAATTTAAAGGAAGGTAAAAGATCTTTTGATAATTTTTTAAGGATCAATAGAATATAAGAAATGGAAAAAAAATTTATAAGAATTAATTAGTGTAATCATTTAGAAAGACCTTTTTAAAGTCATTAATTATAAAATAAACTTATATTTAGTTGAGTTATATAAAATAAAGTTGTAATTGATTAAAATATTTCTAAAAAGTATTCTCAGATCTAACAAATTGTATCTGAAATTATTTTAGATTTCATTAAATCCAACCATAACAAGAAAAACAAAATTTATGACGCATAAACCTTTTTCTTTAATTTTATAAGAAAGATTAAATTCCTTTTGATTTTGAAGAACATAATTTTAGTTTAAATATAAATAAATAGTAAAAAAATGATTAACAGAAGAGAAACAAAAATATTGATAAACATCAATAAATGATAATATCAAAAAAGGAGATAATTGTAAAGATTAACTGGATATTGATATTGATAAATATTAAAAAGTGTTTTATATACTTCAAAACGAATATAATTATATAAATTATAAATAATTTTGTTATTGAATTATTCAAATGATATTAGATAATAAATAAAATAAAAATAAAATTATATATATTTTTTAATAATTATTAAATTTTAAATTTTGAAGTAAATGAGCTTAAGATTAGGACTTTTAAGATGGGTGAATGAAAAATGTCCATAAATGAAGGCAAGCAATATTGAAAGTATGTCAGATGGAAGACATTTCTTATGTTTACTTAGAAGATACTTTCCAGAGATAGAAATTCCATAATTTAAAAAAAATTCAACAATAGTGTCTCGTATAGAAACTTTAAAAAAAGTAGATCACTATTGTTCAAAATTAGACAATTCAATTAAGGTTGATATTCTCAAGATAGCAAATAAAGAGTCAAATATGATTCTAAATTTGCTAAAATTTATAAAATCAATTCTAGATAAAACTCCAGTAAAAAAACAAAATATAAAGGAAGAAATTCCAACAATAATGAAAGAATAGAAAAAGGAGTGTCAAAAGATTAATGAGGAGATAGTAATAATCCCAATGAAGTAAAAATAAACAGATGATAAAGAAATATAAACAAGTTCATTTTAAGAATTGAAGCCATTACAAATATTATAAGAAAAAATAAAAAAAATTTTATAATCTGAAATTCAAAGTCCTCATTTAGAATTAGAAATTCTATCATTATTGGAGAGAGATAAAGAAGTAGCTAATCTTTAGTTATTTTATTAAGTTTAGGCATCAAGAGTAAGGGGAGTTAGAAAACAATCTAAATTTACAGAATTTATGTCAATTCATAGTAGTTAGTTTTATAATAGAGTGGAATAGAATTTATTAGATCCAGATTATTCATTTGATTAAAATTTAGCTAGTAAAAAGAGTGTATGTGAAGATAGTTTGTTTCAAGTTAGCGATGAAAAATAAAATTATTGATTAATTTATGTATTTAATTCCAAATTTCTAATTTTTATTTGACATAAAGTCCAATATAAGGATAAGGTTTGTGGAAGTACATTTAGTGTAACCTTTTCTATTACTTTATACAACAAATCAAATATTGTAGATTTGGGATTATGAAAAAAAGACTTGTTTGAGAGCAATAAATGTTTCATTAATAGAACCAGATAAAGTATAAGAAGTTAAATAATTAAAATTTCATGACAACTAAATAATTTATAGACTTTTTAATGATTAATCATTAATTTTGTAGAATAGTATAATGATTTTGACAACTGATAAATTGTATTCATACAAGTATTGTTCTGATTATTCAGACCTAATAACAAATGGTCCTATAGGTGTTTCAAATAAGTGTTTAGAATTTATAGATTCATAATATATTGCAGTAGGAGGTGAAGGAGTTAAGATTATAGATTTAAAATAAAATCTAATTGTTAAAACAATGAAGGGATATCATCAAAAAGGAATAAATTAAATGTTATCATATAAATAGAATTAATTTGATAGACCTCGTCTTGTTGTTAGTAGTTTAGATGGTACAATGGCCTGTTGGAATGCTGATACAGCTAATGAATAACCAACCTTTAAATTTTTGATGTTAAAAAAAGGCAAATAATTAATTACTGCAAATAATGGATAAGAAATATTGTCTATTGCATATGATCCATAAGATTTTTAAATAGTTACTGTGACAGAAAACTATATCACTTTGTGGAGTTCTTTGAATGGTATGGAAATAAATAGATTCAAACCTCCCATTCCAATTAAAGAACTTGTTCATATAAGTCATTCTAATTTCCCTTCTTAAACCTATATAGGCCATACAAGATCATCTGAAATTTATGCTTTATATCTTATAGGAAAATAATAAAAGAAATTTGATTATGTAATACTTTTGGATTTAAAAAATGTCACTGATATTGATAAACAAATTAAGATTAATACAATAACAACTAATATATTAAAATCAAATCTTCTATGCGTTGCTACAACTCATGGTTTATTTTTATTATAAGCTTCTGAATTTTTACAGAAGTATTGTTTTCATCATACTTTTGTTTGTTCATTAACATTAAATCAAAGTAAAATGTTTGTTGATGATACTGGATTATTAAAGAAATTAACTAATATTGCATAAGAACGATTAAAATAATTTGAGATTGAAAATAAATAAACTGATTAATCTAATTTGATGTATCTATCTACAAATGCTAAAAATGTTGTATGCACATTAATTGAATTTACCTAAGAATTAACAAACAAGAAAGAAGAATGGACTGTTATGAGTAGATAAAACAAAATATTTACTTTTTAAACATCTTACACATGGGATGGTATTATTATTATTTTTTAATTTAGATTCTAAAATTTTAGTCTCCTTATCAGGAAGGTATTTTGTTGTTCATAATAACAATGGATAATATGTAGTACTATCAATTAATAATAGAAATCTTAACTATGATATGATGGAAAGTGATCTCAAATTAACCTTGCACTTTTTGAGTGAATTAGATTAACTTTCTAATGGAATTGCAAATTCTATTGCATGGCATCAATACAAAGAAGAATTAATAATTTCTGTCCCTTTAAATGATAGAAATTAAAATATTACTATTGAAGAGAAAGTAGAATCATAAACTAGTGGATTCTTTAATTAAAAAACTTATTCCAGAAAAATTTATAATTATTCTTCAAATATTGTTAATTACTAAATTTAAATTTATGGTTTTGAACTAACTAAATAAAAAATGGAGTTGAAAGTAACAATAAACAATTTACCATAACCAGAAAAAGTATTTGGAGTTAATAATTATTATTTTATTGTTACAAATTCTGAATTTAATACTGAGGATTAAAAATTAAAAACAGAAATAAAATAATTAAAATTGAAAAATGGTCAATTTTACACTTTTTAGAATAAAGAACTAATTCCATTTGGTAATTAATATATCTCTCCACTCAATGTTACAAGTAACATCAATGAAAACTTTATATTATTTTAATATGAAAAGACCTTTTCTCTTTTGATTAAATAAAATGGATAATTTATACCTATCTTAAATGAACATGAACAACTTACTGATAGCTATTTCTGGGAAGACTTATTATTCTATGTTACTCAAACTTAAATTAAGATGATAGTAGTAGTTAATTTAGTTCCTATTACAATTACTTTAGCTTAATTAGATCCACCTTAAAATCAACTCCAAAGTTGTGAATTTTTAAAAGCTAATTAATTAGATGGTTAATATCCTGAAATATAGATCAGACCTTAAGGACAATTAAAAATAGTAATTAATTAATAATAAATCCTTAGTTAATGATTCATGACAGTAAACTAATTGTCATTAATTAAGCACAGGAAATTTCATTTATTCATTTGAAGCATGCTTTACTTGAGTTTTGTGTATAAGTTTATGATATTCAAAAAGATTAATTTATAAGTCGATGACTTTTAAAAATGCATTGATTTTGCAAGTAAATTAGATTAGAAAATGTAAAAATTAATTGCTTAAATGTTGATTGCAAAAAATGCAATTGATTAAGTTCAATATTTAAATATGGATTTACATGAACGGTTGACTTTAGAGTTGGATCATAATTTAAATGAAACCTAATTAACTGTAATCAGATAATTAATATTTAGTTAGATTTAATAGATTAAGTCATGCTAACAGTAACTGAAAATAAAGAAAAATATATTAAAGATTTAGCAATCAAACTGTCTTAGTAAAAACGTGAAGAAGAATTAGATTTAGTAATTTAATATGGATTATCCAATTAATTGTAAATTTTTCAGAAATAATTTAATATAGATTTCCACTTTATGATATTACTCCTTTGTTATCAGATACCCAAAGGGAATATTATTTAGAGTCATAGGGGATATTTCAAAATTTTTAGTCTCTTAAAGAAATCAGTAAAGAAAAAGAAGAAGTAATGCTTTTTAATTTATACAATATATTCTAATTATGAAAGAATCATTATTATTCAATAATTAATTATTCAAATGTTCCCAACTAATAATCTTGATTATTATTAATTGCTAAGATAATATCTAAAGTTTATTCAACAACAGAGGGAATAATTTATTTTAAATTAGGATTCTCGGTAAATAAAGCAGGATTTATATTAGCTTCCAAAAAGTAAACTTTCAGATTTGAGTCTATTATAAAATCAAGTCCAAATAGTTCAAATTCTCCTTTTTGTCCTCCAGCTTGAATTTTTTTTTATCCAGCCTTGAAGATTCTATGAGAAATTTACTTAATTTATTCTCTAATTGTTTTAATTTAATCTGGTTAATAATGATAAAATTCTTGTAAATATTATTCTAAATGATTCATAGTCCATATGGAACTTTCTTTTTTTTCTTTATATTTTGGATGAGTTTTTTAAATTGCATTATTAGTAAGATGTATAATTTTATTCTATTCATTTTCAATATCATCTAAAGTATACTCAAAAATGCTTAATCTAGCATAACCATGATGAAAGAGTACAGTGTACGGTTTAACTTAAGCAATTAAAGCATAGCATCTTATATCAAACTTTCTGCAATCAAGTAAAAGTGGTTTTTCAATATATTTTTATATAATAGACATAGGATTGATGTCATCATATTTTAATTATTTTTCATTATCAAGGTTTTCTTGGATTCCCAAATGATCTTGAATTTCTTGCTTAAGTTTATTCCTTTCGTTTTCTACATATACTTTGTAATAGTCGCCAATTTAATATTATCTTTTTTGGTGAAGATCTTGTTTAAATCTGGAAATGTCACTAATGAATTTAATGCCTCTACCGCAATTCAAATTATAAGGTTTCAATATCCAAATACCAGCTTCATTATCTTTCAAGAATTCAATAACTTCTGTAATTTAATTTAATCTAAAAGTCTTTGGTAAAACATCTTCACATTAATTTTCTCTCAATAACTCTAACATTGATATTTTGAGTCCTAAATTATGAGATGCTTTAGGAATATGATTGATCTATGATATCTAAATAAAAATACAATTTATTAGCTTGGTTTAAATTCATAATAATTAATGCTTTATGGACATTAAACCCATTTGAAAAAATAATCATTTTTAAAAGCATCTTAAACTGTATCCATTAATTCGTAATTCTTATTTCTGAAATAAGATTTAATTAATTCTGCATTGTTGCCTTGTCCAACATAAACTCTTTGTTTTTGAACAAAATCAGCAGGTAAAACTTATTGTAAATTTTTCGCAAAAACTGAATATTTATCACTAACCCATATATTTCTATCATCTCTCCAAGGATGTTCAGCACAAAAGCTTTCACATTTACCTTCTAACCATGGTTGTATAGATTTAAAATGATATTTAACGTCATAATAATTTTGTGATTCAAACTTGTAAGTTTCAAATTCTTGAATTATACCTTTTTACCATCTTGCAGCTATAGTTTTTTCTTCCCCAAGATATATTTCAACATGAACTATATTATGTTGGAAAGCCCTACAAGATTTATCAAAGTAAGTTCCAGAAAGAAAGATTAAATCCCCTGGTTTTAAGTCTTAAAATTCAATCTCCTTATCAAGTAAATCATATTAATAAGCTTAATTCCATTTTCCTAAAGTAAATCCAAAATATTCTCTTAGATCATAAATTACCTACCTTATTAATCCAGAACAATCTAAATATAAAGGAGCATTAAAGTGAGGAGAGGTTTCATCATGATATCTGCTATGATAAGGAACTCCAACATATTTATAGGCTTAAGCTATAAATTTCTATCTTAATTCCTCATCTGCCAATTTCTCTTTGTTAGTCTATTTTTTTATTACATCATTACCTTATTGACATATTTTTTATATAAAAAATTTTAGTTTCTTTTCACTTGAAATTCTTAGAAGCAGGATTATAGATTGCGGTCCATTTAAATTTGAAATTGTAATTATAATAAATAAACATTTTTTCATTAGATTTATTTACTAATTTATATTTCATAATAGTTGATAAAAAAGTTCAATACCTTATCCTCCTTCCCAAACAAAGTAACCTCTTCCAAATTCTTTGATTAAATCAAGTCTATAAACAAGAAAATCAGGACAAGGATAAGAAATAGAAATACTGTCACTTTTGTATATACATTCAGAATTAGATCTGTCCCATTCTGTTATAAAATTTTACGCATTCAATTTCAAAAGTTCATTACCTATAAAATGAGTTTTATCTTGATCTGTTTTTTTGAATCCATAAAAAGGAATTCCCTAAATATTTTTACTCAATAATTTACAAACAACAATTTTTCTTTGTATGTCATAAAATGTTCTAAATTTTCTTAAACCCACGAATAAGGTGATAATAATTGATCATCTCCATCTTAAATCTAATAATCATATGTTTATATTAATGTGTAATCTGCTACTTTAAATAGTTTCTTTAAAGTTGAATATCTGTACTATTACGGATTGTATATACCATATAATGTTAGAACTAACATTTTATGGCCAAGTTTTGCTTTTAAATTTTGAAGGAATTTAACTATATCTTAAGCGTCAAAAGCATCAATATATGATATATAAGGAGTGTCAATCATTATTCCATGAAATTTATTAGAATATTGTTATACTAAATTGAGTATTGCTTCTAATAATTATGGATTATTGATTTGTTATAAATATGAGCTTTCCTGCAATTCAATTTAAATTCTTGGAATTATAGCAATTTAAGGATTAGCTTAAACTATTTCTTGAATCCATTATTCGTTTACAATTTACTTTCCATCCACAACATTATTATATCTAATACTAAACCAAGCTGGACTGACCATATCTATTTTTTATGCATATTTGATTGTGAGTCTATATCCATCCTTATTCCTATTCATAGTTTAAAAATATACCAAGGAGTAACAAAAAAGAAATTAGGAATTTAATAGTTTTTATTCCCACTCACTTTCTATCTTGCTTCCAATTCCTTTTCTTAAATTGTTTATAATTCAAAAGGAATTGAATCAGTGTATTGGTATACATACACATAATATAACAGAGTAGCTCCAAGTATTCCAAAAAGTGCTATATTTATTATACTCATATTTTATTAATATTTGTAATCGAATCAATCATTAAGTCAAATCTATAATCCCTCAAAAATCAATTAAGAAAGCCCTACTTTTAATTAAAACCAAAAAAACTCATGACTTTTTTGATACTCAATATATTTATGCAACACTCCAAATATGAATTGGATAGACTTAGAAAATTTTAGCCATCATCAATTAAATAACTTTCATTGATTGAAAAATCATTTTTAAGTGTATTTTTGTCTCATTATAAAAAACTTAAAAATACTTTTTATTGAATTATATAAAATTTTGAGATGATTTTGTAAATATTTAAGTTATATATATGTTTTTAAAAAAAGAAATATTATAATAATTATAAAATGCTTAATAATTTTCAAATCTATAATTCACAATAAATTTTTAAATTTTAAATTGTTATATTATAATTTATAAAAGAAAAAATTATCTTTAATATTTTCTTCATCATAAATAATCGCAGTACATTCAAGAGAATATATTTCGGGAGTTGGTTTAACACTTGTAAATTAATAGCAAACACGAAGATAATTTAACTTTAGTATCTTGATATAATTTTGTTATTTCATAATAGGGAAAAATAATCCTTTGATATCTTGTACTATTATTGTTACTCATATTAGATATCTCATGTATTTATTATACAACAATTTTTAAGCCAATGATGTAAAAAAAAATTTTCCATTTTATTAATAAATAATAATTATAATCGAAAAAATATTTATATGTATTTGATATTATATTTTAAGACTCATTTTTTACCTTTGTTAACTTTAGCAGCACCTTTTTATGCTTTTTGTTGAGCTTTTACTTCTGCTTTTTAAGCAACCTTTTATGCAGCAGCTGGTTTCTTCTTTTGAATTTCAATTTACTTTTACTTTCTTTCTTTAATTTCTCTTGCAGCTTATTCAGCTTATGCCTTTCTAGTTTCTAAGTATTATAAAAAATGTATTACTATCATCTTCCTTTCTTCTTCTTCTAATTTCCTCCAATGAAATACCAACAATAGCTCTTTAGACTTTTAGATTTCTGATTCTTCTCTTCTTAGCTCCTTCGTCTGTCTTAATTTTTTTGTTTAATCTTCTCCAAGCAACAGTCCATTGGATTTCTTGAGATTTAATCTATATTTCACAGATTGAATACTTTTCTTGCACTAAAAGCTCTGCTCTTTTAATTCAAGTAATAGAAGAGTCTGCCATCCTTGGCAACGAATCTTCTACCATGTCCGGGATAGATTCTCCATTCACTAAAAGAGCACAAATCTGTCTTGATAACCATTATTTAAAAAATATTTAAATCTTAATTTTCATTCCATCTCAGATATTCATCACTACTCTTATGCTTGTTTTTTTTTCAATTTTCCATACAATTCCATACAATTCATTAACCTCTTCTTCATCCACAACCTATTTTGTACTCAAATTATCAAGCTATCCAAATTTTTCCTCGATTTCCTCTTATTTATTAAGCTCCAATATTTCTTATATTGATTTCTTATCAATCTCTTTTTCTTCTCAAACATTATTATATGATTTTAACAATATTTTATTTTTTNTATCTTGATATAATTTTGTTATTTCATAATAGGGAAAAATAATCCTTTGATATCTTGTACTATTATTGTTACTCATATTAGATATCTCATGTATTTATTATACAACAATTTTTAAGCCAATGATGTAAAAAAAAATTTTCCATTTTATTAATAAATAATAATTATAATCGAAAAAATATTTATATGTATTTGATATTATATTTTAAGACTCATTTTTTACCTTTGTTAACTTTAGCAGCACCTTTTTATGCTTTTTGTTGAGCTTTTACTTCTGCTTTTTAAGCAACCTTTTATGCAGCAGCTGGTTTCTTCTTTTGAATTTCAATTTACTTTTACTTTCTTTCTTTAATTTCTCTTGCAGCTTATTCAGCTTATGCCTTTCTAGTTTCTAAGTATTATAAAAAATGTATTACTATCATCTTCCTTTCTTCTTCTTCTAATTTCCTCCAATGAAATACCAACAATAGCTCTTTAGACTTTTAGATTTCTGATTCTTCTCTTCTTAGCTCCTTCGTCTGTCTTAATTTTTTTGTTTAATCTTCTCCAAGCAACAGTCCATTGGATTTCTTGAGATTTAATCTATATTTCACAGATTGAATACTTTTCTTGCACTAAAAGCTCTGCTCTTTTAATTCAAGTAATAGAAGAGTCTGCCATCCTTGGCAACGAATCTTCTACCATGTCCGGGATAGATTCTCCATTCACTAAAAGAGCACAAATCTGTCTTGATAACCATTATTTAAAAAATATTTAAATCTTAATTTTCATTCCATCTCAGATATTCATCACTACTCTTATGCTTGTTTTTTTTTCAATTTTCCATACAATTCCATACAATTCATTAACCTCTTCTTCATCCACAACCTATTTTGTACTCAAATTATCAAGCTATCCAAATTTTTCCTCGATTTCCTCTTATTTATTAAGCTCCAATATTTCTTATATTGATTTCTTATCAATCTCTTTTTCTTCTCAAACATTATTATATGATTTTAACAATATTTTATTTTTTGAAAGCCTAAAATAATGGTACTAATGACTTAAAAGTTAGTGGATTATTTCCGAAACGAAGAAAAGTCAAATTTGGAAGACAATCAGCAGCTAATAGAATTAAAAAAACATATCAATCCTTTTTTTCAATCAAATATAATTACCAAAATCAGAAATATTGTTAGTTAATACTTATAATTATTATATATTCATTAACTCTCATAGTTCAAAACGAAGCGATATATTTATTATCCTGTATTGAACAACCACTCATACTAAGTATTTTTAACCAATTGAAAAATATTTTATATTTCAATAAAATCTTGAACACCAATCTTTTATATATAAATATGACTTACTTCACTAATTTTATTATAGTCAAAAGGATTTCATTTAATTTAACATGCCATTGTAATCCTGTTAACATATTAATAAATTGACGATCTGCTATTGAATTAGATGCTATATGAAATAAGGTTAATTCTGTTTGATCAATCTAATTCAATTGATGAGCATACTGTCAAAGAATCTAAATCAACTTATTTTTTTACATTTATATCTAAAAAGTTACCAGAGCTTTTTATTTCTTTTATCAATCATATTTTTCTCTTCTCAGCTTTTTCGTCGAAATATTTTCTAAATAGCTCCTCTTCTATCTCTTTTTAACTTTAATCATTATTAAAAAGACTTATATAAGGAAAAATTAAAAATATTTTAATTAAACCGAATATATATTAAATAGAATATATTTTGCAGTTTAATAGAAATAAAATTATCATGCTTAGAAGCTAATAATTTAAAATGTCAATAACTTTTGAAACAGTTCAATTAAGAAGTCATGAACATAGTTATACAGGTTTTTTGTATACTTCAAAAGAATAAGTAAAAAAATTAAAATAAGAGAATAAAATAAGGGATAGTGATGAGCTATTCATATAAATAAATGGTTACATATTTATTTTAGATGGGGTATCATTTAGTTATAAACTTTTAGGATGATTAATATAGAATGGAAGAAATAGGAATAAATAGGTATTAAAGAGAGTTTTTGAACTTGAGCATACAGCAAAATGTTGAGTTATCAATATTTAGATTACCAAAAGATAAAGAATACAGATTAGGAGTTTTATATATGGAGATTGATATTTAATAATTATAAAATGGAGGAAGTTAAATGGAGATCGATGACGAGGAATTTGCCTCCCTTTTTAAAAAGCATTTTGATGGGTAGTTTTTTAAGACTGGGCAGATTTAGTTATACTAAAATAATGGTAATACATTTTTATTAAAAGTAATATTAAAATTATAATTCTAGATAACAAGAACAGAAGTGTTGAGTGTAGGTGTAGAATCAAATTTAGTGAAGTTTGGAAATGGAGGAATGTTAAATGATAAGACAGAAATAGAATTCAGTATTAGAAGTGGAATATCTCAAATAAAATTAAAAAATGCTCATAAGAAATAAACAAATATTTTTAGAGAAGATTTTAATTTTGATAGATTAGGAGTAGGAGGACTTGACAAAGAATTAGCAAATATTTTTAGAAGAGCTTTTTCATCAAGAAGATTTCCATAGTAATTTTTAGAGAAATATGGTATTAAACATATAAAAGGATTACTGTTGTATGGTCCTCCAGGAACAGGAAAAACCTTGATTGCTAGATAACTAGCAAAAGTATTAAAGGCCAGACCTCCAAAAATTGTTAATGGGCCAGAAATATTTAGCAAGTTTGTCGGAGAGGCAGAGGAGAATATAAGAAAGTTATTCGAAGATGCTAGAAAAGATTAAGAAGTGAAAGGAGATGAAAGTGATCTACATATAATAGTGTTTGATGAAATGGATGCAATTTGTAAATAAAGAGGATCTGTTTCTTCAGGCGTCGGAGCATATGATAATGTTGTTAATTAGTTATTATCAATGATTGATGGAGTTGATTCATTAAATAATATCCTTGTGATTGGAATGACAAATAGAAAAGATTTGATTGATGAAGCTGTTTTACGACCTGGAAGATTTGAAGTACATATAGAAGTTGGACTACCAGATAAAATTGGTAGACTTTAAATTCTAAATATTCATACTGAAATTTTGAGAAATAATAATGCTTTAGATATTGATGTTAACAATGAAGAGTTGGCAATTTTAATGAACAACTATACAGGAGCTGAAATTGAAGCTGTTGTAAAATCAGCATCCTCGTTTGCTTTCTAGAGAATTTAGAACATTAATAACTTTTAAAAATAGGTAAACTATAAGGAAGATTTAAGAATTAATAGAAATGATTTCGAAGAAGCCTTAAAGGAAGTAAAGCCTTAATTTGGTTTCGATTCAAATAAATTCGATTTATTAACATAAAATTAATATATTGACTTTGGTGAACAATTCCAATATTTATAAAGGATGCTTAGAAATACTATAAATTAGACTAGATTTGGTAAGAGTTCAAAATTGAATTCGATTCTCTTAGAAGGATGTTAAGGTGCTGGTAAAACGAGTATTGCTGCTAAATTTGCAAAAGAAAGTGGATTTCCTTATGTAAAATTGATTACACCAGAATCATTCATTGGAATGACAGAAGATGCTATCATAAACTCAATTGGTAAGATATTTAATGATGCATATAAATCAAGTCTCTCTTGTATTGTTATAGATAATATTGAAAGATTGATTGAATATGTTGACATTGGACCAAGATTTTCTAATACTATTCTTTAGGCTTTGTTAGTATTAATCAAAAGATTACCAGATAAAGTATTTATACAATTTTAATTTAGACATAAAATAGATTATTGATTATAGGTACTACTTCTACTTATAAAATTCTTAAATAACTTGGTGTTGCTTCTTGTTTTAATTAAACTTTTAAAGTCCCAAATCTAAGAAAGGGATAAGAAATAAAAACTGTTATCTTAAATTATCTGAACATCTCACAAAAAGAAAATGGAATTGAGGAACACAAATGTCAAATGAATGAGAAACAATCAGCAGAAATTGAAAAAATCTCTTAAAATATTGAAAACATTCCTATTAAAAGATTGTTGATGTTGCTTGATATGGCTTGTAAAGAAGAAAACGAATTAATATATGAAGACTTTATGTCCTGCTATCAAATTGCTTAAATGAACCATGAATGAATTTATTATTAGTATTTTAATAAAGTATGATCAATTTAGCGAGTTTCTTATCCTAAATTAATATTTATTATGAATTTTGATTTGATAAAAACATATTTTCTCTACCTAGATAAGTTTGCTTGTCCAGTATAACTATTTATCCAGAAAAAAAGAGGATATTAAACATATTTAGGTGCATTTACAACACTTGGATGCATCGTCACTATTCTACTCTATCTAACCAATAAACTTAGTCAAATAGATGATAGAACTTAATTTTAAACTCTCTATTCTGATGTTTTCCATCTAGAACCTCCTTTTTATTAGCTAACTGAAGACAATTTCACATTATAATTTGCTTTTCAATATTAGAATAGAACAAATTATATTAACGAAAGTATATACATCCCTGAAGCTTTTCTTGTATATAAATAAATAAAAGAGTATTCTATATAATCTAATAATAAGGGTTAACGGTAAAAAGAAAGAATATCATAATAAAACACTGATACCGCTCTCAAAATGTTCAAAAAATGGTATAATCCAGGATGAGTTGGCAGATTAATTAGATGACCAAGACCCTTAAAATACATATTGTCTCGATTGGAGTAAGTTTGAAAATTTGGCATTATTTGGCACTGATGATTCTCCATAATATTAGTATATCAATGTTAGTTTTAGTGTATGTTAAAATGGATCAAGTAATTATTTATAGATATTAAAAAGAACCTGGAGTTGTGTGTGCAGATAATGATACTATTTATAATGTATTGAATAGAAATTACATACATTTTTAATTGACATCATACATAATAAACTTAAGAGATTTTTCTTCGCCTCTCATTCCAAAAGTTGAAGACATATACACAACGATATCAGCCAGAGTCACAAAAGATGTTGAGATATTTATGTAACCAATCACTACAATTACTGATTTTGGTTACTTTTAGAAAGAAATTAGAAAAGACACAACTATAAGATATTTTTCAGATAAAGAAATAATTGATTTTAATACTGATACATCATTGGCTAATGTTGTAATTCGTCTATATGATACTGAAGAAGTAAGCTATAGAATCTATCCAAAAGTGCAAGATGTTTTAGCATCAGCTGGAGGATTGTGGTAAATTATAATAGCTGTTGCTTTATTTCTTTAAAAACCTTTTAGTGAATTAGCTTATAGTGTAGAAATTATTAATAAATTATTTAATTTTGAATAAGATTAAACTCAAAAGAAGAAAAATAAACATTAATCTAACGAACATTAAAATGATCCTAAACCTTCTAAAATGTTATTGCCTTCTCAAAATGATATAAAAAATATATAAAAATAAACAGGGATTGATATTAACAATAAAGCTTAAATCAAATAAGCTGTTTCAAAACGATTTCCTTAAGGCAGATAATAGTCAATTGTTGCTTTAAAATCTACTGGATTTATAGAAAGATTAACTTAAAATGAGAGAATTAATGAAGCTCGATCTCTATTTACTTTAGTTTCATCTAACATAAAAATAAAATTTAAGGAATATGTTCAATATCTTACATACCGACCTAAAAGGAGAAAGATGGAACAGTTAGATTATTCTATTAAGAAATATGAATCATTTTTGGATATCCTTTTCATAATAGACAAATTATAAGAAATTGATAAACTAAAACTTATTTTATTCAACAAAGCTTAAATGAATCTTTTTGAATATTTACCTAAACCAACAATATATTTAGATCCATATAGTCCAGAATAAGAAGAATTATAATTTCATTCTTCAATTCTAACTCCTCAAAAATCTTTTGAAGAGAAAGCTAGATAAGCATCAATTGCCTTTGAAGAACTTCTTGTAGATTTTGATAGTAACCCTGTCACATAAAAATTAATAACTTGTTTAGATAAAGAAGTGGTTAATGTATTGATTTCTGAATACGAAGAAAGAAATAGAACTAATAAAGTTAAAAAAAGCTTTGCATCTATTAGCCATGCAGTTATTACAAAAATAAAATAGGATTAAGAGTAAAAACAGTTATAGCAAGATCAAATTTCTAAATAAGTTGATTCATCAAAGAAGTATTATGATGGAACTGTATAGAATAGTGTTGTAAGAGATAAATCTGATAATAGGGACGGATCTTAAGAATCAATATAATATAAATCTCATAAGGATTACAATTGAAAATCTAACTAAAACATTTAATCATCATTAATAATATATATATATTTTATTCACTATTCAATGAAATCAGGAGTAATTAATTTAGAGGGCTTTCTCTTCTTCAGGTCTAATTATATTTATAGAAGTTTAAAAATATTAGGGTCCATCAAAGAAATAAGCTTTACAGTGATGGGATCATCCAAATTTTCAAGTAATTCATCTAACACTAATTATGCTTCATGGGCTTTTTCACTCTATGATTTGTAAGGTTTTAACAAAGAAGAATACATTGATGATTCATTCTATTATATATTGCTGGGATTTAAAGAAATCAGTGGTTTTGGTAAAAAATCGAAAAGCTGTATCTATTATTTGGTTAATAATATCATTTTGAGTTTATCAATCTCTTATAATTTATCTATAATAAATAGTATATCCAAACATTTTTCCAATTTATTGACTGAATATTACAATTGCTTAAACTTTCCTTCTTTTTTTCTATTAAATCAAAATGTATTATTACCCACATTTCAAATATTTAAAATAATCAAATAGATTTAATCTTAATTTTAGATTAGCTATATTAAATAATTTCCTCAAAGCTTATCTAATTCCTTTTTTAATTAATTTATCATTTTCAGGCGAATTAGTAATCATTTATGAAGACTTCTCTGTTTATGCAGAATTACCATTATCAAATTTTAAGGATTTGTTTATGAGTCTACCTCTAGGAAATCGCATGGAAGTTTTGGTTTTTGATTATTTTAACATTAAAGATGGATCATTTTCATGAGTTTAAACACTTTCTTAAACAATAGTCAATCTTTTTAAGATTTACTTGCCGCCATCATTTAAGTCAGTAGTGTTTTATTATTTTTATCCTTCGAAATTAAATAAATTATTTATAACTTCTAATTTATAAGATAAAGATTGAATTGGTTTTACTATAATAGTAAAAATTAGCATAAGAATTTCCCATAAACCGCCTGCTTAAGCTAAAATATCTTAGAGTTTAGGATATATTCTATAACTTATATTTTCTGTATTTGCCAATCTAATTAAAACTGATGCAAGAGCTTCATCACTATTAAAGTCTATAACTTCTTAAGACTTTAAATATCTTATAGTTGAATCTTTACGCACTAATTCATCCAATAATCCTTCTTCAGTTAATGTTGTTATCGGTTACATAAATAAAGTGATATCTTTCATAACTTGACTGGATATTGTTGTCTATATTTCTTCAACTTTTGGAACATTTGGTTATAGATAATTTCTTAGATCAATATTATATGATGACAGTTAGAATAAAATATAATTACGATGCAGTTGCTCTTAAATTTCTTCCTTAGATCTACAAACTGGGCTGTTAACTACTTAGTTATAAAAAATTACTATTGCTCGAGTCATTCATACATTATTGAAAACTTATATATATGTAGGTATAATTTTCTTATTCTGGCGTTCCTACTAAACTAAGTTCTTATAAAATATTCCAATCAATGCAATATGTATTGCTAGAATCAACATTATCTAGTTGCTCTTCTATTTCTTAGAAAGGTATCCCTATATTAGCACATTTTGATAAAGGAACAGTTTTTCTAACAAACTACAAACTTGTTTTATTATCAACTCTTTTATAAATTAAAGAACTTACATAATTTAGGCTCTATTAACCATTACAGCATTAACTTAATATATAGTTTCATCAATATAATTTGTTTAATTCTCGGTTTAAAATGCAAATTACAAGGAGAAATTATTGGAATATAAAGGAAATACCGGAATTTCCTCATAATATACCTCTGAATATAGCGTTTAAAACTCTTTTCTCTATCCTAATTAGATAAATTTGTTGATTATGTATGTGGAAACGCATGAAAACATTAATAGTGTCATGAATGCTCCAAATAATGATTAATGCGATCTTTTTTTATGAATCATCAATTCAACTGGAGAAGAAAAAAAATCCAACTTTTTTCCTAATTTTTTCATGTTAGAAGTATTCATATCGGTAATTTTATATTAATTAATTTATAGTTATACAAATGTTGATTGGTTTTCTCTTTCTGGATTTATAGATACGTTACTTCATAATTATGATTATAATAATAATTCAAAATCATTTTTACTGTTAAAATCATCAAGATTTGTTTTTTTAGCAGGAAAGAGTGGGTCAATTATAAACCTTAAATATATGTTATTATTAATTACCTAAATAAATTGTCTAATAAGCCTGAAATTATTTTAGCTAACACTGGACAACCTGTTTCAATACAGGGATTAGTATTGAATTCAATTAAGATTGGTTTGAATTCATTAGTAATCATAAAATCCAAACCATACAATTCAAATCCTAAAACTTGATCAGTATTATTTATTTAATTAATACTTGAAGCACAAGCTATTTTAGTCAATTACTATTAATGCGATTTGATTATAAAATACTTTCATATTTTTGTAAAGTTCTTCGAAACTATAATTAGTATTATTTTATTTGTTTTATTCGAGTAGATAATTTTAAAATTGTTCATATGACACCTTATTTCCTATTAAAATTATAAATATGTAAATACCTTTTTCAAATTTACCATATCCATTCATTTTGTTTTGAATTGCATCGTTAGTAAGATGAATTTTCTGATTATCAAGTGAATCTAAACTAAATAAACTACTAGAAGTACGGAGGTATCCCTTTTTATACCAAAATACTATCTACTTANAAAGGTATCCCTATATTAGCACATTTTGATAAAGGAACAGTTTTTCTAACAAACTACAAACTTGTTTTATTATCAACTCTTTTATAAATTAAAGAACTTACATAATTTAGGCTCTATTAACCATTACAGCATTAACTTAATATATAGTTTCATCAATATAATTTGTTTAATTCTCGGTTTAAAATGCAAATTACAAGGAGAAATTATTGGAATATAAAGGAAATACCGGAATTTCCTCATAATATACCTCTGAATATAGCGTTTAAAACTCTTTTCTCTATCCTAATTAGATAAATTTGTTGATTATGTATGTGGAAACGCATGAAAACATTAATAGTGTCATGAATGCTCCAAATAATGATTAATGCGATCTTTTTTTATGAATCATCAATTCAACTGGAGAAGAAAAAAAATCCAACTTTTTTCCTAATTTTTTCATGTTAGAAGTATTCATATCGGTAATTTTATATTAATTAATTTATAGTTATACAAATGTTGATTGGTTTTCTCTTTCTGGATTTATAGATACGTTACTTCATAATTATGATTATAATAATAATTCAAAATCATTTTTACTGTTAAAATCATCAAGATTTGTTTTTTTAGCAGGAAAGAGTGGGTCAATTATAAACCTTAAATATATGTTATTATTAATTACCTAAATAAATTGTCTAATAAGCCTGAAATTATTTTAGCTAACACTGGACAACCTGTTTCAATACAGGGATTAGTATTGAATTCAATTAAGATTGGTTTGAATTCATTAGTAATCATAAAATCCAAACCATACAATTCAAATCCTAAAACTTGATCAGTATTATTTATTTAATTAATACTTGAAGCACAAGCTATTTTAGTCAATTACTATTAATGCGATTTGATTATAAAATACTTTCATATTTTTGTAAAGTTCTTCGAAACTATAATTAGTATTATTTTATTTGTTTTATTCGAGTAGATAATTTTAAAATTGTTCATATGACACCTTATTTCCTATTAAAATTATAAATATGTAAATACCTTTTTCAAATTTACCATATCCATTCATTTTGTTTTGAATTGCATCGTTAGTAAGATGAATTTTCTGATTATCAAGTGAATCTAAACTAAATAAACTACTAGAAGTACGGAGGTATCCCTTTTTATACCAAAATACTATCTACTTATTAATATAATCACTACCTTTCTTAGCTCCATTGAGAATAGTTATAAGACAGTATCCTCTAATATCAAATTTCCTCTTTTAATATAGAAAAGGATTTTCGATATATTTTTATAGTATAAATGTATGATTTTATTAAGAAATATGCTGATAAATTTCATTAAGATTATTACATACTATGTTAATAGAAATAAATGTACCTTTAATGCCTTAACCTCTATTACTATCTTCTCCAGGTTTAATGATCCATATATTTTTAAATGATGAATCAGCAGAAACCTCTTCAAACTTTTTCTTAAAAACAAAAAAAGATTCATCATTTGGACCTTATATATGATATGTTAATGGAATAAGTGTCCATAAATCTAATTAATTCTCTAAACAATATTTGCTTAAATTTAAAAACAAAAACTTCTTGTCTCCTAATTAATTTCCTTCCTTTAAGTGATTATGAATTCTAATTGATTGATTTTAGTGATTGATAGTTAAAAGTTCCTTTACATTACATAACTATAAATATAAATATAATTATTCTTACATTATTAAGTATTGGTTAACTTTCAAGATTATACTCAGCAAGTTTCTTTTTTGATTTTCCTTCAACACGATCCCAAGCTTATCTAATTAAAACTTAATCATTTGAATCAATCCATCCTTCAAGTGTTTCATTCGAAATTAATCTTTAAATTGGTCGAATTTCAGATTAAGGAAAATCAACAAATTTTTAAGTCCAAATAAAATTGAAATCATCTTCTTCTAAATTTCCTCCTACAGTCCATTATGCTCTCATACTAAAAATACTTTTGACCATCATATGATTGTTGCCTCTACCTACATAAAGTTTATAATATTTTTAATGTAGAGCTGGTAGAACTTGAAGAGCATTTGTAAAATTGATGATTTAATTAATTTCTAATACACTGGGGCATTGTATAAATTTAACGTAGCCTATATCCCAATACCTAGTATCATCTACTAAAACTTTTTTTTTATTTTAGGATTAAGGAGCTATAATCTTTTTGATAGGTGAAGCAGTTCTTTCTAATTTGATTATAGGTATTAATCTCTTTAATGGTTTTGGGGTTGTCTCTTTAGGTAAAGGTTAAACCTAAACTTATTTTACTTGAATTAATTGTCCTTTCAAGCTGTCTAATTCAATGTCTTTTTATGCAACTGATTGACAGCGTTATGATCTTTTTTAGATGTTCTTACGATGAATGGTTTTAGGAAGCACAATAATTTCATTATTAGTTTTTCCAATAAGTTATTCAATTAAGGATTGATTTCTTGCTTTTCTGTTATGCAATTCATAAATTTAGGATAGAAATTCATAACTTGTGATATCTTTACCTTTTTTTATGAAGGGTGGAAATTAAGGATCAAGAGATTTTACAATACTATGATTAGGTGTATCCATTAATTATTCCTATTCAGTAATTACAGGCTTTTATTTTTTCTCTATTTATTAGAAGCTACCATTTCTTCTCATTTGTGATAAAAATTGTCTAACTCCAGCTTCTGTACTATTCAGAGCTATAGACATATATCCTTGCCAAACTTAGACATTATTATCTTATTTTCTTTTCTGAGGTGAGAAATATTCCTTAATATTATCGTCATCCTTGCTTAAAATACGATTACGCATAAAATAAATATTTATTATAAGTATATATTTAATCAGAATACGCATTCACTAATTTAACTAAGATCCTTTTTATGAATTAATGATAAATCTTAAGCATTTTATACTTAAGATTATTCTTTAACTATGAGTTTCTATCTTTTTTTCAATTTAATTTATCTACATCTGGGTGGTTCTGAAAAACATCTAGATATTTGCTTTTTTTTTGTTTAAGAATATAATTCTCTATGTAATTAGAGCAAATAGCTTTTAAATTCTTTCATTTCATTTGGTTCTTAGTATTCCAATTCTTTGCAACTCCTGCTTCTTTATTCAAATAGTAATTTAGATTCTTCAGGATTTGTAATTGAATATTTTATTATGTAATTAGTTGTATTATTTAATGAGGATTACCAAAATTATTCAAGATAAATTAATTCATTTTTGAGTTTTTAAATTTTTTTATTTTAATTTTATGAATGAATACATAATCGTTCATTTGTTACTAATAGTTATTAATTTTATTTATAAATTTTATTATATTCTCTTTAAAGAATGGTGTTTGTTGTTACTTATGATTCAAATAATTTTTTATATCTTTCTAAATTATTACATTTTTGAGTCCAAAAACTAGTATTATTAGCTTATCTTGTTTCAGTTGTAGATTAACCATAATTAGAAAAAGAAGATATTTCTGTATCGCTTAAATTTTGTTCATATTCATTCATCAAACTTTCTCTTACTTTTCTAAAGGTAACTTAATTTCTTAAAGCTTTTCGAAATTTCATAAGTTCGAATTTATAAGTAGAGTTTTCAGTACTTAATTATTTAATTTTAATTTAGCAGTGTTAGATATATTAATTATTTTTTAGAAGTTCATTTTGTAAATGCTCAATTTAATTATGTAATTTTAAAGAGATTTCATTTAATTATAAGAGATCCTTACATTTAACTGCCACTCCATCATCTAAAATAGTATGATTTTTTTCCTACTGTTAAATAGTATATTCTTTATCATGAATGATTCTACGTTGTTCTAAGATTTTATCTTCTTGTTCATGAATTAAATCCATATAGAAAGCTTCTATTTATTGACTCATTTAAAGATTGAGAAAGGCTTAAGTTTAGGAAGAGGTTAGTTGTTGTTTTAATTCTGTCAGTTGCTTATTTAATTCTTATATTTCAAAAGAAAAGATTTCATTAAGCTAATTAGTTCTATACTTTTGTAGTGTTTATAGTAACAACTCATTTTCTTGTTTGAGTGAATGATTTTCAGATTATAAGAAATCATATTTAACTTATTGACGTCGTTATACTAGTTCAAAAGAACAAGGTCCTAAGAGATTCATTTATAATAAATTTAATAATAATATATATATATATTAAATATATATATCATACTTTAACTTTCTTAATAGATTCAGATCCATCTTGGGCTTCTTCATCATCATTTTTAGTTTTCTTTTTTTAAGATTCTAACAGAACTTTTGGTTTTTCTATATAGGTATTTTTAACAAGGGATCTTCCCATAGAATTATTTTCTTTTTCTTTATCAAGAACTTTGACAAGAGAAATAACTCTATTTTTAAGTTCATTTTCACTTTTACATTTGAAAGCATGATCAAATCTAAACATAGGTTCTTTTTTGATTGATAATTTAAGTTAGGCCCAATTGCCATATCCAACTTCATTAGTCATATAGATTAAATATTTATCATTTTCTAAACTAAAATATTTGCTTTTAAATTTATTATAAAGTTGAGGAGTGAAGACTAATTCATATTTTGGTTAATGGAAATGTTTACATTTTTCTTCAATTAATTTTTATCCATTAGTTTTTTATTCTATAAGTTTTTATCCTCTTTCAATTTATTTAACAATTTTATCTTTTTCACTTAATCCATCAATTCTATCCCAAAAAGCTTAAGCATAAGCTTTAATTTCATCTAGGGTTTTAGTTTTAATAACTTCTTGAATTTTATCATAAGCATCTTTACCATATTTTTCATTGGCAGTAATAAAGTCTTGAAATTCTTATTTATTCCAATTTTTAAATCCTGTATCAAGTAATTTTTTTTATTCTTATCTTTCTTCTTAAGTAAGACCACCAAAATCAAGATTTTCATCATTTTCACTATTTTTTTTCTATGTTTTTTATTATGCTAAAAAATCTTCTTCTTTTTATAATAAGAATTATAATCTTTCTTTATTTTCATAGAGATGATGTTCAGATAATTTAATTTATTTACCTTAAATTTTTTTAGAATTGTTTGCAATCATCATAGCTCTTTTATCACGATTTCTAGTTTTATTATCTTACATAAGATGATTAACTAAAGCATCTTCTAATGCTTCTTCATCTTCTTTATTTCTTTTTGCTTCATCAAAATAATCAAATATATTAATTTATCCTAAGCCTAAATCTAATGATTATACTTTATCTTTAAAATTTTCAAATTTCTTTTCAATTCTTTCATTCATTTCTTTAGTAAGTTATTCACCTCTTTTAAGTAAGATATCAATATCTTCATCCTTAATATCATCTCCATCAAGTTTAAATATTTAAGAAGCCCCATAAGTAGTTAACTCTTTTAAATCATCTTTTGATAATAATTTACCACTCTATTTTTATTAGAGTCTACCTTATTATACCATAAGAGAATCCCAACGTAATTTAATCTATTATCTTTCAATAATCTTCTCTTCAACAGTATGTTCACATGCCATTCTATAAACCATAACTCTATTTTTTTATCCAATTCTATGAGCTCTATCCATTGCTTACATATCCATTTATGGATTAAAATCTGAATCATAAATAATAACAGTATCAGCAGTAGCTAAATTAATACCTAGACCACCAGCTCTTGTTGACAATAAAAATATAAACTTTTTACTATCAGGTGATGTAAATTCAGCTATTTAATCATCTCTACTTTAAATCTCTGTATCTCCATCTATTCTACAATATTCATATGCTCTAAAATTACAATAATCTTCTAATATATTTAACATCATCGTAAATTATGAAAATATCAGAATTTAATGTTATCCTTAACTTAATTTCTATAAAAACTTATCTAAAACTCTCATCTTTCCACTTACTTCTACTAAATGTTCTCCTAATGCAGGTAATGATTTATCTTCTACTTCAGGAAATAAATAAGGATGCAAACAAATCTTACGTAATTACATTAATTTATTCATATAGAATCCTTTATCATCACCTTCATGTGGATTATTGTGAATTAATATATTCTAATACATTTATTTCTACAAATTAGACATTTTTATAAATAAATGAATTTCTTATTTTGGTGGTAGCATTCTTTCTACTTCAGCTTTAGTTCTTCTTAACATAAAAGGTCTTAATATTTTTTAAAATTTTTGAACCATTTCTAAATTTCTTTATTCTAATTCATCCTAATGAATAGTTTCATTTCCTTCTCTTAATTTAGCTTCTGTATTAACTTCAAACCATTTATCAAATACCTCAGATGAATCAAATAGATCAGGTAATAAATAATTTAATAAACTCCATAATTCATGTGGAGTATTCTATAATGGTGTACCTGTTAATAATAATTTATAATTAGTTCTAATCTTACGTAAATTCTAACTTATTATTGCATCTTCATTCTTTATTTTATGAGCTTCATCTATTATAATATATTTATATTAAAATCTTCTTATATGTTTTAAACATATATTGACTCCTTCATAACTTGTTAAACATACATCAAATCTACCTGGTTAAAAATATCTATTTAATATTTCATCTCTCTCTTCTTTAATTGCTATCAATTTTACTACTCTCATACATGGTAACCATTTCTTAAATTCTCTCATCCAATTTCCTAATGTAGATTTAGGTGCTACTATTAAATAAGGTCCATTTATCTTTTTATATTCTTTTAAAAAAGCCAAAAACCCTATTGTCTAAATTGTTTTTCCTAATCCCATTTCATCTGCTAATATTCCATTTATTCCTTCTTCAAATAATGATATCATCCAATTCACTCCAGTCATTTAATATGATTTTAATTATCCTCCCTATAAAATTGTTGGTTACTTTTCTAATACTGTTGGAGTATCATCAAATTCTTCTTCATCACTTCCATCTTCTATTATTTATCTATGTTTTCCTCTCTACTAATTTTAAACCTTCTACTTGTTCTCCTAAGTTCTCTTATGTCTATGCAATAAAAACATTGCATATTTCTCTGCATTTTCTAATAATGTATTTATCTTTGATTCTATATTATCAAATTTTATCTATTATTATATATAATCTCATTACATTTGTATTCATTCTCCCACTCTATTTTATTGTACTCATAAAACTCTTCTTATCTTATTCTAACTTTTTTATTCTCTCATCTTCCTCTTCCCCTCTTTATTCTTCATCACTATGTAATTCAACCTATAATACTTCATTCTCATCATCACTTTAATTACTCATTAAATTTAATTATGTTTTTTCACATCTTCCAATTTTCCAATTAATCATCAAATTATTTGAGCCAACTTTTTTATCATTAAATTTATATATTAATTATTTTATATATATAATAATACTACCAACTATATTATTTATATATATATATTTATATATTAAATCAAATTTTCTCATGCTTTCTTATCTCCTTTGCCAAAAATACTAATGGATTGAATACTCTAAAAGATCCATGTCTTTTTCTATTAATTGGATTCTATAAATAAAAATCTAATTCACTCATATCATCTTCCGTTTACTCACTCTAATAATTTTTACAATCTTCCACCATCTACTTAAATTTCATTCTGAAATCTTCCTACACATTGTAATCCTAACATATATGTTTATTTTAATTCAAGTATTCCAGTAACTTATCCATTGCCTCCTCCACTACATTATAAATATTATTCAAGCTCATTTTTATTTATTTTATTTAAATCTCAACATCACCTACTAAACATTTATATCTCCCTTTTTACCATTAGACTATCTCACTAATCTATAGATTAAACATTACTCTATTCACATTTACATAAAATTCATTCCTAATTTATTTTCCAAATATATATTCAAACTTATACATTTATATACGAAAACAAACATCAAAACTTTATTCCTTATTCATCAGTACTCTCATACTTTACATACGACCTTATTTAATAGCAACTTCTCGTTATTATCCAAATTCAACTGTATTTATTTCAATAATTATATAGAATAGAAAGCCTTTAAATAATTTTATAATGCAGATTAAAAGTTTATGACATCAAACCATTTTTATTAATTATTTATTTATTTATTTCTTGTTCATTATTTTTAATTATATTAATGATTTATCACTCAATTTTCATTATTTAATTCTTATATTTTTATTCAGAAACATACATCATTGAGTTATTAATAATTTTTAAGAGTTGCATTGATTTTAGCAACCCTTTTGGGTCATTTTATATAAATTTCATCAATATTATTACATAAACAACTTAATTAAAATGTTTTACAGAAAAATTAAATGGAAGTTGGCGTTAAGAAGAATAAAGACTCAAAATTACGGTTAAGAATTATAATATTAATATCATATTGATTCTACTTTTACTTCATTATAGAGTTTTTCAAAGTAGTTGTAAGAGTTAACTATTTCTTGATTAAGTTTTATTTCTACAATAAGAGTTAGATCACTTTAATTTTTTTACATTATTGAACAAAAGGTTGCTTATTTCTGCTTATCAATCAACTTTTTCACTTAATCTGGTACAGGCCTTTTTTCTGTTTTATAGTAATGAATTAATGACTTAGCACTAGAGTAATTCATTCTCAATTCCTTAGCTGCCTAACATTTAATTAATTAATTACTTGTTTTATCTTTTTCCCATTTTTAAAAACCTATTCGAAAAGCATTTACTAAGTTCTAAGTGGTATTTTATGGTATCGTTTTACACTAATTGTTTAAGTATAAATTGCTTTGTTTTTTCTTGTAGAGACTTTTCTATCCGAAGTGTCTGACATTAATTCTTAATGCTCATCAATAAGCAGACCTGTTTTGCTCATTTTATTTTTTTCTAAATCAAAGAATCTTAATATATATAGTATATTAGATTAGAAATACTTATTGCGTATTTGAATCACTATTTGACATAAAATTATGTATTTAAATTTATTAGAACAAGAAAATATTATAATGAATATCTTATTTTCAACTTTTGCAATCTTTATAACTTTCATTGTTTAAAGTTTATAATTTAATACACGCCATCAATTCTATCAACAATATATTTCTATATTGCATCTGATCAAAAAAAATCAAATCAATCTGCATCATAACATTTATTTATCAGTTGATTTTTAATAAACAACTTATACTTTGAACGTTAAATATTAGACAGCTTAAAAGTAGCATGATATTAAATTTACATAAAAATAATATAATATTAATCGTTAACGCTAAGTTAAACTCTCTTTCTATTGCCTATTGATAAATTTTACCTTAATTTAACTTTTTAAATATTTAACAAGATAATATATATTTTAGAATATAATAAATATATCGATATATAAAAGAATCTAAAATATCTTAAAATTCATCAATGATTCCTTTATGAACAAAAATCTTTTTAATTTTGGGTGATATTTGAATTCTTATTGATTTTATAAAAATATGATGCTTGATAACTTTAATTTAATAAATATTGAAATGATAAAATTAAATTGAGTAATTCAATAATAGACATAAATCTACAGTATAAAAAATTATAAAATAATATGACATATTATTATTTATTAGGAATATAAGATCATAAATCCATATATATATTTAAAACTTTAATAATATAATTCATCCCATTAAAATTTTAAAGCCTGCAAAATCAATATCTTTTTCAATGATATTTTTAACATTAACTTAATGATCATGGGTATTTTGGTGATTACCTTTGGTTTCTGAAATAGAGACCCATTTTTAGTCCAAATTAGCATTTTGATCAAAAATTGATTTAATAGTTTTTTGAGTAATAGTTTTTTCTTGTTAACTTAGAAAATCAAACATGAATTGTAAATGATTATTATAATCTTATGGAGTAAGTGTAATTGCAATAAATTCAAAGTAATCTAAATAACCATTATTATTGCAATCCAAATAAGGCCATACTTTTTATATATCTTATTTATTAACTTTTAAATAGGATGCTAATTCTGCTTATGTAATTAACCCAGATTGAGATGTATTAATCAGGAAAAAGGCCATTTTCTATTACTTAAGATCTGATGAATTGATTTATGTTGCTAAATAATATAAACCCAATCTTTTCAAAGGATGAAACTTAACCCATGATGTAATTGTTATCATAGAAATTAATTTTTAATCAACTTAAAACTTCTAATTGAATTTATCAACTAATTTGTTTGATAATAAATCTTTCGGTGCAATTCTTTAAGCTGCAGGACATATCTATAGTTTAATAAAATCTTTAATTTCTTATGGTATTTATTACCATTCATCACCTATAAAATAATAATAATAAAATAATAACCTTCAAATTATAATTGAGCATTTCTAATTTCAGTTAATATTTCTTTTTCATTTTCTCCATAAAAAGGAGGATAGCCACATAAAATTACATATAAAATAACACCTGAAGACCAGATATCACATTTTGAATCATAAGATCCTTCTAAGACTTCAGGAGCAACATAATATGCCTTAAAAATAATTATTATTATATTATATACTGTGCCACTCTTAGTTTTCAATTTATCAACTCCTCTCTTAGCTATTCCAAAATCAATCACAATCAAAGTATTTAAATCATCTTTTTTTTAAAACAAAAAGTTTTCTGGTTTCAAATCCCTTCTATCTTCATAATATATACCTATGAACTATTTTAAACCCTTAATAGTAATTCACTGCTCTCATGTATTGAATGTATACTTTAAATGCTTCATCAATTGATAGATTTCCTTTTTCTAACACCTTATCAAACACATCACCACCTTAACAGATTCTATATCAAATTTATTTATATACTCTAAAACCATATATAAATTTTCATTATCCTCAAATGTTTCAAATACTCTCAGTATGTTTGGATGATCCTTAAATTGCTAATTTTATTTTCATACTAATAGCTCCATTATTGTTATCTCACTTAATAACCTTTCTTTGTATTTTATATTCAACTTATTAATCACTTTTACAGCTCTAACTTATTTAGAAACCTTATGAATTGCTTTGAAAACACTTCCATATGCTCCTTGTCCAATTTTCTAAATTTATACATTACTAAAATATTTACATCTTTAACATCATAGCTATACACTTATGAAATAGGTACTGTGTTACGTCGAATAAGAGTTTATTTGTAAATATGAAAAGCAGATGATTTTTAATCCATTATTTAAATTTAGCAAAAAAATTTAGATTCGTTTAATACTTTATTTATGTTAGATAATTCATGATCTCATTGTAAATCAATCATTTTTGATCTTATGCAATTATTAATGAAACTTAACTCAACCAAAATAAACTCATTAGAGCCAACCATTATCCATAAACTAAAATATCAGTAACCAATTAAATTATGTTGTATAATTTTATAATGCAAAATTATAGAGTATATTTATATAAATAATTTATAAAATTATTCTCAATCCTTATCTAAATTATATTCAATATGTATTATTACAATTATCTTTATAAAAGTATTATACAAATAAATATTTATAGCTATTTTACAGTGCAGTTTTTTTAATTTTAGTTTAATTCACTTTTTTTTTATATATACTTTTTCCTCTTTGAGTTTGTATCGAAATTGTTTGGAACTCATTTATGTTTAAAAATTTTAGTAAAAATCAAATTTGTTTGAATACTTGTGCACATTATTAGGAAACTATTAAATTTAATTGTAAAAATTTGATTTTTTTACATATAAAAAATCTTACCAAATAACTTTATAAATATGTTCCTTAAGAAAATGTAAAATGATATGTTGAAAATCACTATATGGGGAACTTGCATTAAAAGTAATATTAAACAAATTTATTGTAAAATTTTCATTTTTGTTTCATTTTCAACATCAAACTCTATTTTTTTCATTTTGTGATTTATTTTTATTCAAAATAGCCAGTACTACAGAAAAATTAAATTATTTTTAATAATAATAACAAATCTTTTCAATTTTAAAAATAATTAATTTTGTTTTTGAATGTTTCAACTTATTTTTCATTGTAAGGATTTGAGTTTAAAATAAAAAAAATCTCTATTCATTAATTTGTATTAAACCAAGATTCATTGCTTTTGCTAAAATTAAGTAGTGAATTAATAAAATAAAAAAGTTAGATTTTATTCAAACAATACATTATTAATGTTTAAATTATTTTTATTTATATTAAAGTATTAAAAAACATAGTTTTATTAAATTAATCTAAACCTACCTCATAAAATTAGAAATATAATAATCTATGTAAATTCATTCGTAAGTTGTGTAAGAACGAAGCTTAACAATTGGATTTATTTTTTATTATGTTTATTCTTTTATAATGCCATATTTTGATTACTTAACTTTCCTTTAAAGAAAAGGAAGATTTGATTTAATTTATTTAACATTTTGATTTTTTGTTGTCTTATAACTTTCATTAAGTTTTTGAAAATAAGTTTCTGGAGTATCATTTGATATTGAATCCATAAGTGTTAAATCATTTAGTTTTATTTTTCCTTGTTTTTTGTTATTTAGATTAATAGGTTTTTCATCTTCCTTATTTTTTTCATCTTCCTTATTTTTTTCATTTATTAGAGGAGTGATACTCCTTGACTGCTGTTATTATATATATTGTGTTCTCTATTATTATATTT